GCTCACTTTGGGTCTACGTTCACTTAGTAAAGAAACAGTTTGTGAGAGTCTGCCCTCTTCAGACATGCACAGCAGTGAGTGAGATACAGGCTTTATGTTGGAGTGACTTATGTTCTGGTTGTAAAGACAGGTATGTGTGTAAGTAAGGACAGTGAATTGTTACAGGTGCTATGATAGAAATATACATAAAGGACCAAAACCCAGTAATCACAGCCATTAACACTTGAAAGTGTGAAGTTTAGCGAGCCCTAAATACCCCAGTGAGCTCCTAAGACGCTACAGTTGAGAAGCAGTTGAGGGAATGGAATCGCTGTGCAGAAGGCGTAGACACGGGCGTTCCCTGCTTTCACAGACCAGCCTGGTCCAGAGTCACACAGCTGACCCCACAGTGGGACCTGAGCGTTCCTCGACTCCAGCGACGGGGTTAGAGGGCAGTTTCGTCCCCAGAGCCCAGTGCCACGCTGGTTCTTCATACTAGAGACATCAGTAGGTTAACAGTGGTTTAACAATGGAGGCATTACTGTTTCCAGTTAGATGTAAATTATCACTGAGTAATATAGTGAGTTGAAAGTGTAAGTGGTTTATTTTAAAAGGGCTCTTTATTAATCATCCAAACCCCCAAACCTTCATAGGAAAGCTTCATGGGAAAGCAAATGTCGTCATAGGCTACAAGTATGCCCTGGCAGACCAGCTGCTTAGAAACGAGCAGAATCCTTCCAGAGCCTTCATGTGCCCACGCGCCTGACCCCTGCTGTGAGGATTTCTGTGCCGCTCCTCCAGTCCTTCTGTGACTAGGCTAGGGCAGGCTGGAAATCAGTTCTCAACCTCACCGTCGAAGGGGGAAGGTGCTAGGGGTCGAGGCCTCGCGCTCTGTGGGAGGGGAGGGCTCGGGGACATGGGTGAGTCCACGTGGGAATGGCGTTGGGGTGAGAGGAGAAGAGCCAGCTTTGGGTGTCTTTACAGAAGAAATGGCTAACTTGGGAGTATGCAAGTTTTACTAAAAACTATGTCACATGTTTTTAAGTGACTTCCATGTTCCAGGGCATTTTTATACTAATTTAGTGTTCCTAAGCACTGAGAGGTGGGTAGGAGGGTCTTCCTGTCTGTTGAACAGATGGCCCCACGAGCCTGGCACTTTTTGGCGGGGTCATCATTTTTCTCTTTCCAGCTCTTCCCCTGTTCCGTTTTCTCGTAGACTTTCTGTTTCTCGCCCTAAGTGTGTCATTAGCGGGGTCTGAATTCCACAGGCTGCGGGAGAGTAGTGGGTCACTTCTTTATAAGCTGGGACTAAAGTTAAAGCAGAATGCGTATTGCTCAGCCTTGCTGGTTGCTTAAGACTTTTGGCATATGCTTAGCCCGTTTTTTTTCTTTGGAAAAGAGACCGTTGGGAATAGATTGGAAAGTGGGGAGCTTGTTGGAAAAGATCAGAAGCAGGGATGAGGAGGAATTAAAGGAATGCCTTAAGGAAAACAGGTATAAGTGTGTTTATTTTCTTATATAAACACACTTATATATGAACATTATAGAGATCTGCTTTTATTAAACTAGCAGTACAGGTACCTTAATGGTATCTTGTTTAAGCTATTTGACCCTGCCTGGAGAATTCGATATGGATATTATCAAGTGCTTGATAGCTTTATATTTGATGTCAGCGACGAGCTGGATAAGTTACATTACATTAGAGCCCGCTGCTAATTGATGACAAGTGAAGTGGACTCGGCGCGTCCCGGACAGCAGGCGGGAGGACCTGGGAGCGGGCGCATCCAGGAGCACACGGTCGCTGACAGCATGAGAGACTATGTCCAGGTCCCTGCCGCCGAGCTGGAGAAGCCGTACGAGCTGGCCCCGACGAGGGAGCCCGCCGCGCTGCTGTGCCTGCGTAGGTCCGGGGCTTCCGCGGCGTGGTTCTCACGGCGAGTTCAGTGCCTCTCATCTAAGGCAGTGGGTAGTTCTTTCTGTTGTGGTTACTGTCGCCACAGTCTTTTTAACCTCGTGTTATCTTCAGTATGTTCTCATTTTATAGAGGCCTGAGTAAACTTAACGCTTTAAACCTGGCTTTATGTGTCTTCTCTATCGTTGGTAGCTTTTCATTTACAGTAAGTGGTCAGATGGTGTTTTTGTTTTGTTTCACCCGGGTGTTGTGGAGGAACTCAATGTGATCGCTTATCTTCCTGCACAGAAGTGCATTCCTCGTCGGTCAGACAGACTTGCTCCTGCAGCCGTGTCCGTCGGTCCTGGTGTGTGGAATGCTAGAATGTGTAATTTAGAGACTGTTCGGCATGTGAGTGTAGTGTGGCAGTTACCCTGGGCAGTCATCAGATAGGGTTGGAATCTCAGCTCCTCTGCTCACCAGCTGTGTGATGGGACCCAAGGGCCCCCCAAACACCCCCGCTCCCTCATTTCTCAGACAGAGGAGAGCACCACCCGGGCGAGAACGAGTAGGAGTGAGTGAGTGATAGCGCGGCACCGTGTGTGCGCGCGCATCATGTCCAGAAATGGCAGCTCCCCCTGCCCCATGCACCACCGATGCTGATGTCGTTTCTGAGAGCTTATTGCGAGCCACCCGTAATAACTCACAATTTCAGATGACAGGTTTACAGCAAAGATTTCACATTGTTGGGGATGTTGTCTCAAGGGCCCCAAACCCCTGCGGACCCCTCTTGTGACAGTACCCTTCTGTCACTGCACTGCTAACGGTAGCTACCGTCTTAATTCAGTGCTTCCCATGTGTGACACCCTTAATAAGAACTTTGCAACAGTTGTATATAGTTTCCCAATAAGTATGAAAAGGGCATGGTCATGCCTATTTGACTGTCGGGGATTGTACATGGGGAGGGAGCCCCCAGCTGGACAGTGAGGGGCCTCAGGCTCACCCCAGGCCCGTCTGACCCGGACCCCCGCCCTTCGCCCCACACTGCCTGCTTCGTGCTTTGCCTTTTCCTGCCGCCCTCTCCCCAGTGGGCCTGAGCTTTCTGACCGTAGGGACTGGGCAGTGCATGTATCCCAAGGTCACAGTTCTTGTGGGCTCTTTAAAATGAAAGCAATATAGAATATCAGACAGGGTCAGCGTAAATGAAATTTAGCAGCTTACTGAGAGTCCTTAACTGCTGAAAATAACAGTTCACCATCCCGACGAGCAGCGCAGGGCACTGAGACTCGTCTCCAGCCCCGTTGCTGGCCTCTTTGCCATGACGGGCATCTGCGTTTACTGTGCCTCCGGCTGGTGTTCGTTTTAATCTTCTTCACAGGTTATCAGCTTCTTTCATCGTAAGTAGCACGTGCTTGCTTAGTGCCCTGTATGAGCTGATCGCTCCGTACAGGTCTGATTTTAGCCTATTTCAGCGTACTGACGTTTATCTGAAGTGTATTTGTGTTGTGTACAGTGAACACAGAATCTGACTTCTGCCTATTTCGCTGTTACCCTTGTTTTTCTTTCTAATAATCAGATTTGTGTTTCGATTTTGAACTCTAAAAGGAATTTAGGCATTTGGTGTTAATACTAAACAGTCTCCTAATGGACTCTTTCGCATTGTTTTCATTCTATTAAAGTAAAAAACATGCTGAACAATGGACAGCATTTTATATCATCAGCCTAAGTATAGACTGCTGAGTTATTCACTACTTTTTACAACAGTTCATAGACTCCTCAAGGCCAAAGAGCGTGTGTCCTTCATACCTTCTTGCATCCGCGGTATCCAGCATGATGCCACACAGTAGGTGCAGATGAAACATTTGGAGGCTGGTGGATTCGACCCCTAATATGTACCGAGACTCTGGGTCAGCCTTACGTGTTTCGGCCTGTGCTGGGCGCTCCGTTGACAGCTGGTGTATGGCTGGGGGCATGACTGCTGCTGTGTACTTCATGGGCAGAGTGGGATCTGAGGGAGTCTCTTGCATGACAATAAGACAGTAGCAGATGTCTGCTTAGATCTGAGTTCTTTTCTCTTCCAGCTCAAGTGTCCCCTCCTTCCTTATTTTGGTCTTTAAATGTATGCAAACGCACACTTATACAGTGACTTGTATACCCCAGTTTCCTAAATCATGAGAATAATTTTGTAAATGACTCAAGACCACTGTTCCTATTAAGTTACTAGTTTGCGGGGCAAGACATCTGATTCTTCCCACTTGCATAGTTCTTTCCATGGAGCTGAGGTCATGTAGCAACTTAAAGAACTGGAGTGAGCCCTGGTCTTCTGGATCCAAATCCATTGCTCCTTCCAAGACTTCAACGACTGAGAATGTATAGAGCAACCTTCGAACATTTAAAAGTAATTCCTGGACTTTCCCTTCGGCGTGTTTCCCCATCTGTTGTAGTTTCTTATATGATTATCATCTGAATAAAAGTATTAGCTGTTTCCACCAGTGAGGAGTGAGCTGTCATTTCAAGACCACTGTGGCTGGGGCCGAGTGGGTCGGGTCCAGCAGGGGGAGGGGCAGTAGGGCGGGTGTGCTGAGACTGGTGTGAGATCAGAGGGGGTGAGGGGAACAGCCATTCTGAGCTTGCTTTACAGGGCCAGTTCTGCAGGGTTCTCTGTGTGTGTGCACATTCTCACACTTGCCCCCAAATAACTTGGTTTTGAACTCTGGAATAATTCATTTGTACCTGGTATCTTTGGGGAGGGGAGAAGAAATTTAACTTCATCTTTTTTTATCCTTACCTGAAGACGTGTTTATTGATTTTAGAGGGAGGGACTTGGGGGGAGCGAGATGGGGGGAGAGAGAGATATCCATCGGCTCTCTTCTGCGCACCCTGACTGGGCATCGAACCCGCAACCGTTTTGGCGTACAGGACGACACTGCAGCCAACCGAGCCACCTGGCCAGGGCAGACATTTTCATTTCTTCATCAGTACCTAAATTTGTATGCGTTTTTCTGTTTGTGGCAGTTTGGGTTTTTCCCCTTTATTTTGAATAACCCTTAAAATTCAGAAACTTGAACTTCGGGGTCGACTTACAGGATGAATAACCTCTGTGCTTTGTGGTTTATTCTCTCTTGAACAGGAGTGTGTTGCTGCTGCTCCGCGTTGCGTCCTCGCTACAAGCGCCTGGTGGACAACATATTCCCCGAAGACCCCAAAGTAATTTGACCTCCGTCTCCTGCTCCTTCTCCTTGCTGACCCTCCTCCCCCGCCGACCTCCCTAAGGTCTCCCTCATTTCATCTCTCTGCTTTTGCCCCTGCAGCTCCCCGCGTGTTCTGCTGTTTGTGTGCCTCTCTTCCTTTTGCTTTTAAACGACCAGTGCTTGCTTGTCTGATTTTCCGACCTTTTTCATAGATTGGGCATAAGTTTGAAATGATGGACCGGTGACGTTCTGTCTGTCCTGTTCCTAAATTTAAGTAATGCCCACTCATCAAAGTGTATGAGCTGCTCCCAGATTCTATGTGCGAAATGCCGAGAATGCCGCTGTGAACGCAGGCCTGGCTCTCTGACCGCACCGTTCCCGAGACGAGAAAGCGGGCGGTTGCAGACCGGACTGTGTGGAAGGCGCGGTGACGGGGAGAGGAAGGACGGGGGCACCGGGGTCGGCTGGGGTGACCTCCGGTTCGGGTTTGGGAGACGAAGGAGCGAATAGGACTGGCCACAGCTTTTAGAAGAGAACCTTGAAATGTAAAGTAAGAGTTTGTTCTCTTTTTACTTAAATTCTTATACATTTTTTATAAAAGTTACCTTACTGTGGAAGATGACTGGTTTCAAAGCAACTGGGTTTAGTTTAAAAGGTTTTGTTTTGACATTCCTAAATTTTCTAAGACTCCTTTGGTCTAGTGTTTGTGGGTATGAGTGAAAATTATTAATATGGGTTTGATTTCCATTTTCCTTATTTTAAAATGTAGCCATCAATAGAAACCTTTTGGCTGTCTTAATGTTCATTTATATATCTCATGAGCCATACCTCAGTTTTAATCAGTCTGATTTAAACATTCGGCTATTAGAGGAGGCTCATCGATTAAATACTGCGGGCTGCCAGGAATCCCGCATAATTTGTGGTGTATAAAAAACCCTGAGATATGGTTCCTGCCTCCAAGGAGCTTTCCATCCACTGGCTGACTTAAAGCACAAGCATACTGAACGTTAAATCACAGCGCATACGCCAGTAAGTGAAACGTGGGGTGAAGCAGGCGGTAAAGTTCTTTTCCTGTAAAGCAGGGAGGTGTCACTGCGGAGCGGCAGTCTCTGGGGAGCGTTCTCCGAGAAAGGTTTGCTGAGCTTGGAAAGGTGCGCGCCGCCTAGAGAGGCAGAGACCAGTCTCTCTGGTGCAGGTGACAGGCCAGGCAAGGGAAAGGTTCGGAAAGCAAGAGGTACGTTTGAGACCAAGAACCTTCAGATTGTGGAGTGTAATGGGTGCCAGTCCTGCTGGCCACGATTTCTGGTGCACAATTTCAGAAGTATTATTTAGCAGACTCACTATTCAGGTACTTGCCCGCAGTAGTCTGGGCCAGCCGGTTACTGAAGATGGGGTGAGGCCACATGATGGAGGAACATGGGGCTGGACAGTCCAGGTGTCTGCTGTATGCTCTTCAGTTGTAGGTGGTGAGGGAGCTTTGGTCATGGAAACGGCGGCAGGTAAATTAGAGGATGATCACAGATAGAATGTTTTAGCGGGTACTTAGATAAGGTTTATTTAAATAGCAGTCTGTACAGTAAGATTTAAAAGGAGATTTACATAAACCTCGCTGCATAGCTCAGTTGACCACATTTCTTATTTTTAACTTGTTACACAAAAAGATAATCTCGTGTGTCTAAAATGGACCAGACGGTAGGTGTCCAGAGTGCAGAGGTCTTCAGTCGTAGGTCCTGCCTTCAAACAGCTGTCGCATGAGGGGACAAATAGCCCAGCCATTCCTTCAAGTGACCAGCAATGTGATCTTGGGCCAGTCCCTCAGTTTTCCTTTGTGAAATAAAAATTACAAATAGTTCTTATTTCATAAGGACCTCGTGAAGATGAGATGAGTTAACACAGTTCTTTGTTCACGGGAGTTCCCTGGTGTCCGTCAGAAGTTCACAGTTGACTGGCATTTGTCGGAGATTGTAAAAACAGTATGACGAAACATGACAGTAGAGAGACGTGCCATGAGCGAAAAGAGCAGAGGTAGGAGGAACGCCTCCCTCCGACTCAGGAGGGGTGTTGGGAGGTGCAGTGAGAGCTTTTCTGGAGGACGCTGGGACCTGAAGGACACGCAGGAGTTACCCTGGCGAACTGTTGAAGGAGGGCTCAGCCCCGGGACTGCATCCAGCAGACTGGTTGGTGGCGATGAGAAGCAGAGCGGTGGTCGCCCGGAGACGGAAGGTTACGGGGGCTTCACGGCACACGATGGGAGTACTCCGTGTCTTGTTTGTTACTGGTGGTTGCACAGATGTATACAACGGTCACATTTCAATTACGTATACTTGGGTGCAGGTTATTGTATAAATTATTCCTCATTAAAATTGGTAAGGGGTGAAAACAGTGGGTGAGATGCAGTCATGTTTAAATGATGGCGTTAGAGGAACTCCTTCTTATGAAGGTATATTTCAGTGCTTTGCCTAAATGGGACATTTCTTTAACTTTTTAAAAATTCTGCGTATTCAGAGTAGTGAATACTAGCACTGAGGAAGCTATATCCAGAAAGGTTCAGCATGAATATGACTTCATCACCAATCCAGAAAGGGGAACTAAGCAGCAAGTAGCACTTAGAAATATAAAAAATGAGCATGAGAATACAGATAACCTACTTACCTTGTTGGTATTTCTAGGATGGCCTTGTTAAGGCCGACATGGAGAAACTGACGTTTTATGCGGTGTCTGCCCCGGAGAAACTGGATCGGATCGGCTCTTACCTGGCGGAGAGGTTGAGCCGGGATGTCGTCAGGCACCGCTCTGGGTAAGGAGAGGCTGGTTGCTAATACTGTATCTTTGGAAAATCCTCCCCAGGCTAAATCACCCTACAAGTTATTTTGCCATCTGGCGAAAGTGCTTTATAGAGGATAAAACATACGAGGAATTGTGTAATACCACACAGATGCTGCAGCTTTTATTGCTTTCATAGGGCTCAGATTTTAAGAATAGACTCCTGTGAGTTAATGGAGTTGCTGTTAGCTTAAGCACCCATTAATTTCTGAGACTTCTCTAATGGAAATAGTAGCAATGGACTCCCTTAGTCTATTAGTGTCGTCCAGTAATTTGAAAACCAGTCTCTAAATTGAAAACCAAGATCCCGTTAACCAGCTGATTTTTAACACGGCTCCAGTGTTACCTCCCGGCAGAGTAATGAAAGAGAACTGTGAGGCTTAGGTGTTAAGGTTCAGAGGTTGTAAGCATGCTGCTTTGAAACGATGCTTGCTGTCAAACTCCCTATGAGTAGAGGACCTCCACCTTAATCCCTTTTCTGAGCTTGAACAGTAATAATTTGTCTAATTCAGATTAACTACTTTCCCACATTGTCATTTTACGACCCTGGTTTCTTAGAGTGCTCTGTTCTCCAAGTGGTATGCATTGGCTTTCTCTGCTTCCGCATTGTTACCGCACAGAACGCTTCTGTGAGTCTCAGCACGGACAGCTTTATGGTTGGTTACTGAAGCAAAGTTAACTGAAGTCTGAATTTTAGTTTGTACTGTGAGCTTTAATACTCAGTGAATTTATAAGGTGAATTTATGAGACGCTTCTTCATAATCTGTTGTTGCTGATGTTTTATATGTTCATGTTTACAAATATTAGTAGATTATGTTGGAAATTTAGGCACATGGCTTATAATATTATTTTGGGTCAGATACAAAAATATGGTTAAAAGTCTGGAAAGGAGAAAATGTCCTTGTTTCCGGAGACAGGTGCCCACGCAGGTCCTGTGGACGGAGCTCTGACCGAGCTCTGGGAAGGAGGCGGGGCGGTCCAGTGCGGTTTCCGTCCCGCTCACCTGAGGGCTGGTTCGTATCTCAGACCATCCGTGCTCGGGAGAACCGCGGTTTCCCTTAGAAACTCCTGACTCGGCCTCCCTGCGTTTTGTGCGCTTAAATAAACCTATTTTAAATCTTCAGTGAGAAGCACTCAGAATTTAGACATCAGCTGGAAATGCTCTGACATTACCGCGCTTTTACACACAGGTACGTTTTAATTGCCATGGAGGCTTTGGACCAGCTTCTGATGGCTTGCCACTCCCAAAGCATCAAGCCATTTGTAGAAAGCTTTCTTCATATGGTGGCAAAGCTTCTGGAATCAGGGGAGCCAAAGCTTCAAGTCCTTGGAACAAATTCTGTGAGTAAAACTGTTTGCTTACTAATTTTAAGTTTTATTAGCATTGTCATCTCCAGAATTACTCCCTTCTGAGAATGTCTCCACCCGGGAAAGGTAACTAAATGCTCTGGACGACCAGTCCAGATGCGGACGACTAGCTCCCTTTGCCTCCAGCTTTGTCTGTGGTCCTTGTGAGACCTGTGACGCTCGCCCCGCGGGAGGCCGCGGAGCAGCAGTTGGCCCTGCAGGCGCGGGCGTGTTCCCCAGCCTTCCTCCACGCCGTCGGAGCCGCTTCCGCTCGCCACGTTCATCTCCTCCTGTCTGTCCCGGACCCTGGTTTGTTGAGTTTGTGTTGGGGTGCACAAGCCACATCTGAAAAGGAACGTAAGGAAAGTAAAGTACAGTGGTAATCTTCTCTTTGCTGTAGTTTTGTTGTATCATGTTCAATCTTCCAGTCCCAGCCTCGTCTCTGAGGGAGCTTTCAGGCATCCAACCAATCTGTGTGTTCCCATCTGGGCTTTTGTAACAGCAGATGAGGAGCTGCAGCTGAACAGCTTGTCCAGAGACACCGTGAAGTACTGCTGTGTAGAGTGGAGGTTCGATGCCGGTCTTCCGACGCCAGACCTGGTGCTTTGCATATTCATACGCTGTTATTGCAGATTAGGATCCAGGGAAAGCATAGTTTACTTTCCCTTTTCTTCCGCCTGTATTCAGTGGACCCATCTCACTTTTCTCAAGCCTCATGACTGTTCTCACCCTTTTTCTTTCAACATTGCTGCCAGTGGCCCGTAGGGCCCAGTCGCTGAGGCCACTCGCCTCACGAATGCAGTGATTCTCAGCCAGGGCGGTCCCCACCCCTGCCCATCCCGATCGCTGATTTCATTGTGGACTGGGGAGTGTTGGTGGTGTCATGGGTGCTGCTGAACACGCTGTACATAACACACAGAATGTGTACTGCACCAAAAATGAGGGGTTTTGTAGAAAATTTTGGGAAAAAAATGTAGAAAATGTACTACACACACCAAAAAAAACCCTACAAAGAATGTTTCAGGTCCAAAATTTTAATAGTACTTAGTGCAAGAAAATCAACTTCTAAAGAATTTCATTACTGCTGCTTTTTATTGTACCTTTTGAAACATAATCTAATTTTTTAATTACACTTTTAAGTGAAAAAAATTAGGACATATTTTTTACTGAGCATATATACTATGTGCAAGGCATTTTGTTAACTTTTCTTTGGTTCTCATGTGAACCTCTCAACAACCGTGTAAGTTAAGTATTTCATTTCACAAGTCACACATTTTGTTGGTCAACCCAGGATCCGAGCCCAGGGCCCTCTCACTGTTCGTAACCTCTGCGCTGTGTACTGTGCCTCGCCTGTCCTCGCTTCTCCGCCTGGTAACAAGTCCTTTCTATTTACTGGCATGTGTAGCACAGAGTGTGTGTGTTCTCGGCTTGTCGGCGAGCCCCACGGGCTGTGGGAAGTAGAAGAGCTTCTCCACAAAGGGGTCGGGAAGAGGACGGGCCGTGTGCGTCCCCCCCCGGAGCGGAGCGGCTCTGACTCGGGCTCCGGGGCCGTGGGGGCCGCTTCTGGCAGTGGGCAGGCGGACCTTACTGCCGTTGGGGGCTGCCACTGGGCGACGAGGGAATCACGTTGTTCCTCCTGAAATGTTTGCAGCACTTTTAACATTACAATGATCAAATTTTTATTTCTGATTAATTTTTTTCTAATTTTAAAAGTAATACACGTTTATTGTAGCAAATTTGGAAAATGCTAGAAAATGTAAACGTAAACAAGACACCTGTAATTCTAATATTCAGAAGTAATCCTTTAGTTTTTTTATTCTTAAAATATGTATTAGAAAATGAGGAACATATTGTATATAGGCTTTGGTGTATATGTTTCTTATTTATGTTGTTAAGCATTTTCTCATGTCACGTAAGGTTTCTTTTTATGAAAAGTATAAATATTTTCCCAAACTATTCACATGGTTAGTGTGTAGTTATGGGAATCGTGAAAATCAGTGTCCAACCCCAGGACTGTAATGCCACCAATTTCACTATTTACTGTGTCACTTTGGGCAAATGACTTAACCTATGAATTTCAGTGTTCCGATCTATAAAATGGGTATAAAGGACACATTCTTTACAGGGACATTGGAATAATTAAATAAGAACTCACGTGCAAGTGCCTAGTGTAGTGTACGATACAAAATAGGTAATGAATTCCAGTTTACTCTCAAGCAGCTGTATTATCTGTGGCTTTTTTCTAGATAATGTGAATCATATAAAAACATAATTTAGCACAGATGACTCAGCGCTGGCTGAATCCGTTTGAACTGCTGGTTCAGTTTTGTTTCCTGGAGCGCACCAGTAAACCGGGCTGGCGATCCTTGGAGACGCAGCCTTGTAGCGCCGCCAGCCCGTTTCCCGGCCGGTTGTCCACGTGTGGGCTGTGTGCAGACTTACCGCCAAACCGAGGGCTTATTGCTCTAGGCTGTTTGGTGTACAGCAGCACCAACCCACCAGGAGAGAGAGAGAGTGAATGAGAAAAGGTAGGGTCTGTGATGCATGTAGGAGATTTAAAATTTCCTGAACACGCGGATTTCCTTTGTTTTTATCATTGGGAAGGAGGCAGAATGAACGCTACCCGCCTCAGTAATTTTCTCCTCTACAGAGGTTGTGCCTCCTTTCTCATGTGCCGTGGAGCAGCTGTCGAGAAATCGCTCCCGCCCACGGTCAAGAACTGACAGGCCCTCGGGTGTGGGCCTGGAGCCCGTCACTGGGGCCAGCGCCCAGGACGTGCGGGCCAGCGTTAGCGCCAGGCCTCTCCTCCTGCAAAGAAAGAGTCAGCTCACTCGCTCAAGGGAACTGGATTAGCAAGTTATAGTTCGTGCTTACTGCGTTATATCCTTGATTGTTGCAGTTCATTATTAAACAGTTGTTTTTGTATGGTGGCGGTATATATGATATTTCATTCACTTCATTTGCTTCTTGGATATTTTTTGCTAATGTAACAAGGAATGAATGAAAGTAAATGTGTTTTGTCTACACTTTCAAAAAGGTGATTAACACATTTATATTGTTGTGTTTTTTTTTTCAGTTTGTCAAATTTGCAAATATCGAAGAGGACACTCCGTCCTATCACAGACGTTACGACTTCTTTGTGTCCCGCTTCAGTGCCATGTGCCACTCCTGCCACAGCGATCCCGAAACACGAACAGAGTGCGTACCGCTTACCGCTGTGGTCCGCAGCGCGGCTCACTGATGAGTCCCGTGTTTACGTATTACATAGTGATTCCCGAAGGAAATGTGAAAATATGCGCTTTGTTCCTGAAATGCAGCTTCCCACGGCTGTTACGATACTAGCAAAATGGAGTGTGGTGTCTCGACTCATTGCAAATGAAATTCGAGTCTGGACCGTAACCCAGGGCGCCCCTCTCTGCCCCCCTTGCCAGCCCGGGGTCAGAGCCTGTCGTCCCACCTGTCTTCCTCCTTCCACTCCGACCCAGCCACCGGCTGGCCTTGCTGTGCCCGGAACACGTCGGGCGCCCTCCTGCCCGGGGCCTTCGGACTGAGTGGTCTCTCTGCACAGGACTCTCAGACACCCACATGGCTTCTCGCCTCACTTTGTTCAGATTTCTGCAGCTGTCACCTTGTCATGAGGGTCCTGCCCAGCCACCGTTTATTTCTCGAATACCCGTCTTCCCTCCCCACCCCAGTCGCTCCTTTCCTTCTGCTCACAGCCGTACCTGCTCTGGCCCATCAGGGGCACGTGGTCTCCAGGAGGCCGCGGGTTCACTTCGGGGCCTGCTGTGGCGCTGACCCTTTGAACACGGCTGGGCCGTGGGGGGCGCTCAGGAAGCGCGGGCTGAATGAGTGCGTGGGTGGAATGCGTGTTACTGAGTCCTTGTCGGTCTCGGTTCTCATAGCAGCTCACTTGAGCGTTTTTAAACATTTCTTCTACGTACAACCCACCAGTAGTCGAATCAAATGCTTATCTGGAAACACAGTCCACAGGTTGAAAGTTAAGAATTAAAGTCAAAATGGTAACTCTGGTAAATACAGAAAGTAACTTGGACTTTACCATAAACCACTAAAAAGAAAGAAACTAACCTGAATTCAGTTATTTGGAGCAGTTTAGCAAGATTTAGCAGGCTTTGTAATTTTTACTTTTCTTTGAAAATAAATAAGGAGATGTGCAGAAATATAACTAGCTTTTAGTGTGCAAGCTACAGTGTTGGTTTACACAAACGAAAACCAGTGTAAAGGTCATTTTAACTTGGAGAAAGAAAGCTGAGAGGTGATTTAATAGTTGTTTTTAGATATGAGATCTGTTTCTGTCTGAGAAGCAGTGAAGTAATTTTTCCTCAGGGTCAGTTAGACCCCGGATGTTCTTCCTTGGTTACGAGGTTGAGGCGTAGAAAGATAACTATAACTGCCTTACAATAATGAAGTTCCTGTTTCCCCCAGGTACCACTAAAATCTCTTTTTCCCCCCCAAATGACATTAAAAAATATTTTATAAAACTGTTTCCTGTTCTCAGGGGCTGACATTAAAATGTTCATGGAACAAAAAAGTATAAAGATTACCTAAATAAAATGACAATTTTTCAACATTGTAATGGTTTTCTTTTTAAAAAAAATATATAGAAAATATCCAGAATGTTGTTTTATTTTCAGTTTAGTATTACACGGATTCATAAACTACTCTCAAATTTCATACACATCTCTCAAATTTCGGTTGTGGTGAGTTTCACATATAAACCAACGCAGGTGAAAAGTGCTGATGGCATCCATAAAATTAATGAAAGGATGCATTTTAAGAAATACAAAAATGTATTACATAAGTTGTTTTATTTTAGGTATTTAGCGCCCCCTGGTGAAAGAAGTTCTTTTGAACATACAGGTATTTTCCTGTGACATTTTTCATTATTGTTTACAAAAAGAAACTTGGAATTTTCGGTACACAAATGAAAGGTCTTGTGGTACTTTCTCCTAAATCTTGGTCTTTCCAGTATTATATGATATTTGGAATTCCAAAATTCCAACATTTCATTTGAATCACTGGAAAGTAAGTGAGTAAATGAAATGCTTTACTGTACTTAGAGGGTTTGATTGTTTTTTCCTGCTTTGCCTTAAGTAAAAGTCCTTCTGGTTGCCTTCAGGCATATTTAGATTCCTTTTAGTTTCCCTTTTCGATTTAGATATTTGGTATCAATCCCTTTAATTTTAGCAAAACCCTTTCAGGCGGGACTCGGGGGGTGGGGGCATGCACAGTAGGAAGTGGGGAATGGGTCTGATCACTGGTGAGATTTCCTTAAAATATCTGCCTTGGAGAAGCAGTTCCCACGGGTAAAGCCGTGCATCACCGTCTGAAGCTCTGCTTCCTGAGCAGCCTTCAGCTGGGGTGGAAATCATCATTGTCATCATCATCATCATCATCATCATCGTGCTGAACAGCATGGGCAGACTCATTGTTGAGTGCTTACTGTGCGCCAGTTTGTTTAACCCTTTATTGGATAAGCACTTTACATGAATTAACTTATTTAAACGGTACAACATCCTGTGCTTTAGATAAGACAGTTGGTCTAGCTTACTGATAAGGGAACCAGGAATGTTTTTTGAGGCCGTGGCTAGAATAGTCGGTGAGGCCGGATGCCAGATCTGAACTGGACGCCAGCTGCGTAGCTGCAGCAGCCCCCCCCCACCCCCCGGGGGGGCCGCGCCCTCTGCCTGCTCCGTGTAGGCCCCCGGGTCTCGAGGCACGAGCCACCGTTCTGATGTCATCGGGTCTGCTCCACCGTGTCCTCTCCCAAGGAGCGGCCGCAGGTGCCTAAAGCAAACACCTGTGCAGCAGCAGCATCAGGCTTGGCTGCTTGTGGAAGCTGAAGGTCTCTCACCCTTGAAACGTTTTAGAAAGCAGCGCACCTAGACACAACGTCAAAGTAGGCAGGATCTGTCTGCGTGTCTCCCAGTTCGCTTTCTGGCTGCCCCTTCCTGGTCTCCCTCGGCCGCCCCGGAAGGCGGGGTCGTTTCCCCAAGGGCCTGGAAAGCGGATCGTCCCCTCCCCCACAGCTGCTGTTCTCTAACCCTGTCCGCAGGCTCTGTGTGGGAGGACGGTGCTGGGCAAGCAGAGCGGACCCTCGCTGGTGACTGCATCCAGTAGTAGCAACAAGAAAGTAACAGTCACACTTGGCCAGAAGGAATGTGTTTCAGGGCAACTGGGCTACCAGTTTACCTCTGCTTTTATATGCTGTGTCCTAGTCACATTTCACTCTTGAACTTGTAAATGTACATGTGGGGTGAGGAAGGGCTTGAGGAAGAAGCTGGGACTGTGGGTCGGGGCGGGAGGGTGGGGCAGCACGGTCTCACTGTGGGGTGAATTGTCCATCACAGATACGCATGATGACTTATGTCAGTACACACAGATACATGTGTGTGTATCTATGTGGCTGAGGTTATCCGCACTCCATTTGGTTAGTTCTCCTGTGTCACACCCTTAAAGGAACCAGCTCAGCATCCCAGTCTCCCTATAGGCGGGCTCAGGGAGGCGGGCACCTGTGGGGAGTAGACGAGGAAGAGGCTGAGCGAGCCCTGGAGGGCGTTCAGAGAGCAACATCCCGCGTTCGCTCAGCGTCGGAGCCCGAGGCAAGAAACGGAGAGAACCTGGCTCCTTACTCCGAACCACTGCCCTTTTCTTAAGGAAAACCTAGAGTTTCTGATTAAATTCTCTTATTAAAAATTATACTTAGACTGCATATTACTATATTTTAACAGTCCTTTTAGACTTTAAATGCTGATTTTAAAAAGATAGTATTGAAAGGAAGCCTTCTTTTGGAGCCGACTCATCTTTTTGTCCGAGATTATTGCAATTTTAATTTCTCAGACTTGTGTTATTTTCACTTTATTAACTTAAGGTAACAATATTGGGATTCATTCTTTTAGCTAAACAGGCAGACTTGTTTAAATCACTTTTTCATGACTCACTTTTTTTTTTTTTCCTAGAATTCGAATTGCTGGGATCAGGGGTATTCAAGGCGTGGTTCGCAAAACAGTTAATGATGAACTTCGGGCTACAATTTGGGAACCCCAGCATATGGATAAAATTGTGCCGTCTCTGCTGTTCAACATGCAGAAGATAGAGGAGGTCGACAGGTACTGGATAAGGGCTTCGGGGTTGGGGCGGCGTTGCCTGTGCAGAAATGGGTGTGTGCTCGCTCACTGGGCTAAGAACCTGGTGTCTTTAGTGTGCCGTAGATAAGGGGTCTCATAAATTTGAGTGAGTTTAAATGTGTGCCCTTTCTGAAAAATTGTTCATCTTTTGTGAGCATATTAGGCTTAGGAGGGCACATATGTTTACTCATACACTTAAGGTTTTATTTGTTTTAGAATAGCTTTGTACTTTACACGCTGCTTATCATTGAGCATCCAAATTGGTGTTGGCACTAAGATATTCACACTTGCTTAAAGTTGCAAGTGTGAGAAATAAAAATTTTAGCTGAACTTATTCTTTAGAGATCCAGCATGCTTTTTGATGGAGCTAGAAATAACCACAATAGTAGTAGTAGTAATAATAATAGCTATTTACTTTATAATGTTTTCCAACGAAAGGGTTAAACTGTGTATTTCTTGCTCATTTTTGTAAGATACTTTGGGGTAAAAGGGAAGTGTTGTTTCACCGTCTCTGGGAAGTGATGAGCATTCGGTGTAGCTGTGGGAACCAGCACCAGGACCCCCACGGTCTGTCTGTTTACTGTTCCCTGCGTTCCCAGCCGCATAGGCCCTCCTGCCTCCCCCTCCGCGGCAGACAAGGAGGAGAATCCCGCTGTGCTGGCTGAGAACTGTTTCCGCGAGCTGCTGGGCCGCGCGACCTTCGGGAACATGAATAACGCCGTCAGACCGGTGTTTGCGTGAGTAGCTGGCGTGTTCGTGGCTGTTTGCGACTGCGCATCGTCAGTTGTGTTGCTCGCTCACAGAGGGCAGTGCCCTGTCTTGTAAGAGGGAGCCGATCATGGAGCCGTGCGGCCTCGTGGGGCAGTGCAGGACCGAGTCAGACACGCGTGTCTTGGCACTGGTCTGGCTGGCCAGGCGCATCATGTACCCTGAGCTCCTACACACAGACCTTGAAATATGTGTTACTGTATTTCAAATGTATTTACGCTGCCTGGGATAGCTGCTGCTTCAGTGTGTACTTGACTTTGCAGATGCTTGCTTTTTTGTGGGGTTCAACGTGAGCAGCTTTTCTTTCTTACCAGGTTATGTAGGTATTTAAAAGTCTTACACAGTGTGTAGTCTGGTCTTTTCATAAAACATCACCACTCTCTGGTGGTGTTTTATGAAAGAATCTGGCAATTGGGGGAAATATGTATCATATTTCCGGAATTGAAACATTGACTTTCTTTTAGACAACCTTGATCTCAAAGCTTTGCATATTGTCGAGAGTTCTAGGGGGAAAAATTGTAATACAAGTAAGGAATGATTGAAGTAATTTTCTCATTGTTTAATTACAGGCATTTAGATCATCACAAACTATGGGATCCTAATGAGTTTGCGGTTCACTGCTTTAAAATTATAATGTATTCCATTCAGGTAAGTAATTTTGGCTCTGTATTGATAAGCGTAACACCCAAGATGTGATAGACTGCAGGGCAGCGGGTGTCTGCCCGTGCGGCACGGCGCGCCGATGTGCCGCGGGAGCTTTCACAGCGCGCAGCACCCGGCTGCTCGGTGAGGGGCACTGACCCCCTTTCCCCTAGAGGGTCAGATCGGAGAATGACAGCGGCCAGCACAATGGCCGTGTGAACGAATCAAAACCATACCTACATTGTTTTGTCAGATTGGCAAAAAGTATATTTTTTGGTGTGCTGCAGAATTTTAGTAATTTATGTGTGCTCTGAGATGAAAAAAGTTGATAGTCGCTGCTATAGCATATAAAACATGTTCTTAATTGACTTCTCTCATTTATTTTTATTTACCACTTAATTGTTTTTATTTGCCAAGATGGAAAGATATTTAATAACAAGGATGAAATGATTTTATGATGGTGCTGTTATTGCACATTTATTTAATGCAATTACTGTGTATTTATTTTTTAAATTTTTTTTCTTAAGATTTTATTTATTTATTTTTAGAGAGGGAAAGGAGGGAAAAAGAGAGAGAGAGAAACATCAATGTGCGGTTGCTGGGGGTTGTGGCCTGCAACCCAGGCATGTACCCTAACTGGGAATCGAACCTGCGACACTTTGGTTCGCAGCCCGTGCTCAATCCACTGAGCTACGCTAGTCAGGGCTTGCAGTTACTGTGTATTTATATTTCACTGATAAACTGGTATTGGAATTGATATTTCTTTTAGCAGCATAGATCTGATAATAGTAACTACCATTTATTGAGTATTTAGTATGCTGTATTGCATGTATGAACTCCTCCAGACTTTATCGAACCCTCGACAGTATTTTGCAAATTTTTTTCACTCAGGGTATCATAAATACTTTCTAGTATTCACATTTATTCTTAACAAGAATGATTTCTAATGGCTACGTACGGTTCCATAACGTAATTCCCATCTCCCGTAATCGGATCTCAGTGTCTGCGGTCGCGCATTCTTACGGGCTCTGCTGGATGCATGTGACTCTCACCCGTCTCTGCATTGTTTTGTCTCTGCCAGGCTCAGTATTCTCACCACGTGATCCAGGAGATTCTGGGGCACCTCGATGCTCGCAAGAAAGACCCGCCCCGGGTTCGCGCCGGTATTATTCAGGTTCTGTTGGAGGCTGTCGCCATCGCTGCTAAAGGCTCCATAGGTGAGTGCCGGCAGGGAAGGAAACCAGCAGCACGTTGCCGCCTCAGTCTGCTGCAGAACGGTTTCCGGTGGCTGCCCAGTGGACGGAAACTCCTGGGAAATGGTCCTAACGTCTCTAAAAGTGCTGTCATTTGTGTTGAAACTTTGGGCGCGTATGCTAATCCTCAGAGTTCTTTGTGTACAGTTCAGCATTTTCCTTCAAACCGATCTCTCCTTCCCTCCCGTCTCTTTTCTTTTAAAGATTTGTGGGTACCAATTACATGCTAAAGATTTGGGAGGATACAGATGTGAGAAACTTGTCACTTACTCGGAGTTAAACAACTCCACCTAATACTTCAATGAAAGGCAGAAGTTGATCACACACAAGAAACCCGGCTCAGAGCAGGGAGGGAAAGTGGGTTAGCAAGAGCAGCGTGTTTTGTGTAGCCTGTTAGGCTGCGCTGTTGGTGACGGGCGGAGGAAGTCAGAGAGGTTCAGGCCGTGGCCGACCGTGGAGCTGATCCTCCAGTCGATGGTACTCTCCAAAGATTTCCTGTAGTCTTTATCAGACGTTACAGGTAAATGCTGGAGGGTGATTCGTCTGGCTGCAAAGTGTAGGGCACGTCGGAAGTAGCAGGTGGGTGTCGTCGCGGTAGGTGTTGGGGAGGGGACTTGGCACTGGATGGCAGCGACAGAAGGTGAAATCAACAAGATCAGGTAACTGACTGGCGGTCGGGGTAAGGAAAGGGACAGACAGGCGAGGGACCGTGGCTTTTCACCTGCACGTGATCATAAGAGTGAAAGGGTCCTTAACAATACTACTGACGTTGGGGGGCGATTCTGGTTATAGTTTTTTACTTCGGAATTAAAATGGAAATGTTTTACTGACCTATACTCGTGTTCATTCAATGTCAAGTAAGAGTAGGCATTTGGGATACAGACTTTTCACCACCTGTCTTGTTACTTAAAGAGCTGGAAGCAGGTCATACCACCGGAAAGTTATTTAATTTGAAATACGAAATGAAGTACAGACAATAAATTGAACCATCACACTTAACTGATGTCTGTTCTGGGTGAGATTCCATGTCCTAGGCTCTGAACATTCCACAGACTGTTTAAAGGGGCCTGTCTGTCTGAAGATTGAGGTAAATTCTTCCTTCTTCAGCGTCAGAAGGTGCAAAATAAATTTCCTGTGCTACAACGAGCTATATGATCATAATTTCATGGATTCTGACCCAATAGTCAGGTTAAACGTCGTCCTCACACGCATTATTTTGAGCGGACAAACTCAGATAGGCGGAGAGCATTTGGTCATCTTCATAGGCATGTGCACATTTTGTGTGGGTCAGACCGAGACTCAAACAGTGGGCTGCATAGAGATGCCAGGAAACGTGTGCTGGAGTAGCTGGGAGGTATTTCCCCTTTACCTTTAATGTATCAGTTTGTTCGTGAATCAGTAAGGCTTTCCAGCCACTTAGAGCCTCGCCAGCGTCTCCGTTGCGGAGTCCGAGCCCTGGTGTGGGGCAGGTAATGGTGGGAGCGCGGGTCCGCTCACCTCGGTGCCCGCTTACAGGGCCCACGGTGCTGGAGGTGTTCAACACCCTGCTGAAGCACCTGCGCCTCAGCGTGGAGCTGGAAGCCAGTGACCTGCAGGAGGGGTCCGTGGGCAGTGCCGGCCTAAACACGGGCTCCAAAGACAACGAAGAGAAGATTGTGCAGAATGCTATCATCCAGACCATAGGTGAGTGCGTGCCACCTCTCCGAACCATTCCGTGTGTCACACTGGTTAAAAACACTCTCACAGGAGGCACTTGAGTCTGTAGTGCCTCTGCCAGAGGTGAACTACAGCTTCAGCTCCTGAAAGTCTGTATTTAGAAAATAAACCTAAGAATAGGACACTGTATACCCTTCACCCAGATTCATCTATTGATATTTTATGCCATTTATGTAAGCGTTTACTCTCTCTCTGTGTCTTTCCATTTCTCTGTGTGTGCATGTCTGTCTGTATCTACATATATGCGCTCATATAAGTACACATACACACAGAGATAGAGCACACACACGTACATTCATACATGGGCATTTTTTTCCACGAATCACTGAACAGTGAGGGAAAATCATCATGGCTCTGTCCCACAGAGAACTTTTCCTAAAGACAAAGACATTTTCCTACATAACCGGACTATAGTTATCAACAAGGGGAAATTTAACACTGATACAGTTCTGTAATCTAATTTCTTTATATTTTTTTTCATTTGACCTAATAATGCCCTGTGTAGCATGGTTGTGTTACTGTAGGTCTCGGGTCCAGTCTAGGATGGTATGTTGCATTTAGCTGTAATAGTTCTTCAGTTCCTTTAGTCTGGAGCATTCCATTATGATATGGGCATTATTTTAAGCCACCCCTTTTTTAGTTTCCTCATTTGGGTTAGTCCGGAGTTCCCGCGAGATTAGATTCAGGTTACACGTTCCTGGCTGGATGATGTTCTTCTCGGAGGGTCCCGCGGAGAGGAGCCTCATGCGGGGCATTTGCTCCTCGTCGGCGACCTTAATTCTGGTCACTCAGAGTGCCGTGCTGTTTCTCGGCTGGATGGTATCCATTTTCCCCTCTGTAAATAGTAAGCCATCTCTGAGAAGGTCCTTTTAGAGCAGGCAGATAATTCTGCTCTTCATCCAGACTTCCTTTAGATTTAGCAACCGTTCGTAATTTTTGCCCAAACCCGTCTTTCCCTGGATGAGGGCAGAATTACGGTTTTCAGACTCCGCACTCCCTCCCTCCCTCGCTGTCAGGCGGCACCCAGTCTCTGCTGTAAGCAGGGCCCTTTCCTCTCTGTGTGGGTGTAGGGCCCATGCATTCATCCGTCGTTCCTGGGTGAGCTCATGGGTTCATGTTTCCATGCTTCATAGTTCATTGTATACTTACTGCCTCTGGTGCTCAGGTTGTCCCAGCCACGGCCAGCGGGAGGCCCTGCAAGCGTCTCCTGTGTCTCTGTAACACGCACCCCCGTCCTTTCTTTCGAGCAGAGCCTCACGCGTGCAAGCTGTCCCGGCTCGCTTCCTGCTTCCTGCCCCGCCTGGAGCCAGGCCTTCCTCCGGGGGCGGGGGCTCTTGTCACTGGGGGTGGTGTCGGAGACCGGGACCTGGGGGCGGACCCCCTGTGCTTCAGTGTCATGGGCCTTTTATTTTTTAACCCAGTGATCAAAATATATAGGGTGAGAAGGTAAAGAGCTTCCTTAAATGACACGCCATGAGTGTTTTTGGGAAATGCAACGCTCTGGCTGGACACAAACGCAAACTGAAGCAGGCAAACCCTTTTCCTGCTCTGACCCTGCCCTCCCAGCCTGCCTGTACTATATCCAGATCGTACTTCAATGTAACTATGTGGTTGCTGTGATGACTTCAAAATTAAGTTGTCTTCCTGGGGTTTGGTGCCTAATTTCTAATGGTTACCAATAGTTTCTCTAATAATAGAGTCATATATCAATTTATTCTGGTGCTCAGCTCATACCTTTATCTGGGTAATTTTCTGACCTGTGAGCTCCTTATTTATAGTAGTCCTTTGGAACATATAATACAAGGTTTGTCTTCGTCCTCGTATTTCTAACGCTCCATGAATATGCATACGTGCACTGTGCGTCCCACAGCTGTTTATTGAGTGTGTGTGGCACACCCGGCCCCCGGCCAGGCTTCCTGACGCACAGGGCTGTCGCCTCGTGGAGGCGCTTGGTTGGTGCGGTACCTCTGTTTCACCTCGTCACAGCCTCGGCGGGTGCATAGGAATTGTCCTCATGACAACGGACATCCACGTGTGCCTTATTCACACAGATAGGAAGTGGTTAGGGTTTTGGAGTGACTGAAAAGGAAACCGTGATAGAGTTCAGTATTACCATGGAGTCTCAATAAAGCAAGACACCCTAGTTATTGCTTACAACAGTTAGTATCAGTGTATGGTAAACCTAACTTTTAAGGTGACTCTTAATTTTTCTTTTTTAATTTGAGAGAGAGAGAAACATTCATTTGTTGTTCCGCTTATTTATGCATTCATTGGTTGCTGCTTGTATGTGCCCTGACTGGGGATCGAACCTGCAACCTTGGGGTATTGGGGCAATGCTCTAACCTACTGAGCTACCCAGCCAGGGCATGACTCTTAAATTTAGTTGCATTCCTTATGGATTTTCAGTGATATTTTAATATGGTATATCAAATCATTTCATCATGTTTTAATGCAGTTAGTATAAATTGTTTTTGTGACTTTTAATTAGTGCAGTGTTACTATTCTACTTTAGAAGGTTTAATTTATTGTGTCTCAAGTACCTTATTATAAAACATATATACAGCAGACTCAAGCAATATTTCTGTGACATAACACGTTTAGAAATAACATGTGAAAATTAAAACATGACCGAGAAGAAATTCAGTGTAGTACAGAGTAAGATTTTTATTTAAATCACACTGCTGATTTTCTCAATATTTTCTTGGAGAAGTTCTCAGTATCTGGCAGTTACCAGATCAGATGGGTATTTCTGTTGGTGGGCTGTGGAGCAGGGTGGCTGTAGCTTTTGCCCTTCACGTTATGGAGCTGTTGGCCAGGTTCTTTCTCTTAAAATAACGGAACACATAGCTCCTTGCTGGGGTTTTTGTTTGTTTTGTTTTTGTGTGTGGGGGGTGGATCATTAGCATTTTTAGTTAAGAAGTTCCAGTACAAACAATGCGTACAGAGAATGAGTGACTTTCAGGACCGTCCTCAGAGTTGGTCGTGTTGGGGACTTCATGTCCTTGTGGGAAGGACAGACTTGCTTGGAACGGAAGATCAGTGTCCAGTTTTGTATGGGGATTAGGAGGATTTCTAACTGGGTCCTTGGAAAGGTAAAAGCACCTTATAAGGAGGAAGCAGAGAGTAGTAATGGCGTGGGCTTTGGAAACGAGTAGTCACCCTCATCTCGGGCCATAATGTTAGTTCCCTGCGTGAGGTCTTGCCCTCCGTCACCCTCACTTCCACGAGAGGAAGCTGAGACTGGTAACAGTGCCTAGTCTCAGAGGGTTGTTGTGAGGTCCAGATACGAAGTGGACTGTTACCCCAGAGATGTGTGCTCTGTAAGCATTAGCTAGAATATTTTATGCAGATTGAGTACTAGTAAGAAGATGAGGTTTTTTTATTGCTAAAGTATATGGTAATGGGAAATTATTTTTAACCAGTGGGATATTATTTTTGACCTCATGTCCAATCAAAATCATGAGGAGAATAATTCGCGTTTGTGTCAGTAGATTATTAACTCTAATAATAGAAGCTGAAGAGGAACTTACTCTTGGAGAAATATTATAAATCAGAAGTTTTCTGTAATGATTGTTATACTCTAAGATGTGAACAAAAACAGCCATGATTTGATATCTGTTCGGATCTTTCAAAGAAACAACAAAGTCTGAAGTTTGAGTAAATGTCAATTTAATGTTGTAAGTCTTTTATGACCAGAAAGTAAATATTTAAAAGCTATGGCAGGCAAATTAAAATATCCACAAAACCCAAGAATGCATGAGAAAAATGACAAGTAAACAAGTTATTATTTCTTAATACCAGCTGAATTGTCTATGTTGGGATAACTCCCAGGGTTAAACTGTGATCTCGGGCTGTGATAATGACTTTTTAAACATTCCTAGGAAACCAAAGTAGTGACCTAATTATTGACTTCTTTACCGAAATAAGAACCTAGGTTCACAGTATATAAGCAAGAGTTTCGTCAGAAATACTGCCAAAAGGTTTTTTCCTTTTTCTAAAACTCCAACTCAAATTGATGGTGGTGTGCCGCTGTTAACTATAAGCAAAAAACTTTTAGACATTTATTTTGTTTTAATCCATTACATAATTCTCATATGGTATACGATTAAATGACTTTAGTTACGTTAAATTATAATGTCATTGGAGTTCAAAGACACTGGTTTTACTACATAGTGAAAGCTTTGGTTAAAAATACAATTTTTTACTATATGGAAACATAAATGTTTTAATTTGTAAAATGTATCTCAACTTTTCGTAGGGTTTTTTGGCAGCAACCTGCCAGACTACCAGCGCTCGGAAATCATGATGTTCATCATGGGGAAAGTGCCGGTGTTTGGGGCGTCCACCCACACCCTGGACGTCGGGCAGCTCGGGTGCGTGCGTGTGGTCGCCCTGCGTTCCAGACCATGAGTTTCAGCTGAATAGTGGTGGTTTGACTTCCTTTTAAAGAAACCTGGAAAATGTATTTTTTTTAATCACTAGAAATAAAAATCCTATGGAAAGTAGTATTTTTATGGTACTGGCTCGCTACGGAATTCAGTCAGCTTTTGGAGTCAGTTTTCAGTATGACATAAATTCTCTCATTTTCTTATACTGACCAGGCGGAAAGTTTGTTTAGCCTGGACATTGTCTATATACGTATGTATTTAGGATAAAGCTTCAAGTTTCCTGTAAAAAATTAATAATTAACATAAGTGTGGTGGGAATATTGACTTATTTCCGGAGTTCTAGAACTGAAAGTGATTTCGGGATCACATGCTTGGGCCCGCTCATTCTGTGGATTGGACTTGACTTCACAGTGTGCCTAAGCGTTAGCTCGTGCGTATTTCTGTGTTGTTTGCTACTTTAGTAATGAAAGAGTAGTCTTACTTGATTTATATTTCTTTGACCGTTAATTAGATAACCCACTTCCACTTGTTAATTGATTTTGAATCATCAGTTTTTACCTATTAGATGTGTTAGTCAGTTATATTTACAGTGAGTGTAGCCTCAACTTAATTCATGTTGTTGTGTTGTGTACTCACATGGTTTAATTTTCATGTCATCCATGCACAGGTCTCTCCTTTGAGAGCCGGTAACTTTTCATTTTTTTGTTTGAATTTGATTTTTTTACATATAACTCTTTAATTCATATGAAATTTAGACTATAAAGTGAACCACAACTTAGCTGCTATTATTAAAGTAAAATCTACTTAGCCAGTATGAATAGAGTCTTAGAATCAGTAACGAATAAGTAAGTGAAGTGACGTGACTGTTCATTACTGTCGATAGGTAATGCTAGTGTGCTGTGTGTTCTAGGGACTTGGGGACCAGGAGGATTCAGATCATGCTGCTGAGGTCTCTCCTTATGGTAAGACATTTCCGACAGGCGACGAGCACACTTACCCTTTAATCACTGAAGAGGTTAAAAGAACAGTTGCACGTTATTAACTTCCTTTTCTTATATAGCCTGCTATTGATGGTTACTTGTTTTCCATGGTTGACGTAATTAAGTATTATGCTTTAATTTTATCTTATTTTACTATACTTTTGCTATTTTCCCGACCTCTCCTATCACCGCATTTGACATTTACAATGATGAAACACACCAGGAAGTATTGCCATTTTAGAGATGAAGATGCCCCGGCCAGCAGTGGAGGAGGTTCACCGGGGTCCCGGAGCTAAAGAACAAAACTTGGACTTGAAATGCAGTGCTCTATCTAAATATCATGTTATTCTTTCACATACTGGCCAAATAATTGTTGTTTGGAAAATAACTCAGCTACAAGTAGCGGAGAAGGACAGGCACCCCTCAGGTGTGAGGCTCTGCGTGTATTCCACCGTGAGCGTGTCCACCTTTGGTCCAGCCCCACCCCGCACAGCGCCCAAGCCGCGCAGGGGCGGGCGCCCGGGGCGTGTCCTTTTCCAGTCAGCGCTTCCAGGGGGTGCTCTCAGCGTCTCCACTAGACGTGGTGCAGTTCGTAAAAGAAATATTTCATACCAAGGAGAAGTGTGAAAACACATAATTTAAATTTTAAATTCCGATATGGCCAGACATATCAGTCCCTCCCTGTGTGCTTCCTTCTTTCTTATTTGTGTCCTGTTTAAGACTCCGTGCCTCTTCTGATGATGTAAACACGTTTGTTTATATTTCCTTCCAAAAGTTTTTAAAAGGTGGCTTTCTATATCTAGAACTTCCATCTGAAGATTACTTTTATATGTGGTATGAGACATCCATGTAATTTTATTTTTTAGGTGGGTAGCAATTGTCCCACAGATTTCCTCACTCACCTGTAAGGTCACCTCCACCCTGTGATACACGTGCAATATAAACATTAGATGTTCCGAATGTGCTTGCACATGTAAATATGAATTGAAATTACCGACTGAAATTTCATCCGGCCCCAAGTGTTTATTAAACAAATTCCCCGAGTCGGTCATCTTGGCGGAACCCCCTGCACCACCTCGTCAGCTGCGCGCAGGTCTGCGGGGTGTGGGTAGGATGGTTAACAGTGTCCAAGTACATGCTCTTGAAAAGCTTTAAATACAGCAGTCACCCCGAAATGTCAAATCAAATACCTGAAAGTACAGCTTTCCAAACTGAAAATGGATTCCTATGAACCCAAACTGCTTCATTTAAAATAAAAGAGTAGTTTACAAATTTAAAGGAAACATTCTCAGCTCTTACTTGTACCACTTGCTACGTAATTCCCTTAATGTCCATTCAGTGCTGACTGCCTGTCCCATGTGCGCCTAACCCCCAGCCCTCAGTTTTCTCGTGTCAAGTGGGGGTGCGCGTGCGCCCACCTCTCGGGGACGTGACGAGGACGCAGTTGATGCATGTGTAGTGCTGGATGTGTGGCTGGCACACGGGAGTTGTGACTTGTTACTAAGTTTACCTCTTTCCGAATGATTATTTGTAAACTCAGTAAAGTCCTCATCATCTTACAAAATTCTTTTTTGCTTTTTCTTCAAGCTTATGTCCATACTTGTTCTCCTTAGTTTGTGATTATTATAAACAGTTTGAGAATCTGACCAAAGGAAGACTCATGCCAAAGGTTTTTGTTTGATTCTGTGACTTTGCTCCCTATGATCAGGTCACCTCTGGCTACAAAGCCAAGACGATTGTCACCGCGCTGCCTGGGTCCTTTCTGGACCCTCTGTTGTCAGCATCCCTCATGGAAGACTACGAGCTGAGACAGTTGGTCTTGGAAGTGATGCACAACCTCATGGATCGCCATGACAACAGGGCGAAGCTTCGAGGGATCAGGTATTGCACCATCCTGAAACAGGCTTGATGGTGATGTTTTTCAGCTTCGACATTCGTGTAGCTGAGTGTTGTGATCTGTAGGTTTTCTGAACCCAATTTAATTATTAATATAGTTTAAGACAGCAATGTTTGGAGATCTTTTCAGAAATTTCAACTACTAGTGGTCTCTAGTTACATGAACTTTATGTCAGTTTTGTTTTAAACTTAGAAATGGCATTAGGAGTCAAGATTACTTTATAAAATTCTTAATTAAACTTGCTAATTCAGTGGTGTCATTACATAAGGGCTGAGTAACATGCTCATTGAAATGAGTGTTAATGCAACTCAGACTCCTAAGTGTAGCTATTGATTTGCCTCATAAGACATGATATTATAACTAAATGTGCTATTGGTTAAAAATGATATATTGATTACCTCTAGAATAATACCTGATGTAGCTGACCTGAAGATCAAAAGAGAAAAAATTTGTAGACAAGACACAAGTTTTATGAAAAAGGTAAGGCTGTCTCCTGAAAAATACTGCATGCTACCAGTTAAAGCCGTTTGAATTGTTAGGTAGTTTTATATCGCTCTAGGGCCTTGAAATGAAGCCGCACTGTGTTAGTATAGTTACCTGGACTGGTTTGGGTTAGGGGGAACCTCTGTGCAACCCTGGGAAGTTTCCGCAGCCTCTCCCCTGTGTACTGGCTGCGGACCTCCCTCTGGGGGCTGCGTGCCGGTGTGTGGCAGAAACTACAGAACCCCTCCCGGCCGAGTCCTGGCCGGGTCCCGGGTGGGTCCTGGGTGGGTCCCGGGTGGGTCCTAGCCACCCACAGGTGAGAACACCTGAGCACAGTGCCCTCCGCCACGTGTCCTCCACCATCGCCGGGACTGCCGCGACTCTGTCGTCCGTTCGGATTGCTTCTCATGCCAGTCTGCAGTTTGCTCCTGTCTTTGCAGATTATCGCTAAAAACACTTTCATTGTTGACATGAGAGCCATTTCCTCCTTGCCGTTTTCATTGAAGGCTTCGTCTTCTACGCTACTGTCAGTTTGTGGGAGTGTGCTAGTATTGTGCTAGTATATGTGTATGTAGACGTCAATGATGGGAACACAGTTAGACCTAATTAGCGGTTTAAATCTTCCTTCCGTGGTAATAAAATAGCCACTTTGTGGGTGGTTGTATGCATGTGAAATCTGCCTTTACTACCTTCTAAGCAAACTTACCTTTTTCCTCTGTCACTCCCCTTTTCAGAACGGGCAACAGCTATACCGACACATATATTTGGGCTGTAAAGAGGAAGACAATGTTCAGAAAAACTATGAGTTACTTTATACTTCTCTTGCTCTTATAACTATCGAATTGGCCAATGAAGAAGTGGTTATTGATCTCATTCGCTTAGCCATTGCTCTGCAGGTATGCTTTCGTAGCCCTTCGTTGAAGGAAACATTCTGCTTCCAACGAAGTGGGCACCATCGTTAAAGCGCTGTTGCCTTTACCCAAGCACGTGCATTTTTAAAGGGGTGTGTCTATTTTAAATCTAAAATACTCAAGAAAAGGATCATAGTCATTTAATTTTTTTAACAAATGTCAAGTGAGCATTTGACTGTGTTAAACATTATTCAAGGCCCCAGGAAAGTGGGGGACAACACGGCTCCTGTGCTCATACTTGGGGTTCAGTGGGGAGGTGGTCGCTAAGTCATATCTGTGTGTTGTTTGGTGGGACCTTAGGTGTTGTATAGTTAAAGGGCAGTAGGTGAGGAGAATGTGTATAATATGTGTATGTCCGAGTGATATATTAGCATATATATTTAATGTATATGTCCTTTTTTTCTTACAAAACGCTATTTGAGAGGTTTTACTCTCCTGTAAATGGGCATTCATTTTCTCTCAGAATTAGAAAAACAAATAACTTCTGGTAAGATGGCATTGCTTTGTTAGCACCCCAGAGCACCTGCAGTCTTTCAGAGCAGGCGGAGGGGACGCTAGCAGAGCCTGAGACCCTGTGCTGTGCCTGTTCTGCTGCAGGACAGCGCGATCATCAACGAGGACAGCCTGCCCATGTTCCACCGCTGCGGGATCATGGCGCTGGTCGCCGCGTACCTCAACTTTGTGAGCCAGATGATCGCCGTGCCCGCTTTCTGCCAGCATGTGTCCAAGGTGAGGTGCCTAGATGGTCCGGCCTGACCTTTGTACGAGATGCCTGATTCTCTTTCCGTGATGATTAGTTTTAGTTTTCATACTTGTGTATCAGATTAAGATGATTCTGTAAAAATACACAGTGGCTAAATTGAAACTACAGTTAAAACTACAGGCAATTTTTATACTTTCCTTGATGCCTGTTGTGGTGGTAGAATTTTCTGTGTAGTGGTTGAATAGAATACTTGGTTTGCCTCTAGACTACTTCGTGTGATTTCTTAGATAAGTTTTTTCTTTTAAACAGTTGTGAATCTTAGTATCTAAATTTTCTTAAATTATACTATTTTTGTTATTTTAAACCAATGTGCTTGAGCCACATCTCAAAAGTTGAATAATTAATGTGCCTCTGAGAGATTTGTTCTTTGTCATTAAACTATATTAGTTTTTTTCAGCAGCAACTCATTAAATAATTACTCGCATGACTTAATAGCATTTTACAGAACCTCAGTTTATGGGCCTGGAAGCGCATCTCCTAGTCCTGGCTAAAATGTCGGACTTCGGGGCGTTTGCAGAAAGAGAACTCATCCGTGCACTAGTCAGGCGTTTGGGTGAATGTGCGGTGCCCGCTGGAGGAGACAGAAATACTGGGAGAGCGGGGTGCGCCCTGCGGGGGCTCACGGTTGAGCAGAGGAGCCAGACTGCCCCGCGCACTGAGCCCTCCGCACGGGCTGCAGCGGGAGCACGGGGGGCGTGGCGAGGGCCTGGCTCTTCCTGAAGGGGTTTCCAGAACAGTGGCCGCTGAGAAAGTGGGTTCTTTTCCCTGCGTGGCAGGTCTGACCGGATGCAGCGTATTACTGTTTTCTACTACATGATCCCTGCACGATGTTGTTATCTGATGAATTTTGAAAATAATAAATGTAAACCAAAATGAACTCTGGTTTGAGCTATAAATGTAATTTAAATTCCAAAATAAAGTGGTAGTATTTCTTATAAACGTTTACTTTTCATTTCTGCTTTTTCAGTTTTCCACATTTTCATGGCAAGCTCCTGAAAGTGAGGTTTTTGATTTTTCTGTTTTGTTTTTGGATATATTTCAGGTTATTGAAATTCGAACTATGGAAGCCCCTTACTTTCTGCCAGAGCACATTTTCAGAGATAAGTGCATGTATGTTACTTCCTTACATTTGAAGAAGGGGGAATAATTTTCTGGTGTTTTGTAATAATCATGTTCTGTGTTTCTGTCATTTAATTCATCTCAGTTCTTTCTCGCTATGAAGTTCTTGTACATGATGAATATAGGCTTAGGCGTACATAGATCAATCTTTGATAAAAAATTTATCTTTTTAATATGGAGATATATCTCTTAAATGTAGCATGTTCTCATATAAATGAACATTCCTTTAAGGGAATGTAATATCCTGTTCAAAACTTGGAATATGAGTATTGAGATAACAATACTCATAAAATTGTGGGAGAAAGAATGTATTAAGGAAAATTAATAATTTATACCCTGCATTCTTTCTTGCTCTCCAAACCAAGAAAAAAAAAAGAACAGTATATTCTTCACACTTTTGGGCTGTAAAGTGGTTTAACATTGAAAGCATCAGCGTGAGAGCAAACCAGGGCATTTCAGAGGAAAAGGGAAGTTCACGTGGCTGGGCAAGTGCTTCCTGCCACTCGGCTAGCTGACAGGTGTTTTCATGAACTGTCGGTAAACTTCAGTGTGGCTTCTCCTCGCGGTAGAGTTTTGGTTAGCCCGACGGGGGAGGCTGGATTTAGTCCTCTTGGTCGTTTCTCGTGGGAACGCCTACTGACCAGCGCGTGAGGCCGCCCGCGCCGCCCGGACGGTGCTGGGGAGGCAGCCGCAGCCGAGGGGTGTCCCTGAGGAGGGACCGGTCCTTGTGCTGTAAACAGCCGGACCGTCCCCTGCAGTACCCTGTCGTCACTGCCCGCGGTTTATATCCGTCGCACTGAGGCTCTGACTTCCAGTGTTTGCGTGTTGACTCGTTTTCGCTCCGCAGTTTACATAACACTGACGGGCTCTTGTCTGGCCAACCCGACAGGCTCCCCAAATCCCTGGAGAAGCACGACAAAAGTCTGTACTTCCTCACCAACAAGATCGCAGAGTCCCTCGGGGGCAGCGGCTACAGCGTGGAGAGGCTGTCGGTGCCCTACGTGCCGCAGGTCACAGGTGAGGGGCTGGTGCGGCTGGTTCCCGCGGTGGCCGAGCTCACTGCCCCACGCCCCGTCCGCAGGGGACCGTGAGCGTGTGCGTTGTCAACTGCCGAAGGGGTGGGGGGGCTTCCTTGTGTTTTCAAGTTTCCTCCCTGTAACCTGTCCGTGAGTCTCTACAGACACGTGCAGGAGTGGGCAGAAGTGGGTTGCAGTTGTGAGCACACGAAACAGTTCGTACTCGGATGATTTATTGATTACTATACTATTCACTGTGCTGTTCGCCTGCTTTTGCCCACCCTTGTGTATTGTTTTGTCACGAATAGATTGAGTCCTCAAGTAGTTATGTTATACTAAATAATATTACACTTTAAACAACGAAGGAAAGTGAGAGCTTTCCTCATTAACCAGTGTTGGGTTTAACTTAAGGAAATGGGCGAAAATTGTTTAATCTGTTACTTGTGTTCGTTGAGCTTAGTGAATTAGGCAGACTTCTGTTACTTGAGAGAGAACAGATCATTTGCTGTGCGAGAAACTTGCACACTGTTTAAGGTAGGAGTACGCTCCCCTCTTGCGTGCAAGGCAGCGCTGCACGGTGTCGTGCGTCCAGTTTCTGCTTGAGAAATTACAGTCAAACAGTCCTGTCTCCCACTTTCATGTTCACTTGGGGATGGTGTAAATATTAAATGTGATAGGACTAGGTCTTCCTTTGGGGACACCTTTGTCGTATAAGAAAGCCGCTTGGTTTCGGTTAGGTGGCTCTATGGAATAATCATGCGGACCCAACATACGTACATGCATTACAGTGATAGTGGTTCATAATAGTGGGAGACGTTAATGAATTCTCTTGCATTTTATTTCCAGTTCTGTACCGTCAAAGGTTTTATTCTTCATGAATTCCATGGGGAAATGAAAATGTTAAGAACGAAAACATTAGTAGAACGTTAGAATGTAAAAGACTTTTAAAATGTTTTATTCTTGTAATTTGGGTTTAGCTCTGTCTTCTTCAGGCAAAAAGCCTCCTGAGCCCAGGCACAAGTGCAAAGGTAAACCCAGGGTCACCTCGGCCTGCCCTGTCGTCACCCGCCCTGTAGGAAGTAGCTTAGTGAACTGTGCCTTTTAGAAAACAGAGCCAGTGCCTGCAGTGCCTGCGCGTTTCATGTGCTTGCAGGCTCGGTCGTTACGTTGCCCGGCCTTCCCCGTAGCTGTGGTCTGTTCCCACCGCGTCTTCCCTGTACGCTGACCCTTCAACTCGTAACAGTTGTCGGTGAACGTTCTGGGGCTTCTCTCCGACCGGTGGTTGCCCTTCCCCATTCCCTCCCACCCCCGGAAGAGATGTGTCCTGTCTCGTAACGCCTCTGCATCGCTGACTGGAAGAATCCCGAATAGTCCAGTCCTTAGTTATGTAACTGCAGAGAAGTCGCTCTCTTCTTCCAGAAAAAGTCCGAACGAGACTTTTTCTGGTTTATAAAGACTTCGGTGGTTCGGAGCAGCCCGTGGTGCATGTGTCCTGCGTTCATGCAGAAACGGGCAGCGACACTTCACGGGGCAGTCAGCCGGGCATTACGTTTTTCTTCGCCTGCGTAACCGCCAGGTATTCGTTTTGAAAACAAACAGATTTAAGAACATTATACCAAAAGAAAAAGGGAAACCTATTTAGTTTGTTTCATACCATGCATATGGGTGAGTGGATGGTCGATAGATGGAGGTGCAGGTGTAGATGCAGACGCAGATGCAGATGCACAGAGACAGATGCACCGCCATCATCAAGAGAGCAGCTGCCTTTATTATGCACTCGCTGTATGCCAGGCACTGTGGTGTGCACTTTGTGTTCACTTTCTCGTTTAACCTTGAAAATAGTTAAGCGAGGAGGGTAGCGTTATCTTTGTTGACAAATGAAGATAGTGAGTATGAAATTAAATTATTTCATTATTACTTCTTATTCCATGATTTGTAGTTTGTTTTTACTCTGTAAATATGCATCAATTCTAGATGGAATTCTGTGTTTTTCTATAGGACCAAAAAGCACACTGGTGTGAGCGGTACCAGCATTAAACTATGGCAGTTTGAATTTTGTGTAGATAGGTTACTTCTGAAACTCTATTGGAGTCCAGCTAGCTTTTTAATGAAATCTGAATGGTATTGTAGCCCTAATTACATTTATGATTTGTTATGTACAGTTAAGCCAGTTTCTGTGTCTTATTTTTAAGTAGCCGTAGACAGTTCACTGAGAGAAATCGAGTATAGTTCGGTGCTGCGCCCACACTCAGGCTGTTTTCTCTGCTCCTGAGCCGTCTGAACGCAGCTGCGCACATCGCACGCAGACGCACCAGGGGGCAGCACAGTGTCACTGGAGGAAGCCAGGGCTGCGCTAAAGATTGCTTCTGAAACCCTGGTGCCACTTACAGTCAGGAGAGCTGAGGACCACACTGCAAGTGGCAGGTGTGGGAAGGAGAAGGGCGGGGTGGAAAAGGAAAGGACACAGGAAGTGGTGCCCGGGCCCACCCCAGCCCCACTGGGGGAGGGCAGCAAGGGTCTCCCCGGGCGTGCGCACACCGGACGCTGAGATGGGGACAGGGCGTTCTCTGGGCCAGCGGGCAGGGCAGTCCCGGGCCGCAGTGCTGTGTCACTTGGTGGGCCTGCAGAGCCACTGGGCACAGACGCCGGCAGCCCCGGCCCATGGGAACAGGGTCACCTCCCGTGAGCTCTACTGTAGAGGCCCTCCGCTCGTGCAGGTGTACCTGTGCCGACTGTAGCTGTGTCCTGGCTTTCCTGCGGCACCTATGAGCAGGTGACTGTGTGAGTCCAGAAGAAGAAAACCCTAATATTTCGAGAATATAGTGTTAGGGTTTCCCATTAAAGTGTGTTTCCTTCCCTTTTACAATTTTGAATTTTTTTTCCTCTTTCTCCTTGATACTTCCCTTCTGTTCTCGTTGGTCTTTGCCTCAGTGATCCCTTTCCTGCCCCGAACCTCTCTTTTCCTTTTGCTCTCAGGCTTCAGCCTGACTCTTCTGCAGCCCCTCAGCCTGTGACGCGAACCTGGACGAACTTGCAGGTGCCCTCTGTGAAGCAGGCCGTTTACTGCTCATTCTGAGTTCTGGTGGGACCTGGCAAGGTGGCCTTCCTGGAGGGTAGAGGCAGGTGGGCAGTGGTGCCCACACGCTATTTCATAGCAGTTCCAGTGCTGCCGCTGTGTTTGCTGGTTTGCGTGAAAGCACGCGATCACCGAGGAAAAACAGGAAGAAGGTGGTGTCTTAGGTCGGCTCAGCAATAGCCACATGCAGTGGCGCAGTGGCCTGAAAACCACAGGGAAACAGCACGTGGCGGTGGTTTGTCTCCTGGAGCCTGTGTTAGTTCGGTGCCTCCACCCTTCACGGAGCCGAGCCTGAGCGGCCCCTGGGTGACCGGGGCACAGTGCGGTCAGTCACTGAGTTTCTGCACAGCGGGGTGTGAGACGTTAACGTCCAGGTCTGGAGTCCAGTGCGTGGCTGGAGAGTGCTGGTGACCGAAGAAGGGAAGACCGGGCGTAGCTGACAGTGCATTTCTGTGCCTAGTAGAAAGAGGAGAAGCAGAAATAACTGGTGTAATAGTTCAGCTTTTTGAGAAAATGATGTATTCATTAAGCCTTGAAGAATAGGAACCTCTATAGTGGGGAGGGCATGAAGAAGGACAGGTGACACAGGGTGTCTGTCCAGTGGGGGTTGTGTCTGCAGGAAAGTGTGGCAGGCAGAGGTGGTGGAGCGTGTCAGAGGTTGGGGAAGAGGCACGCTCCACTCAGACACTGGAAAGTTACTGTTTTTTGCCCTGTGTAATGCGCTCCCATGTGTAATGAGCACCCGTGGTTTCAGCCCGAACTTTCAGGAAAAAAATCTTTAATTTTTTCAATTTTTTATGTGTCTATATTTAAATACCTGTGTTTTGTCTTATAAAGGAATTTTAGCATTTATTTTTGAACATATTACGGTACAAGAAATTTATGTAACGAATAATTATGAAGCACAAGAACAGTTATAAGGTATTTCAGGTACTACCCATGTATAATGCGCATCTTTATTTTTCTCTCAAAACTGTGGGCGCAGAAGTGCACAGGATACATGACGCAATACGGGCAGGAGCGACTGGAGGCACTGCTGGCGTTGATGAGCTCTGACCAGAGAGCCCGGGGTGCCTGCTCAGCTCAGCGGGCAGTCCAGTCGCGGGGGGTGGCCCGTGGGGGGGTGGCGCGGCCAGTGCTTTAAGAGGCTTGTAACGCGATGGTGGCGCACAGGGGCATTGCAGAAATGTCACCCGTTGGGGTGGACGAGGGTGGTGGTTCTCAGCTGAGGGTGACGTGTCCCCATCCCAGGGGACACGTCAATCCTGGGGACACTGTTAGTTATCAGCACTGGGACAGGCCTGCAGGCGTCTCAGGGGTAGAAGCCAGGGGCGCTGCGAAGCGTCCTGTGGTGCACAGAGCGGCTCCCTGCAACCACCGTTACCCAGCCGGAGGCGTCTGTAGTGCCAGGGGTAAGAACGCTGCCTTGGTTGCGCTGTGGTAACAAGCAGTCGCAGGTTCTTAGTGGTTTAAAGCAGCAAAGATTTATTTGTGCGCGATCAAACCGTGCGTATCTTCATATCATCCATATCTGGAATCCACGCTGATGGAGCAGCCATGCTCAGAGACTTCGCTCACCCTTCGTTGGCCAGAACTAGTTACGTGTCCCTCCAACCACAGGCAGGCCGGGAATTGCAGCCTTACTGTGTGTCCAGAAAAAGGGTAAACCACCAGATTCGATTGATAGCATTCATGACTACCGTGGAACAGTAGGGGAGACAGCATTCATGACTACTGTGGAATAGTAAGGGACATAGCATTCATGACTACCGTGGAACAGTAGGGAGACAGCATTCATGACTGCCGTGGAATAGTAGGGAGACAGCATTCATGACTACCGTGGAATAGTAGGGAGACAGCATTCATGACTACCGTGGAACAGTAGGGAGATAGCATTCATGACTACCGTGGAACAGTAGGGAGATAGCATTCATGACTACCGTGGAACAGTAGGGAGATAGCATTCATGACTGCCGTGGAACAGTAGGGAGATAGCATTCATGACTGCCGTGGAACAGTAGGGAGATAGCATTCATGACTACCGTGGAACAGTAGGGGAGACAGCATTCATGACTGCCGTGGAACAGTAGGGAGACAGCATTCATGACTACCGTGGAATAGTAGGGAGATAGCATTCATGACTACCGTGGAATAGTAGGGAGACAGCATTCATGACTACCGTGGAGGGGAGGAGTAGGCAGTGGGAGAGAAACCGGTTTCTCTGTCCTCGCCGCCGCCTTCCTAGTTCGTCTGCACACTGAGGTCACGGTGCGTGCGGACCAGGATCAGGAAGGCGGAGGAGTGCCAGGTTGCACAGCACAGTTTGGAAGTCTGAGGACACAGCGCTTTGTCTGTTTAGAAAGAGCGGAAATGACTGTCTCAATTTTCTGAAAGTTTTTGAAACCTGAATTACGTAGTTTATAAATGACATCATTTCTAACTGGCTTATAATGGGGACAATTTTTTATTTTAGATGAAGATCGACTTTCTAGGAGAAAAAGCATTGTGGACACAGTATCCATTCAAGTGGATATTTTACCCAGCAACGCCCCGTCGGACGATGTGGTGAGTGCCCGGAGCTGGTGGGTGGCAGCGCCTTCTGGAGAGAGACGCCCGCCCGCGTAGAAGGGTTTTCCCTCCGAGTTCCAGACAGGAGCAGATGCAACCCCACACTGTCCCCAGGTCACCGAGCTCTGTTGTTGGCAGGGGTTCATCTGATCTGGCCTTGAATTTACTGGTAATTTCCTTCAGTAAACTCATGTCGGCTGTCTGCAAAGATACATCAATATAACGTGTTTTATGATATCGTTATATTTTACATTGTAATTTAGTTTAATAACAGGAACTGTAAGACAGAACCAAGTAAGGTTTTTTCCATAAGAAATTTCACATAAGGCCTGATAATTAAATTAGGGGATCTCTAGATCCTATTTTTAAAGATTTATGAAACATAAGTTGCAAGAATAAATGGAAGTAGACACTTCACGTGAAGGCAGATGCTCACGACTTTTAGAAAGTTTCAAAATGTCACCTGTGAGGGGAATTTCGTACCATTTTAGGTAGCAACTGACAAAGCTAACGTAGGTGAAGCTGTGTCACTTGCCCGTGTACCCTTTGGGGACTGTGACTTACTTGAAACATCACAGACTTAATGCTCTCCTCCTGTTTCAATAGCGCCACAAGAGTACCCTCCTGAGTTGTAGGAAGAAAAAGCAGCCGGCCCCTCTGGGACTTATTCCGCACAAACCACCAGAGAGTTTTTTGACAGTCACGTAAAAGTGACGAAATGCCCGCCTGCCAAGCCAGCCTCCCCCCTGTGACTCACGCAGTGTTGGCCCTCCTCGGCGCTGCTTTACTTCTCGCTGGTGCGACACGAACAATTAAAAGACTGTCCGTCTAAGAAAAGGGGAAGGAAGTTGTCTGAATTCATGCTTTCTCGGCCTCCTCTCTCCTGCCCCTCCTAATCCCCGCCGGGGAATTCTTCTGCAGGAATTAAAACGGTCTGGGGGCCAGGGCGCCGCTGACCGGCGCCTGGGCTGACCGGCGCCTGGGCTGACCGGCTCCCGTGCCGTGGAAGGGATCAGTGCTACTGGGAAAGGGTCGGCAGAGTTATCCAGAGGCAGTTAGTGTTCATTGCGGAACTTAGTGTCCTGAGAGCCGTTGCAAGTTTCTTGCCAATGTAAGGCTCCAGAAAAATCATCTTCCCCAAATTCACCCCTTCTAAGCCATTTGAATCTCTGTACTCCTTACGAGTAAGGAGGGGATCTTACTAGCTCTGTCTTTTAATGATTTTTAATCTGGCGCAGTTACATTTTGAGGGAAGAAAGTCATCACTAAAACCATAGTTTATACACTTTATCTTATCAAAAGTACTCTATATTATGTTGACTGGTATTACTCCATTTTCCTTTTGGAACCATTTTTCTTTCTTTTAAAGATACATACAAAGCACTTCAAACTTGCCAACGGTTTATTTTGGTAAAATGAACTGAAGAGACATTTGCATAAAGATAGGGTAGGAGGAAGATTCTTGGGCATGAACTTTACATTAGAAGTCCATTAATACATGTGTTAGCTTGTTAAAGACCCTTTCTCTTTGCCGTAAGTCCAAAGTCAAATATGCTTCGCACTGAGCGTTTGAAAAGTTAAGTAAACCATTTGCTGTAAGATTTCCTTAAGCACGCTGGGGTTTCAAACCCATTTACCATTATGGAATTTGATTTTGAATACTAGGAATGATTGCTCAAATGCCAGAAGACAAAATAAGTTGCCCCGTAGGCTAGGAAACTGATTAGCCGCACGGTGTGGGCAGGAGGAGCGGGCGTCGGTCAGGCGTTCACCAGCTGACGGTGTGCCAGAGCACCAGGCTGTGAATGCGTACCTCCGCTAACAGTGAACCAGGTAAGAAAAGTGCCCACTGAGAAGCATTACGCTCATATTCGATCAGAATTAGTTGAAATTTTGCATATACATTCCCAGTTAGCCTTCATATATATCTGATATCTGCTTTTAGGGCATATAACTAAAACACAAGGTCAGAAGATCGTTTAGATGGAGGTCAGAGCAGACTGTGCTTTGTCTAGACACAGCTCAAACTGTCACTGTAGTCGGTTGAAAGGTACGTCAGTTTCAACATTTGCGATTCAAACCTTAGCTGGCTGTGATGCACCTAGTGAATCTTTTAAAAATTGCCCTATGTGCACCTTGATGCATATGAACTTTTTCTGGAAATCTTTACAAATATACTCATACGTGATTAAGTCGAGACCATAAATGGCTGAAAGGATCTTCCTCCTGGGATGGGAAGGTCAGCGTGAGTGACCGAATAGCACACGGTGGGCGTGCTCTTGGACCCCTAGGGCCCTCTTTCAGCCTCGTGGGCACGACTGCTGCACGTCACGGACGTGAGGGAAGCTTGAAATCGCCACCCAGTTCTCCTCTCTAAAGGTGTAATGGTCCGTGCTCAGTTATTTGGGGGGATGGATGGAAGGTGATGGAAGGTCATGCATATTCAATTTTTCTTTGTACAAAAGAAAAAGGATTGTTTATGCAAGGACGAATAACAGATATATATGTAGGTATATTTTTGTACCTACATATTCCTACCTTTTTCCCAAATGCAAGTAAAGATACCTGCATGCGGTTTAACAAAACAATCATGCTAACATAAGTGATTGTTAGTCTGAACCTGCTGGGCTGGGTGGCTGAACAGTTATTATGGTACCAGTGGGGTGAGTGACATCATAGCCAGTCTGACTGGGGACGATGAGCAGCAGGTTGTAGGCAGGCCTGGGGGTGTCACACGGTCTGGGCTGCAGCTGCAGGTCGCCAGTGTGGCAGAGGCCAGAAAGAGGAAGGGGGCTGAAACCCCTCTGGGGGGCTGCCTTTGCACCGCGTTCCCAAAAGTCCAGCACACCCAGTCCGAGAGTCAGTGCAGATCCTCATTGAATAAACATTTTACTTTACTTTTGATTTTAGAGAGGGCAGGGAGGGAGATAAAAAACACCAGTGTGAGAGAGAAGCACCAGTTGGTTGCCTCCTGCACGCGCCTCAGGGGACCCAGCCTGCAGCTGAGGCGTGTGCCCCGACCGGCAGTGGAACCAGCGACGTCGCGGTGCGCCCCGCCAGCTGGGCCGCACTGGCCGGCGTGGGACCGATGCCAGTGCAGTGGAGCACCTCTGACACACATGGCTGGCATTCAGCGGCTGCGTTGTACCAAAAGTATTAGTCATTACACACTATTATAAAGCAATTTTTTAAAAATAGCTCCCACAAAAAGGGAATCCTGGGAAACAAGGTGGAAGACAAGTTACAGAAGGGTGTCTCCCCGGCCCCAGGGCTTCGTCTGTCATTGGGAGGAAGTGGGGGAACACTGAGATGCGGAGGGCGTCATTTCAGAGCTGCGCTTCCGTAAATGACCGGGAGACGCGTGACTCCGTGGAGCTGGAAAGAGGAGACTGGAAGCCAGAGGCCGGCACGAGGGCCCAGAGCAGCCAGGCTGCAGACGAGCGAGAGGGACAGGGCTGGAGCGCCCTGTTCCGAAGGCAGAGTGGGTAGGACCAACAAGCGACTGAAAGCAGGCTAGAGAAAGGAGGCTGAAAGGACAAGGACAGAATGACTCGGTTTTGATGCTCAGACTGAATCGCAGTTCCCGGAGTTGAGGAGGACAAGAACAAATAGGGAAGAAGAGTTATTAGGTGAAGTACCTTAGCTTTTCACTTACCCAGACCGAACAGGTAATAAGTAAAAATCTCCAGGGTTCTTTCTCCTGTGCTGCAGTTGCTCCTCAAGAGTCTAGTGCTCTTTACCAGCTGTGAGAACAAAAGTACTTTTTGTTGGGTTGTTTTTTTTTTTCACTGAGCCACTAGGTTGCTTCTAGGTACGAATTATTGACCAGCCAGAGCCTAATCTTATACGTCTGCCCCAAATGTCTAGAACAAAGCCACTGAAGATTTCCAGTTTCCGTCTGACTTCAACTAGAATACGAACCCTCAGTGGAAACACTGAGGCAGGAGAACTGTCTGTTGCCGCTTGATTCCAGCCAAAGCCTGTGCATCACAGAGAAGCCAGGGTGCAAAGCGTGAAGCCTTTGGCTTTCACTAGTCTCGTGCTTAGACTTAGCAGAGCAGCTCATGAGCTAAAATTAGGGATGACCAGAGCCCCAGGAAGGTGCTGCTGTATCATTTCTTAATTTTTATTCAGAGATGATGTAGTAGCTGGACATATATTATTCCTCCTGAAAATGTGCTGATGCCACAAAAAGTATTACGGACTATTTTTATTATTCAGCAGTGGATTTCACACCTTTTACATATCTCAAAGCAACAGAGACTTGAAAACCCAAGTGGAAGGCTGTTTCTGGAGAGGAAGACCAGGGTAGGCTGACCTTACAGGATCCAGAATATGATTATTTTAAGCTGTTAATTATACTCATTGAACACTTCCCAAAGTAGTGATTCTTGCTTTTAAACCATTTACAGTTTTAGGTTATCTCCTTTTTGATTTGTAAACTGCATGTGGTACCAGAATCTCAGAGGCTACAGAGAACTTAGTTTTTATTTGCTGCATGGCGGAGGCTGTGCGCAGTCTCTGCTTTGAATATTGGCGAGCACTGTTGCCCGACAGAGCCGTTCCGTTTCCGTCGGTGGGACCCAAGTCTCGCTGTACACCACACGGCCGGAGGCGGTTCTGACCCAGCCAGGGCTGGGCTGTCCAGAGGATGCGAGCTCGGCTGGCCAAGCGCTGGCGTGTAGACTTGGGGGGAACCTCTGTGGCGGGCCATTGTCACAACCACGGGAAGAGTGGAGATTAGATGACACTGTGGAGGGTCATCACAAATCAAGGCAACACAAAGGGGGAGAAGTTCATGGAAGTTCTTGTGTGACTGCCCTGGCCGGGTGGCTCAGTTGGTTGGAGCATCATCCCATACATCAAAGAGGCTGCAGGTTCGATCCCACCCCCCACCTCGCCAGTCTGGGTGCACACAGGGGGGCAACCTCTCTCGCACCTCTCTCGCATCGGCGCTTCCCTCTGCCTGCCCATCCGTCTCTCTCTCTACAGTCAACAAACACATCCTTGGGTGAGGGTGAAAAAGTTTTTATATGACTTGCACTAGGTGAAAGTATTATTTATATTGATCTTTCTTAATTATTTTACTTAAAATCCCTTCTCTCCAGGTGAGTAACACTGAAGAAATCACCTTTGAAACATTAAAGAAAGCAATTGGTAAGATTTCTTACACTCATTAACTCTGCTAATATTCTGGTAGCATATCTTTGTCTTAGCGCATGTTTATATGCCAGAAGAAGTAAAGACAATATGGATGTGTGTGTGTGTGTGTATATATATATATATGCACACATTGTTGACTTCTGTATAAATACATACTTGATTTATTGAGCTGTGTTCTTCAGGCTTTTGCAACTGTAAAAAAAATCAGAGTAATGTTTTATACAAGGATGACAGAAGGGTGCAGAGTTAGTCCAACTGGTGCGATCTCAGGAGAATTTGTTCATGTCTCTGCCTTGGGGTTTTCCTTGGTAAAATAGCAAGGATTAGCGTGACACCCTCTCAGCCTCCTGCCTGTCGGCCAGCCCCTGTCTCACCCCGTGGCAAACACACCGCTCACCAGGCTGCTCTGTGCCAGCTCAGTCCGCCCGACCCAGTGCTCCTGAGAGCTTCCAGCCGGACTCTCTCGGGGGGCCGTGCGGCCCGCAGGCAGCACCCGCCGCGGGTGGCACTGAAACCCCCTGTGCCTGGCGTGCCCGCACGGCCTCCCAGAGTCTGTACGAGGGAAGGGGCTGCCTGTGCCCTGACAGAGCACACGTCATCTTAGATGCAGAGTCACCCTCCGGAGTGTGGTAACCAGACGGGAAAGGCTGAAGGCAGTCGGTTCGGAGTGACCTGTCTGTTGGGCCATCCGATGCCGAGTGTGGCGGACTTGGAAGGCAGGGCCTGTTCTGTGCTCGGGCCTGGTTGTGGAGGAAAGGCTCGCCCTCCAGGAAGGGAGCCCGCGTGCTCCGCTTTTCTGTTAGAGACGGAGGGAGTCTGTCAAAACAAGTCTTACGTAGTTTTAACCCTTAGATTTAAAGAAATTTCCTGCATGTGTTGCTTTCTAGCTTTAAGACATTTCAGGCGTGTTATACCTTTGCTTTGTTTCATATAAAAGTAGTCCTGTAAATTTTGCTTCTTTTTGGTTTTGAGATCATTTCCTTTTGTGGACATCGGCAAGGTTCTGTGAAATTCTGTGTTCCTTTTAACGGGTCTTTATAACCATACACGTAGATACCAATGGAATGGAAGAGCAGGAGAAGGAAAAGAGGCGTCTCGTCATTGAGAAATTCCAGAAGGCACCTTTTGAAGAAATAGCAGCGCAGTGCGAATCCAAAGTGAGTGAATGCGCGTTGAAGGGGCAGGGGCGGGCGGGGTGTGACCTGGGGAAACCGTCTTGGTAGCTAGTTAGCTGGCAGGTCCCACGTTCAGGCAGATCAGCGGAACACAACGTAATGTATCACACGGGACCGAAAACTCTGAAGGCATAGACACCGATGATGCCTAAGCCATTTAATTTTGTAATACAAGCTGATGGAAATGAGAGACCCCAAACTACACGTTAATGGTTGTTGTTGTTTTGATACCTTTTTTGCAGTGGTTTTCAAGGATTTTGCTGTGGGTGGTGTATGTTGTGTATCTGTTGGTTTGTTTTTACCCGTGAGATTGCAAGGGATTAAAAGAGAAACTTTATATTATGCGGGACAGACAAAACCAAACCATTAAAGCATTCCGTGCTACCAGTACAGTAGTTACAGTTATGCTTTGTCTTTTAAGTTGTGTTCGTATTATTGCATCTGGGCATTTGGAAAATAGTGAGTTTGTTCTTAACATGTTTTCTCTTTATAGGCAAATTTACTTCACGACAGACTCACTCAAATACTGGAGCTCACCATACGGTAAGGGTGTTGTTACCTGTCAGCACCGCAGCAGTCCAACTACAACAGAGTAGGCACTGTCCGCCCCTGTAAATCTGCGGCTGACTGTGCTCCAGTAACTGTGGGTTTCACTTAGGATGGACATGGGATCATATAGGTACCGCTGTCTAGTGGTCATGCTCCTCGCTGGACAGAGTCCGACGCCATCGCTGGTCCAGGTGTCTTCTGGCTTCTCTGGCTGTCCTTTACAATGCTTTTATAAGGCTGTTTGGGAAGCTTGGAAGACTCACATTCTAACGATGTGCTGAACCAGGTAGTTTCAACTATTTAACCTTTTTGACCTGCAGAGCTACAGGGTTTTATGGTTTGACCTCGTAGCCCTTTCCAGCAGCTCTCCTCACAAGTGCTCCTCGCCGGGAGGGTGGGTTGACGGTAGACCAAGAGTGGCATTCTTACTGTAGCAAAACTATTCAGCAATAAAAAGAAATACATTTTTTTGGATAACTCTAAAAAAACATACTGAGCAAAAGAAGTCAGACAGAAAAGAGTGTAGCTTCTGCGGACCATTCCTGTAGGCTGTGGAGAGCGTTGGAATGAAGTTCAAGTAGCACTGATGTCCCTCCGAGACCAGGACCTCGTTGCTGGACCTGGGTGTGTCGGGGATACCTGGGTGGAGGAGGAGTGACTGGCGAGGGGCACAAAGGGACTCTTTTTCGAGTGATGAGAGATACTGAGGGGCTCAGGGTCCTTATTGGGCTGTACTTTACCTAGGTTGTATCTTTGTCCAACAGTGTATTTAAATCTGCATTTCACTCAGTGAAAATTGTCCCTCGATGAAAACATAAAGGAACGTTATAAATACTGGAATAATAATTGCAAAATAATTACTAGTTGCTAGAAATGAGATATCAGGAAATTATAAGATAACCAACTGAATAACTAAATTAAGAAAAGTTTACAGTTAGACAATTGTATGGAGTTAAATTTATACATAATTAATGTAAACTTATTATTATATATAATTCATTTCAATGAATTACATTCATAACTGCAAAATACTAACAAACTCGAAGAACTGTGTGTGACATGCAGTAACTGTAAATCTCCGATGTACACGTGAGACACGTGAGTAGAAACGCGTACCTTGTCACGGGAGGAAGTCACCGTCGTAAGGGCCCCCTTTCTCTGCCGATTACCCTGTAGGTGTAGCCCAGACCTTCACGGTTCACTTTATATCTGAACAAATGATGCTGAGGACAGTGTGGACGAATTCGCAGTAAAGCAGTCAGGAACATGCCGTGTACAGAAAAACGAGGGAGTATTTGCCTTGCTCCCTCGTAAATACTCCCTCGCAAAAACCGTGACAGGTGTCTGGTCCCTGCAACAGGTGGGCTTGGGTGCAGGCGAGTAGAATAGAGTAGACCTCAGATTCGGGGGAAGGGAACGGACGTTCTGTAAATCTTGTGAAGACAGTTGCTTCTGACTACTGACCAGCGAGGAAGGGAGGGAGGGAGGGGGGAATCCCCACACCCTGACCAAAATAGAACATTTTAACTGTTTAGAAAAACACATAGAAATACTAGAATTTTACAGGATTTATATTTATAATCTTAGTATGGAAAAGTTTTCCTTAGCATAATACAACAAATTAGAAATCATAAGAAATCATTGAGCTTTTGTCAGGTTTTGAAGCATTTGGCAAAAAAAAAGAAGAAAGTTGAGAAGAATTAACTAATGAATTGTGGAGAGGCATTTGTATCTTATGACAAAAGATTAGTTTCCCGAATCAATAAGAGAAAGATATCTGAGTAAAAATACAGGCAGTGGACTCAGGTAGACGAGTCACTTTATTTTTTTTTTAAATTTATTTAAGGCTTTATTTATTCTTAGAGAGAGGGAAGGGAGGGAGGAAGAGAGGGAGAGGAATATCAGTGTGTGGTTGACTCTCATGTGGCCCCCACTGGGGGCCTGATCTACAGCCCAGGCATATGTCCTGACTGGGAATCGAACCAGTGACCCTTTGGTTCACAGTCTGCACTCAATCCACTGAGCTACACCAGCCAGGGCTAGACAAGTCATTTTAAAAGAAACATAAGATGAATACTAAGTCTACAAGGATATTTAGCATTAATGGTAGTCCAAAATCAAAAATAAAAGAATTAATTCCCTTTGCTTGTCCAATTGGCCAGATTTAAACACAAAATGATTGATTACACTCAAGATTTATAGTGGTGTCAGAGAGTGGCTACACTCAAATGTTGGGAGTTTAAATGACTGGTATTTTGGCAGTATACACCGAAGTCAGAACTGTGAGACACAAGTACACTTTGATCCAGAAATTCTGTTTATGTGACAATAAACCTAGGAGACAATCAGGATAAAACTCAGTGTGTATAAGAACAGACCTATGAGAATTAACTGTAACAATGAACAATGGATATCAACCTGCATTTTTCCATTGGATTAAAGCAATTATGATATGTCCATATAATGAAATATTGTGCTATCATCAAAAAAGAGTAATAGATTTATATTTGAAGGATTTTTTCCAGTGAGACAGCAAGCTTACAAGACTTGTAAGTTGTCATTGTAAATTGTAATAAGGGGGGTAAGTCCTTATCTCACTACTGGAGTCACGCGTATGCATATTCAAAGGAACGTCTCTGGTTTAGACTTAAACGCAGCCCAGCGCCAGCGTGGTCTGTTCTCCGTGTGGCCCGCCAGCCGTCAGCCAGCGGCACAGGAGTCCCACCTGCGGCGGGCGGCGGGACCTGGGGGGCTTTGTGCGCCTGGAGGAGCCCCTGCTGACAGCGTCCTGTTCTTCTTTTCCAGTCCTCCCCCGAGCCCGTCGGGAACACTGACCATCACCTCTGGGCATGCCCAGTACCAGTCCGTCCCAGTCTACGAGATGAAGTTCCCAGATCTGTGTGTGTACTGAGTGGCTCAGGAAGACCTCAGCAGAGGAGTTGAAAGCCTAAAATTCAAGGCCAGGCGGTTTGTTTCCAAGGTTTACTGAATGCGTATTAGCATACCTCTTGAAAATAACGACGGAACTGACCTTTGACCAAATGCTTGGCACACCATATTAGAGACTTAGCAACTGTATGTGATTTAGAGTACTTTTGAAGGTAGATTTATGCCATGTTAATTTCTTTTGAAGTTCCTGTTGTCTTTTAAAGTTGAACATGTATCGGTCTCAAAATTATTTCATTGTAAAACAGTGTATTTTAAACTTTTCAAAAACATGTAATTTTTTTAAAGTAAGCCTTCGGAGGGTTGAAAGATGTACGATGTGTCTACTGTATTCCTTAAACGTCTGCATAACTGCTTGAAGTAGCACTGCTCTGGGTTCCGGCCAGCTGCGAAAGCAGACACACCCAAGGACGGCCCCGGGCCGCAGAACGGCTCGGGGGCTCCTCGCCCACGTGCCACGCGCCGTGGCGGGCTGGCGTCCCTGTAGTCGTTCGCCGTGGCGGTGCGTGATGGGCGCCCCTCAGCCTGTGTGCGGCAGTGAGTTGCACTGGGAATACTCACAGAGCCTGACCCTGAAGTCGCTGTGCTCTGAAGTGTCGCGCTGCTGTCATGCTGTGTCTCCTGCCTGAGTCTGCGCATCGACCGAGAGAGGGCGGACCGTGCAATTCTGTTTACGCCCGTGTGCCCGTTTACAGACTGCGCTCTAGACTAGAGTCCTGTTCCGCTTTCGCTCCGTTCGTTAAACGAGCTCTCTATTTACAGTGGCTCCTAGTTCACCTGTGAAGAGTGTACATTTTGGTTTTTATTAAGAGCACATTAATTTACACTTTTATATATTGTGCATTGTCTTAAATCCTCATCATAGTCAGAAAACTACCGAAACGGACTCTGAGTTTGTTGGACCTGAACTGTAGCCGGTATGCATTTCCGTTGGGGGTTTGCTACAGGACGCCGGGGCGGGCGCCCGGAGGACTGGCCGTCGGAGGAAGCCCCTGTCGGCGGCGGAAGGTGCCCCGTGCACCTGTGCTGACACCCATCGCGTGTGGACGGGCCCACGGTGTGTTCTTAAAACGATTCGCGCTTCGGTGAGCCCCCTCACACGGCAGAACGAACAGCTTTCTCCGTGAGTGTTACCACATTCTCTTCGAGCATTTTTATAAATAACCTGTTTATAGTTCTTCCTTTTCAGATTTTATTTCTTCATAATCCAAGAATATACCTATCAAAAATTGTAGCTCAGAAAAAAAATTCCGTTTTTGGCTTTTGTTTTTGTTTGGAAAATTGTAGTGAAGGATGGCCTGGTACACCTTTAGGCTGAGGATTATTTGGGCACCCGTAGTGGAAACAGAAAAACGTAACGAAGCATACTCAAAAATTTCTGAGTATTTAAACCGAAGGGCAGCGTCCTGAGACAAGTGGCAGAAGACTCCAGTCCCGCACGCCTGTCCAGGACACTCGGACGTGCGGGCGCTCCAGTCAAGGGCGGGGAGGGGGCTCGTCGCCCGAGTGACAGGGCTGTCCCCGCCGGGGTGCAGGCCCGCTGCCTCCGTCACTGCACTGGTTTCTCGGTCGGCTGAAGTGTTTCACCATTTAATAGGCCAAATGTTACCGGCTTTTCTTTTTTAATTTCCCTTTTTTTTTCTGTATTTTTAAAGAAGGATATTCATTTTTGACAGTGCATTTAAAAAATCAAAGCAGGGGGACATGCAAAAACAATCATCCACTTGGATGTCATTTTATAGATGAACACTGTGTGCTTTTGTACAAACAAGCGTGCAATTTAATAGTGTAAGAGAAGAAGATATATATTTGTTTGCACTCATGCGGAACAGACGTGGCCGCGCAGAGGCTCACGTTTCTCTGTGACGCGTCAGCGCGTGCGTGTGCTGTGCGTGAAGGACCGCCGTTTGAACCGCCGCCTCTGCCCCCGCCCCGGGTTGGCCTGTGAACTGTTGGCTGGCGCCCTGTGGGGCAGCGTTGTGTCTGACCCACAGCAGACTCTGTGTGCGCTGTGGGCCTGGTCTCGCTAACAGCGACTCCCCAGCCGTGGGTCTTGCTCTCGGTTTGCCCCTTCCCGGAGACCCGGCAGGGAGCGGCGTGCACACTGTATCGTATCCGGTTTTGAGACTGAAAGCGTAGGGTCTGTTGAAGTGCACTGCATTGCTATATTTTTGTAGATATGTAAAATTCTTAATAAACTGTTAAATCACTTTCTCTTTGTGGTATGCAGATGCTTATATCATTCTGTATTTTTTCTGGACGTTGAACAGTTAACATTTAAGCATTCCTCCTACACTTGTGTTGTCTTGGGTCATAGGGTTTCACTGTCAGTGGAGTCAGCCTGAACACACACGCACACACACACAGACACGCACACACTTCCTTGGCACTTCCGAACTCGCGATCTTCCCGAGTGATGGAACACTTTACCAGCAGTTAACTTCCGCCCCTCAAAGTGTCTCTCATCTTTTTGTCTGAAACCGATTCGTGGCAACATATGTAATAAGTGTAATGAAGTGAGCTTTTGGAAATGTGAAAAAATTCACTGTGCAATTCATATGTAAGCAATAAAAAAATCAAAATACTTGTGCCCCAGTACATTTTTCTAATAGCTATTATTACAGTCATTAAACAAATTTATCGACTACTCTGCTGTCGTTAAACATGAACAATTTTAGTGATCAGGTTGCCAAATGGGTCCATCCTCACATCCCCTGGAGTGTTGGGCCTGTGGCTGCTGGTCGTGGGAGGTGTGGCTCAGGGAAAGCCACGTGGGAGCTGGGGGAGCACAGCTGCCCCCCCACCCCCCGCATCCGGCCCCACGTGGGGTCTCTAACCCACCCCCTTGCTGTGGGAATTACAGGGAGCCTCCTTCCAAACCAATGGCTGGTCTGAGGCTTTCTGCCACTTGTGCAGGTGCCTGAGGGCCCGGGGACTTATCAGGCAGTGATTCTTCATCGTGGTGGCTGCAGCATGCGGCCACGCCCCGGTCACTAGAGAGAGCTACCACCTTGACCCTTGGCATGTGTCTTTGGTGGGTTATTGGTGACTGATGGGTGATTCATACAACTGACTGTACATAGTTTTTAACAGAAGAAAATTAGCTTCCCATGATTAGGGAGCAGAGACATTTTTTTCCTTCTCTGTCATGTCATGTCACCTTTGCAGTCTTTTCACGCACCCGTGCTTACAACTTTTCTCAAAAACACACAAAGCCGAGCATTATGCTAATACTTGAGCCAGGCGGTGAAAGACAAATACCACATGATCTCACCTTTGACGGGAACCTAAACAACAGAACAAAGAAACAAGCAAAATATAACCAAAGACACTGAAATAGAGAACAGACTGACAGAGTTCAGAGGGGAGAGGAGAGGGAATTTTAGGGGAAAAGGGGAAGAGTTTACAGGAACAAGTATAAAGGACACATGGATAAAAACTAGGGGTGGGTGGAAATGGGAGGGAGGAGGGGAGGGTTGGGTGGGTGGGCTGGGATGGGAGTAAAAGATAGAAACTTGTACTGCAACAGCAATTTAAATAAAATTAAATTTAAAAAAACCTACAACGCCAAAGGGGGAAAAAACATTGACTGGAGTATTTATTGAGCCTCCGTAGTGCACTACGGAAAGCACAGAACCACACCCGGTCTGCCCTCCCCACACGCATGTGCAGGTGTGAGCTGACAAATGTCCCAGCGCCTCTGCAGAGGTCTCGCTGCCTCTCTTCCCTTCGCGCCCCTGCCCAGGGGACGACCGGGGAGGAGGCCGTGGTCCAGAGACTTCACCGCCGTAACAAGAGAAGCAGGACAACAGGGTGCTCCTCATTTTCCCGGGGGCTCTATCTGGGGCGGTGGGGAGGCCCGGCCTGCACAGGGCTGAGTGGCTTCCCCAGAAACCTTCTGGCTCTTCGCGGGTGTGCCACGTGGGGCTGGGCCTCCTCCTCCTCGCTGCTGTCCTCGGAGCTGGAGCCCGGGGAGGGAGCGGAAGGCCCGCCCTGCTCGCCGTCCTCGCAGGGGGGTGGGCTGCCCCGGCACTCCCGCCCGCCGGCCCTCGCCAGGCTCTGGTTAAAGAAGGCCGCGGCCATGCACTGGGCCGCCGTGTGGTCGCAGGCGCAGAGCAGCTTCGCGCACAGGCTGTGCCCCGCACCTTCGAGGGGGAGAGCGGAGAGCAGGCGTGAGACCCAGCATCACGGTTAGGGAAGGCCTCCATGGTGGCCCGGCCGCCCCTTAAAGCCCTGGCTGGCCTCCCACCCCCTTCTTGAGCCTCTTGGTCGGCACCCAGAGCACCCTGACTCTGCTACTGCAAACACTCCCAGCCGTGTCCTCCCGATTCACTCACACTTGGTGGAGAGCCCCCGAGCATCCCCGGGTCCAGAAAGCTTCCTTGAGCCCCGAGGCTCGACAGAGCATCTTCCCTGCAGGCTGACCTCGAATGAACCCCTGCTGTGTTTATTGTTTCTGCCCCGCCATATTTCTTGAGTGTTTTCACCACGTGCAGCGGGCGTGGGGGTGACAGCGTGTGTGTGGCCCATGCAGAGTGTGTTCCAAGGTGCTTAGGCATACGTAAGCTCTCTGCGAATACCCTTGCCGTCCGCAGTTTTCCAAGAGGTGTCTGGTCTGTGGCAGTTCTCTCATCTGACCCCGCCATGAAGTGCAGACCAGCCAGGCATTTTCTCATCGCCCCGCCCCTCCAGGCCTCGCACCCCGGCCCTCGCGGCAGCCCCAGAGCCGTGCGTGTGTGAGCTGCGGGAAGGGCGTGTACGGCCGGCGCTCACCTGAGCCTGCTTCCTGGAGCCACTAAGCCCTTCCGCCCCGTGCCCAGGGTCAGGACGGCACCGTGCCGGCTTCCAGGCCCCTCCTGTCTCATCACCTGTCCCTGCCCCAGGCGCAGGGCCCTGAGCTCAGAGCCCACAGTGGGTCGGACGGCTCCCCCGGAGCTCTGTGGGAGTTCACGCTGCACATGCGTGTTCTGGCTTCTCTGAGACCAGAGGGACGGGGGGGCCTTCGGCTGGGCGGGTGGGACCTCGTGGTGTGATGGCATCACATGACAATACAATCTGATCCTGTCACTCGTGGGCTCCCCACCCACCCCTGCGTGGCCCCTTGTCCCCCCATAGGACAGAATGTCAATGTTTCAGTCTCAAGTTTATGACCTGGTACCTGTCCATCCCCCCCAGCCTCACCTTGCACTTCAACAGCCTCCCCAGCGCCCACTTTCTCTGCCAGCAACGCAGAACCACACTTTGGCCCCACACTGCCAGGTGTCCCCGGCATGCCATGATTTTTCTTGCTTCCTTCCCTCTTCTCGGGACTTCCAGCGCCAGCAGGGCCATGCTGGTAAGATCCCACCTCAGTGCCTCTTCTGGCTTCTCCCTAATGCTCCACCCCCCGCCATACTCAGTGGGCTCCAGCCCCCTTTACCCACGTGCCCAGACGCCTGCCCCACCTGTTAGCACTGAGGGCTTGGGATTAGGAAGTCCCTGGCCCATCCCTCTTCCCCCCAGGCCCTGAGGGTTGGTGGCAGGGATCATGCATGCTTGCTGCTTTCCTAGCTCCTGATGAAGGGTTGTTGGGTGAGCAGATAATTGGGGGGATGGGTGGGTGGGTGGGTGGACGGATGATGAGTAATGTGGAAGCGTGGAGCTCCTGGGAAGTGAGAGGCACAGTGATTCTAGAAGGCGGGACACACGGCATGGAGGTGCGTGCAATGTTCGGAGGAAGGAAGGGGGACAGGGGACTGCCCACCCGCCAGGGGTTCCCCAGAGGAAATACAGACGAGGACGAACCCTCGCTGGGCATTTCCCTCTGTAAACTGCAAAGCACCTGGGAAACGCATCCACCGAGGAGGAAGAGGAAATGGAGTTGGAGAGGGTTAGACAGGGCCCGTGCTGGAAACAGGCCGTCCCCACCTGAGGCCCTGAATGGAGACAGAGGAGCCTCCAGCGTCCAGGATAGAGGGGGGTTACACTGCAGGCCCACCTGTCCCCTCGGCCAGGGCCACTGTCCCCCTTTAAGGGCCCCCCTCACTTGGGAAAGGGTTTTGCCTCTTAGGAAAGGTAGCCGCCAGCATGGTTCAAGGTCCGAGCCACCGGCAATGTGATGTTACGGCCCCAGCCCAGCTCTGTCACTGACTTCTACCTGAGCGACCTGGGACCTCAGCCCCCACCTCTGCCATCTGGGGAGCCTCCTGGTGCTGTGTCCCCACGGCTGTGGGGCGGAACTCCGCTAACACACAGCAGGAACTTGGAACCACACGGTGAGCCCTCCCCGCACTGGGCTTCGATGCCTGTTCCCGGCCTGCGCCTCGCCAGCTCTGTGACTTTGGGCAGCTGACTTAGCCTCTCAGATGTGAGTCTCCTCCCCAGGGCAACAGGGGGCCTGGTACGTGCCTCAAAGTCAAGAAGAGCATCGGGTCACAGGATGAAACCTGGGATGAAGAAGTGCCAAGGGAAAGCATGCGTGTGCACGCACTGTGGTCATGGCCTTGACCTGAGTGAAGAAGTGACTCCCTGCGCAGGCCATGGCACTTACACTGGGGGGTGCCGTCCGCACAGCCCACCGGGGACCGAGGAAGCCTCTCGGGCAGGCAGCCCAGCCTTCTCACCTGCCGCAGGCAGCAGTGGTGAGACCAGCAGCACCTGAGACCAAGGACAACAAACCCCTTAGTGCCCAGAGCTCGCGGCTGCCCCGCAGCACCTCACGCCCGCCTCTGCCACACGCCCTGCCGCAGCGAGAGACGCCGACGCCCCCTTTCCGGGGCGCGTGGGGCCGACGTAGCCACGGGCCAGGGACCACCACGCACGGCTGCTCAGGGTGCACGCTGCACCAAAATGCCACATCCAGGGCACACATCTGAATTCTAGAAGTTCTTTTTTTTTAATTTTACAATCCTGTTGACTGCAAAGATGAGTGATGAGCATACTTATTATAATAATTTTCCAACAGATGGAAACTAAGGGCCTTGGGGATGGGCACCAGTTGTCGTTGACACAGAGGCACGACCTGCCCTCGTTCCACGGCCCCACTCCCTGCAAGCTTGTACAGAGTGGAGCAGGTAGTCCCACACCCACAGGCTGCCCCACGGGGCCCCCAGCCTTGAAAGGGAGTGGAGGGGCTACCTTGGGCATAAACCAAGACCTGTGTCTGGAAAAGGGTCCGACGCAGAGTGGGACCTCAGTGAGCACAGGGGAAGGAGTCGGCCAGCACCATGCTCTGAGGCCCGGGCCCTGGCGTGGGCGGGCCAGCGCCCCCCTGCCGTCAGTCCTGAAGCCTCATCCGCCACTCTCAGCTACACTGCTCCGACTCATCTGCAGGCTGAGTCCCCATCGCTTCCTCTGCTTCTCCCCACGCATTGGTCATACTGCGTGGGCTTGTCAGAAAAGTGTCCTCTTTCCCTGTGCGAGCTCCTGCTGGGCCCAGGGAGTGTGATCTGCTCCGTTCACGTGCCATCGTTTTTGTGTCTCCGCCACCGAGCCCAGTGGCTGGCACAGAGCCAGAGCTCAAGAAATGGGGGTTGAATGCACATGCGCATGAATGAATAAATCAACGAACACGTGAGGTCAGTGAAAATCCTCCCTGAGCAGTAAATATAAACTTCAGATATAAAACTCACCAGCGACACTTAAAAGGCGCTGAGACCCTAATTTCACTGTGGCCTCTGGTAGAACAAATCAACCGGAGACCCCGGTTGTATATGCTACTCGTTTGCAGGATAGGCAGAGTCGGGGGCCTCCGAAGTGTCTTTGCAGAGTGACCCCCCGGGGTGGCTGGAGAGTCTTTGTGGCACAGCCCCAGACCCCCACCTCAGAAGGCAGGGATCTGTCTGGCTGCCCCTTTGTAAGCGGATGACCCCCGAGAAGTGACATTCAGCCAGTCACAGGGAAGAAGGGCCTCTGGGGGCGATGAGCCCCCCTAAGGGATACAGTCGGGCACCAAGCTCTTTGTGAGGCTGAAGGTGACAGCCAGGGCAGAGGAGGGCTGTCGCCACTCACCGCGGCATCCGTGTCACTGGCCTGCCACCCTCGGGCGACCCTACCTGTCCAGCGTGTCCACTGGTTCTCCTCCTCCTTCTGGCCCACAGTAGCAGCCGTACGATTCAAACTCCTCCGGGCACCGGGACATCAGGCAGAAGAGCATCTCTCCCAGCTGCGGCATCACCTGTGTGTGGTCCTCACTCCCCAGGTGCAGGAAGGTGACCCTGTCACAAGCTGGTGAACAGACAAGGACTCAGGAGAGCCAGGAGCCCCAGGACAGTGTTCACAGAAGGGGGGGCGGGGAGCCCGGGTCGCCATGGCCACTGGCCGTCCCAGGAGTCCTGTGTCCTCCGCCTCGCCCCACCACGCCTCCAGGAGACTGTTTTGCGACTGGTCCCCTGTCCAGGATGAGTTGTCGTTCAGAGAGAAGTCTTCCTCACTGGGCTCCTGCTCTGCCCAGAGCCCTCGTGACATCCCCTTGGGCACAGGGACTCGTCAGGAACGAAGATGCTCGTTGGGCAATATTTTATTGCTGAGCAGAGGGACGGGCAGGACCCAGCCTCCTGGGGGACTCCTGGTGGTCCTCTCATGCTGCCTGACTCCATCAGGTTAGCGCACCCTGGTGGAGCTTGTCTTCAGAACCTTGGTTTTCTGACTCTCTCCCCTCCCCATCCCCACACTACTGCCCTCCTCCTGCGCTGGGCACACCCGGTCTTCACGGGTCTGGTGGGAAGAACTAAGAAGGTACAGCGCCCAGGGCTCGGCCTCCCTCTCAAATGCAGCTGCCCCCGTAGCTCTGCACCCCCATGTGGAGGGCTGCCCAGGCAGCACCGGAGTCCTCCTCCGTGTCCCGCTGCCTGTGGCCCCGTGCAGGTGCAGGGCCTTAGGCGAGGCACCCCAAGGGAAGAGAGCCACGGGGGGTGGTTGCTAAGACCCAGCGCTCAGTTCTGCCCAAGAAACCATGGCACAGACGACGCCAGGCCCTTGCCCTCTGGGCCCGTGCGAGGGGGGGGAGCGCTCAGTCAGGACCCTCCTTCCTCGGCCCGGCCTCCCGGCAGCTGTGCCAGCAGAAGTCCATCCTCTCTGAGTCCCGCTGGCCAGGGGCTGGCCCCTTCTAATCGCAACGGCATGACAAGGGCACAGTGCGACACAGTGGCTTTTTCACCAGCTACCCAGAGCCCAAGGCCGGGAGAGGACAGGCGCTCCTCTGCCGACTTCTGCTCACCTTTCCCAGTTGTCCGCTCGGGACCACGCCCGACAGACGACACAGCCAGCCCCGAAGACTTAGTGCTGGCGGGGACAACGGTCCCCCCTCTGGCTGTGACGGCGACTTCTGCAGACCCTGCAAATGCACGACTTTACAGCCCACATTCAAAGAGTGGCCCGGGAAGAGCAGAGGGGCACCAGGTCCAGGCCCGAGGCAGGCAGGTGACTCGGAGCAGCGGAGCAGCGGGTCGGGGTCCTCAGGCTGGGTCTGCAGGCATCAGAGCAGACTCTCGGGGGGCTGGGGATGCTGCAGGTATCCCGGGTTTTCCGTGGTCACCTTAAATCTGACAGGGGGCCGTGCTGGACCCTCCAGACGACGGTGCATGGGACAGAACTGTCCCCGTCAGGCCTGTGTTTGTGTGGTGCTCACTCCCATGCACCTTCAAAGCGAAGCCCCAGCGCAGTGTTGATGGGGGACAAGAATGATGGGGAATGAGGCCATCTCCTGGTCCACAGTCACCAGTGGGCAAGCAAAACCGTTCAAACCCTGCAGACACCGCAACGGCGGCTCAGCGCAGGGTCCCCGCCATGGCCAGCAAGGCTGCCGGGACCTGGCTCTGCCGCCCTCCGACAGGCTCCCCGGCCCCCGCGGGATCCCCCTGGGCGCTCCCGTCACCCAGCCCCATCTGCCTTCCCAGCTGGGGGCAGCCAGGTGTCCAGCCCGGTCTGGCCCAGAGGAAGGGAAGGGAAGGGCAGGTGCTGGGCCCCACCCATCTGCTGACCCAGCGCAGTTCTGGGCACCGCTGGTGGAGGCCCAGGCAGAGTCGGTGTGCAGATGCTTGGGGGAGACTGGGGGAAAGTGTTTTCAAATGTTAAACCTGGCTGTCTTGACCACGTGAACTTGGAGGTGATGTGAATAGAAAATTAAATAGAGCTTTCTGTATTTCTTTAAGGCCTCTCCATAGCAGGTAAACCTCCATGTCTTTCTATGAATGGGTCGATCTTTTCATTTCATTTGTCTACTTTCTCAGGTGCGCTGGAAGGGAGCTGGCTTCCTGGTTTCTCCCACTGTGAGTCTGGCGTCTTCTCCAAGGCCTCCTTGCAGCACCCCGGACTTAAGGAGGCAACAACGCAGTCAAAAGCGGGAGGAACCAAGTGTGCTTACCTGAAGGGGTGGGGGTGCTCCCGGCTTCTGTGCCTTCCGGGTCTTGCAGTGGTTCTGCTCGCAGAAAAGAAGGACAGGGTCAGTGTCCCCCCCCAGCCTGTCCCACCTTCTTCTCCAGGGCAGCTCCCACCCACTGGGCCCGGGGGGCAGCGTGGCCTTTGCTCTGCTTCTGGGGCCTCACAGGGGAGCTGGCGTTGGCGGGGCCACCACTGAGCCGAAAGGAGACGCACCTCCCCCCACCCCGACACACAGAGAGGTTTGCTGGGGAACTCAGCTTCAGGTGAGTCTGCTGAAATTATATATACACATATATATATATATTTTTTTTAACAGAGAAGAATGAGGCAGAACTGTGTGACCCTTTAGCTTGCTACGTGGCCCCAGGAAGGTGGCTGAGCCTCTGCTCCTCTGTGAAATGAGTTTATTTACTTTTTACCAGCAACCAAGTTCATACTATACTACAGACTGAATGTCCATGTCCCCCCAGGTCCACGTGTCAGAATCTTAGCCTCTAATGAGTAGGTGTTAGGAGGTGGGGCTTTTGGGGTGATTAGGTCGTGAGGGTGGAGCCCTCATGACTGGGATTAGTGCCCTATCACGGGACCCCAGAGAGCGCCCTGGTGTCTTCCACCACGCGGGGACACAGCAGGAAGACCGCCATCTACGGATCAGGAGGGCCCTTGCCAGACGCTGGACCTCCAGCCCCCACGACTGTGAGAAGCACATTTCTGCTGTTGACAAGCCACACAGTGTGTGGTCCTTTGTTACAGCAGCCTGAAGAGACTGAAGCTTATTACACGCCAGCTACAGCTCCCAGGGCTTTGCTCATACTGCCTCAGTAGCCACCCCGTGGGTGAGCACAATGCTCTCCCCCTTTCAGTGATGAGAAAGGTGACACACAGGAAAAGGGAGGTCCTTTGCCCAAGGTCATGGGGCTAGGAAGTAGCAGAATGCAAACCCAGGTCACCTGCTGAAGTTGACCCTCTGAACCACAGTCTAGGCTACTATTTTACTGCTGACTGCTGGCTGACCCACAGAGGGCTAGAGATGGTCACTCCAAAGATGCTTCGGAGAGGAAGAAACTGCTTGACATTCCACGTGTCAGAGATCAAGATTACGATGGTATTGTGTGAGCACCAAGCATTTACTAAGGGGACAAAGAGAGTCTGAATCGTTCTAAGCTGGGGCAGATGGTTCTCTTCAAAGATGAAATGTACAGATTCAGAAGTTACAGAGCACAGCCCTGGACCACCCCGGGCAAATGACCCTGCCCCTTGGATCTTCTTCTTTAGCTGTCAAGTGGGGGTGATCAAGGGCCTCCCAGACCTGAGGAAGAATAACTCACAGAATGTTGTGTGTAGGGGCTTAGAAACATGCTAGCACATGGAGGTCTTTGACAATGTCACCGCCCTGGAACCATTCTTGGTAATTAGTAAGCAGTTATGATCCATGATTTGTACTCATTAATACAGTATCCACGGTTATTCATCGCCACAAGCAAAGTAAATGGTTAGGTTAACCCTTCCGATGACCTCCCGGCTTAGACATTTCTGGGTGAGGGGTTGTGCTCCGTGAGTCACTATCACATGACGCAGAGAAAACAAGTCTTATACAGCCCCAAGTCTGGAGGGAGAGACCCGTCCAACAAAGCACTTGCTGAGTGACTTGGAACTTTTAACCCCCAGAACCTCATTTTCCTATGTTATCTGCAAAATGTTATAGTAATACTTCCTCAGGGCCCTAACAAACAGTGGTCACCCAACTGAATACGAATATTTATTTAGATGGCATTTGTCCTCTGCTGTCTCCTGGAGTCCCCTGGGCTTACTTGTCCTGAAGAGAGTGGTCATTTGGTCGCCTCTGGTCTCAGCAGACACTGTGAAGAGAACCCACCCCATCACCAATCAGTCACCGATGACCAGTCCAGCCCAGCACGTTGGCCAGGCCTGGGTGACCTGTAAGAACAACGGGCTGGGAGCGGAGGGACTGCGGGGAGGACGCCACGGCAATCTGATCGGGTGGTGAGCGTGTCTGGGCCTTGGTGCTCCTTTCAGTTCCGGGTCAGTGGCCAAGGGGCCAGATCAGGGTCAGTCCCATGTTTAGGTGAAGAAACCAGCCAGTGGGAGAAAGAGCTAGTATTTACCTTGATTAGATCAGATCTTTGTGGGAGGGAGTTTATTCTAGAAGGAAGCAAGGACCCATTGGAGACCTGAGTCCCAGCCCTACCACTCGGTGCTGCATCTTGGACAACAACTTTATCCATTTCAATCTACCATCTCAACATGAAGGTCCGTACGGTTGGGCGGGCATTAAATGAGATTATGTGTTTTAGGCTAGTCCTCTAGTGTCCTGCGTGTGGTTTGATGGTATGTGCTGCTTTTACAGTTCCACTCGAGTTTCTGGAAGAAGATGCTGGCCCAGAATCTGCCCATGCTCTCTCTCATTCAATCTTCTGCCGCCCTACAGGACAAGTATAATCAGCCCTTTTCAGGGGTTGGTAAATGATGGTCTGGCCCTTGGCGTGTTTTTGTAAATAAAGTTTTATCGGCATGCAGCCACAGCCAGCTGGTTACGGACTGTCTACAGCTGCTCTCCTGCTAGGGGGGCAGAGTTGGGCAGCTGCGACAGAGATCCTCCGTCCAAAATGTTTGCTGTCCAGCTCTTTACAGAAAGGTCTCTGGTCACCCTGCTTTACGCTTGGGGAGGTTAAACCACTCCGCCGAAGTCACGCAGCTAAAAAGTGGGAAAACCTGGATTGTATCCCAAATCTGCCCACCACCCACACATGACTGCTGCATCGCATGGCGGGGGCGCACTCACAAGCCCTACGGCGTTTGCTCACAGCCTGTCCCGCCTGCACCTGGGTGGGGGGTGGCGATGCCGCATTCAGGCCACGGCCTCTCCAGAGGGCACCCGTGTGCACCCACTGGGTCTCGGGCGTGAGTGCTTGTGTGCTGGGGGGAAGGTGTGTACATCCACCGCGCTTCCCCAGCTGGACTCCAGGCTCCTTGAGGAAACCCGTTTCCTTTCCGTGTTTCCCAGGTTCATGCCACAAGGGGAGGGGGGTTCAGGCTGGCGACAGTGGGCAATGCACCATTTGGGGACTATTTGGGGATTGTCTGATGGGCCGTGAAGTCTGCAGCATTTTCTTTCATTTAGAATGGAAGTCACCAGAAGTGGTTACTGCATGGGCAGGGCATCTGGTGAAGCTTTGGTGGGGCACAGGTGTCACTTCATGTCTTTTCTAGACCTGGACCCAAAGGCACAGGCTGCCCTGGAGCTCTTGCGGATGAGATACCCTTGGGCATGGACATGGCCGGGGGTGAGTCACACCACAGGCCTCTGCTGCTCTCCCTACTGTAGCAGCAGCAGCAGCCACAGGGGGAGAAACAAACTTCTAGGGAGACATTGGGCACCGTGACCCCCTGAGGTGCAGGGTGGCCAGATTTAACACCTGAAACTACAGGGTGCCCAGCTGAACTGGGATTCCAGATAAGTAGCAAATGCTTTCTTAGTCTAAGTATGTCCCGGAATTTGCATGGGACATACTTATACTTAAAAGTTGTTTGCTGTCCATCCACAGTCCAACTTCAGATGGCAGGGGGTGAGTACTCTGCACTTTCTCTGACAACCCCACCACGCTGAAGTCAGAGTGTGGGCGAAAGCTGGACCCGTAGAGGTTTGGGGTCGGGAGGAAGAAGGAGTGGTTCTGGAATGTACTGAGGCTGACCCATTGCAGGCCCAGGCAGGGGGCATGCGAGGGAAGGTGATGCCAGCAAGTAGTCTCATGCTATCATCAAAAGGGGCATTTGGGTCGCACACCTGTGCCTCTGAGCTCACCTTCTCCCGAGAGGGCCAGCAGGCCACTGTCTGTGGGCTCCGCAGGCTCCGCGGGTTCCACTGAAAATAGAGAGCCCCCAACAGCAATGAGTGGTGGGCATGGGGTCAACACCAAGGGTCTCAACCAAGAACAGGCTGGGTAGGGACCAAGACAGAAGGGGTACCATTCCTCCATCTTAGGGTTCCCTGCCTCTCGTACACCTCCCAGAACGCAGGGGTGCCCAGAAGCCCCCAGCTCAGGAGGCACTCCAGGTGGCTCTGGGTTCTGGGGGAGGAGGTGACTCTACCGAACACAGGCTGTGACGGTGAAAGGGCTGCGCCCCCTGAAGCAGGGTGGCCGTGGAGTGTGGCGCCCTGACTGGCGGAGATCGCTGTTCTAGGGGGAGGCAGGATGGCGGAGAGGAAGGAGGCTGGGCTCAGAGAATGCCTGGAGATGCAGCGCACACCCCACACGCATGCACACGCACATACACACACGTGCATGCACCAGGCACATACCATACCACATGCGCGCACTTGCCCAGAAATCCACCACACACACCCACGTCAGCTCCCTCTTCACCAAACACTGCAGTGCTATTTCCGGGGAAGAGACCCCAGCTCAGGAAATGAGGGATGCTCTGCGAAGGGGCACCTTGAACTACCCCCCGCCCAGGTACCCGTGGTGTTGGGACTCAGAGATCGTGGGAACTTTGGGGAACAGGGAATAACATGTGCATGACGCATGCGGGTCTGCCAGCTCCCATCAGGTCCGAGTGAGAACAGCCCCCCTGGGAGGCCTTACCTCTGGGCAGAAGGGTCGTCAGCTCCTTCCTGCTGGTTGTCTCTGTAAAGGAAACCCACAGAGAGCAGTGGGAGTGCGGACCGTGAGAAAGAGATGGCCTCGGCCCCTGCAGACGCACAGCACCCGCACCAGGGGCCCACGGCAGCTCCTGCCCCCACCGCCAGCCCCCCCAAGGATGCGGGGCCGGGGTCTTCCTACCCGGAGGCTGAGTCAGGCAGAAGGCAGGGTCCAGCAGGCTCAGGGAGGGGTTGACCGTGGACTGGGCCAAGCACTCAATGGCGGCCTTGTCGCAGGTGCACAGCAGGCGCTCACAAGGGTCCCTGGACTCTGTGCATGGGGCAAGGGGGGCGGAGCCAGCTGCAAGAGCTCACTTGGGATTCCAAGAGGCAATGCAAACTCCGAAGGTGAACTCCCACTCTGCCCGGCCCATGCTCCACGCCTCCCGTGGTCTCCGCATCTCCTCGTGTGTCTGCTCCACCTCTTCAGGGGTTGGGTGGGTCCAGTCTGGGCCCCTGTGCCCTCCTGTTCTCACACACTCACACACACACACACACACACACACTCACTCACTCACACTCACACACACTCTCTCACACACACACACACACACACACACACACACTCTCACACGACCCATCGAGCCATCTTATGGGCTCTGCTTTCATCCTGTTTAGAGCCTGCCATGGCTCCCCCTCCCCGCTCCACTGTCCTGGCCGCTCCGTCACCTCCTGTGTGGGCTGCATCAGTGGCCTCCTAACAACTCCCCACCGCCTCCCCAGCTGCTCAGTCCGGTCCCACCGAGGAGCCAGAGCAAGTCTTTGGACACTTGGGTCACACCGTCACGCCATGGTTTTTGTGTTCAGAACCCCCCAGCTCCAAGTCAAAGCCGCTGATCCCACTCCTTCTCAGACCTCATCTCCTTCTCCCTTCCCACCCCATCCCTGACTCACTGGCCCCCCCATTTCTCAAACACGCCAGGCACCTCGAGCCTCGGGGTCCACGGGTGCTGATTCATCCATCCGCACTGCCCTTCTCCCCGATACGCCTCGTCTCTGCCTTGGCTCAACCGTCGTCTTCCCTGGGAGGCTGCTCTTGACCTTCCTGCTTAAACAGGGGCCCCCACCCCAGCCTCCCTGTGCCTGTCCCTGACGGACTGTCCTCCACAGCTCCTGTCACTGTCTAACAGACTGTCGCATTTGTTTTTGGTACTTTCGGTATCTGACAATGATGATGAAATTATAGGACATCAGGATGTCCCCAGTGCCTAGACACTTGTCTTGGGCTTGATGTAGGAGGTCAGCACATTTCTGATGGATGAATGAATGAATGAATGAATAGTGCCTTCAGCATTCGCTGTGCGCCTCACCTAGTGACTTACACCCATGCCTCTCCACATCTTTCTGGAAGCTCCTTACTCCAGCTCATCCTTGTCACCTGGCCCGTGGAGTCCATCTCACCTGCATTCAAACCCTGGCTCTGCCACTTAGCAGCCATGTGACTCTGAACAAGCTATCTAATTTCTCTGTGCTCCCTTCTCCTTGTCTGGAAGCTGGGAATAATGACCCCCGTCTGACAGGGTTCTCTAGGAGATCAGAGTTGCGGTGTATAAAGTGTATGGCGCATAGTAGGCACTTCTACAGGGTGGCTCCAAAATGGAACCACCAACGCACCATGCTCCTCCCCCCTCTCTGCCCTTATCTATTCTCCTTCCTCTGCCCAGAGACATGAAACAAAATTCCTGGAGTCACACAGCAGACCAAGGTGGACAGCTGATTCTTACAAACCACCACCAGAGCCTTCTTCATGCACCACAGCTTCTCTCTCCACTTCCACCATTGAGTTCTTAACACACACCAATCACCACGCTCACTCTTTTATGAGCATTATTCATCTTTCATAACAAGTCTCTGACACAGATTTTCCCCTCCCCATCCTCATGAGGTTCAGAGGAGGTAATAATTTCCCCTAGTCACACGAGATGTGAGTAGCAAATTATTTGCCCTTCCCAAGTTCCCAGGGTTGCTACAAATATGAAAATTGTAAATCAGTTGATCTGCTGATTAACTATTGTGTCAACCCCAAAAAGCAAGTATTGTACATCTACTGTGCAAGGTGTAGGTGCCACAGAACCAGCTCTCATGGGGCCCTATGTATAGATGATAAGGATGTCAGTGGTGATGATGATGAACTTGAACCCTGGGAGCCCTTGGCCTGGTCCTATCTGGGGCCTCTGAACAGTCTTCTCTCACCCAGCACCCCGAGGACACCCAGAGGTGCTCACCACATGTGATCTTCTTGCTGACGCAGTTGATGTCCGTGCTAATCTTGCTGGGGTCCTGGAGACAGTCCATCTCAGCGGCCTCCTCATAGCACCTGCGGTGCTGGAAGCAGCAGCTGTGGCAAGAAGGGGCGGGGGTGGAGGGAGGCAGACAACCCACGGTCACCCCATGGCTCTGGATGGTTCCTGGCGGCGGTCTGTTTCAAACAGTGCGCTCCCACACACGCACACACACTCACACACTATTTGAATTATGTTGCCTAGGCAGCAGGTGCTGTTCTTATTGTGAGCCTTTACATGGGTGAGGGCTGAGACTCGTGGGGCTCTGTAACTTGCCAAGGCCAAGGTTGATCACAGAGTATAGCTGGCACTCAGTGTGGCCAGCTGGAAGCGGCACAGAGGAAGCCAGTCGAGGCCAATGGAACGAAGAAAAAATATACAGGCAGCTGATGACCTTGGGTAAGTTACTAAATTTCTCACATAAAATAACTCATAAGAATTTGGGGGGATTCAAGAAATCATCCATATAAATCCTGCCATGTGGTAGGTGCTCAAAACTTGGCAGCAATTATTTTTGCATCCCAGTGTGCAAGTTCAAGGTGGCCATACCCTGTCCTCCAGGAGTTTGGAAACCCCCACCCCCATCCACTGAACAGTGCAACGTAATTGAACTTGAGTGGGACCCACGATCCTGCCGGGTTCTCACCGTCAGCGCTGTGATCATTCTTTTAGGGCTGGAGACAGTGATGAATTACTGCCTCATTGCTTTGACTCCCAGGTTTTCAAGGTGTTTTACTAATTAAAGGAAGTGCTAAGGGAGGGCCCGAAAGGAAAACGCTGCCAGAAAGGGCCCCAGCACCACGCCCTGCAGAGCCAGCCTCTCCCTTTCTGCGGGTCAGCGAGCTGGCTCCAGGGTCAGTCTGCTCACGGTCCCGGAAATGGGGCTCTGCTCTTCGGTCCGGAGGTGACCTATCCCTTCTCTTGGAGATTTGGCGATGGGACAGATCTGTGTTTTCATTTCAAAGCCATTCGTCCTTCTCAGTGAAGGACATATCACTCTCTAATCAATCCATTCATTTCTTTTTCATCTCTGAAAAGCAATTAGAAGTTGACCACCCGGTCAATCAGTTAATTTATTGAGCTCTCTGGGCCAGCTGCTGGGGCTGCAAAGCACCACTGCTGTGCAGACCGCCCTCAGAGGGCGTGGAGCGGGGTGGGAGACACGTGTATCCACAGAGGCTCCCGCGTGGTAGGAGCAAGAAAGGGGAGTCCGGGTGTTTGGGAGCCCAGAGGTTGCCCTGATGCATTCACAGAGGGGTCCCAGGGGAGAAACGCCAGGGTGACCAGGGCTGCCCCATGGATTCCAAAGAGGAGTCCTTTCCACTTCGTGAGTCTGTGTGGATGAGAACACACACGCCCTCACACTGGATCTGGGCCCCAGTGGGGTGGGGACGTGGCTCTGGGAGCAGGTCAAGACCTGCATCCCATTTCTCGCCTCCATACTACTGCTGCTACCGCTGTTGCTATGGTTACAACTGCTGATCCTACTGCTGCAGCTTTACTGCAGTAAATAGTAAACAGTAATAGTAACTGGTACTATTAATGCTACAGCAGAGACTGTGCCTACTGTTACGACTAGCAGGTTCCTACCAGCACGTTGCTGTTGTACCACCATCGCCACCGCTCCCCCGCCACTGCGGCTCTGCAGTGACTGTTACTGCCACTGCGGCTGCTGTTAATACTGCTGTCACTACTGCTGTCATTCGTTACTGTCACTACTCCTGCTCCAGCCCTCCTACAGCTTACTCTCGCTTACTCACTCATACTCTCGGATACTTAATAAGCCAGGCAGAATCCCACCCTCTTTAACTCGTACTTGGCCACTTAATCTTCAATTATATCTCAATAAGTTTGGCATTATTATTGCCTCTATTTTATAGGTCAGAAACTGGAGCACAAGGAAGTTCAATAACGTGCCTCGGGTCACAGAGCCCAGGGGAGCAGAGGACTGGAATCACTGGGTCGTAGGTGATGTGTCAAAAAACCCTAACGGATTTCACCAATTTTTTCCTAAGGGCCCCTGCAGCTGCCAGGGTCTGTCTGGCGTATCCTTGCTCGCACTTGATGCCTCCAAGATTACAAATTCGATTGCTAGTCTGATGGCACCTGCTTCTAATTCACTCCCCTTGTGTGGGGGGGCGGGGGGAGAACATCCTTACGGGGCACTGACTGATATTTCCTCTGCATTCCCCACTAGACACGCACCTCTCTGAGACGGGGATGGCATTCTGTTTATATTAAGCGTGGTGTTCGCATATTGTTGGTATTTGGTACACGTTTGTGGAAAATTGAACAGAAACCTATCCTGAATCCAAGGTAGTTCTCAGGATTTATTATGCTCAGGAGTCACCTGGATGGATTGTTTAAAATCCAGACTCCCGGGTTCTCCCTAAAGGTCATCGGGGTCACTAGATCTGGGCGGGGTCTCCGGAACCTGCCTTTTAGCATGCGTCTGGGTGGTGGGCCCGAACTCGGAGAAACTAAAGTGAAGTTTAGCACACTGGACGTAACATAGGGTCTTGACAACTTCCTGGGATGCGAGCAGATCACGGACTAACTGCGATTTAAAGGTGAGGAGAGCAGCCCCCCAGCAGGGAGTGTTCTGCGCCCCTGCCCCGCTGAGCACCAGCCGGCCCCCCACGGCCTCCCCCGGGGTCCGGCTCACCCGTCCGGTGCGTCCACGGGCGGCCCTTCCATCTCAAACCGGCAGGCGCAGCCGTAGTCTTCCAAGTCGCGGGGGCAGAGGCCAGCCACGCACCTCAGGCCGCTGACGAACTGCAGCAGCGCGGGGAAGTTGGTGAAGACGGCCTGCAGCCAGGTGAAGTGGGAGCCCAGGCAGTCTGGAGGGGGGGAGCAGGCCGGGCGCTGGCAGCCAGAGCCCGGGAGGGAGCCCTGGCCCGCGACTTCCTACTGCTCGCTCGGCTGGCGCCTCGTCAACCTGCTCAGCACCTGCTGTGTCCCCAGGACTGTGCTGGACTATTAAAGTGGAGCAGGTTTATGAGCCGGGTCCCTGCTGCTTGCCCACCCAACAGCCATTATCCCTTCTTCCTCGCCAACAAAAGTGACAGTACTCAAGGAAGGGGAGCCTTCTCCCCAAGGCCCCGGGGAGGTCACATGATCGCTCGCAGCTGGTCAAGGGCTGAGTACCTGAGTACAGAACCCAGATGTGGCCAAAACAACTTAACGGAAAGTCTATGAGAGGCTTTGGAAAATCCTTTTTCTCCTAATAAAGAATGAAAGTGTGTAAGGAGATCCTTTTGATCTTTACCATTCTCCTTCCTTGAATGTGGGTGAGGATACGCTGGCTGGAACTGCAGCAGCTACTTTGCAACCATGAGGTCCACACCTAACACTGGAAAACCTATAGGCCTGGGGAGCAATGGGCCAAGATAGAACGAGCCTGTTGGGTCTCAGACCGGCTTTGAGCTACTTACTGCACCAGTCCTGGTGCCCACAGATGGCTTATGTGAGATGCTTAAAGAACTTTATTATTTAAGTCACTGTCGGTTTGCTGAATGGATCCTCAATGATAGACTACAGACACTAGAGAACTGTAAGTCAGTGCAGGAAGAGAAGGGGTACAGATGGTAGTAATTTGGGGGTACCTACTATGTTCCTGACGCTGTGATTGAAATAGCACAATAGAGTGATGCTTTAGAAAGCATTCGCTTTTTCTCTTGTCCTGTAAACCTCATGTTAATCCCACAAGGCAGGTGCTATTCCGTCACCTTTGTTTCACAGGTAAGAGGCTGAAGGTCAGAGCCATGCCCGAGGTATCCACCAGTGACAATAACTTGCCCTAAACAAAAATGCTCTTGCAAATGAAATGGGCGTGAAAATGGTGCCTAATTCTTTGGCTCTAACCCTGACCACCCCCCCGTCTCCACGCCTGCCTTTCTGACCAGGGGGCTAGTGGGGGCTGAGTGTGGGACCGAAGGGCACGGGGTCATGAGAGGGTGCTGGGGGGGGTCGGGTTTCAGAGCTGCCTGTGAGGACCCACTGGACGGACCCACAGGACCCAGGCCTGACGGTTCCAGCTTCTTCCTACCTCACTGAAACATCCTTCCTGTGTTTTTTATTTCGGCACGCCCTAAGCAAAAACATGAAGCAATGACTCTGCGCTAATGAGAAGAGCCACGCTAAGATTTGTGTGTGTGTGTGTGTTTGTGTGTGTGTGTGTTTATGTAAACATGTTTTCACTCAAAAACTCCCAGACACCTACCCTCAGTCGTGCGTGCAGTTAGATGCAGTCTGTGCCCAGCGCTGTCTAATTCAATCACAGTTCAGAATCTTTTTGGCTCAAGTCCATCGTATGATAGTCTTATATTTTCAGTAACTTAAGTAATCAATGACAGAAACCACTATGGTAACTAAGAGTTGCTTGATAGATATGTTATTGGTAAATGGAATGCTTGATGGCCGTTGGAATTCTTAGGCCTTAGGCATAGTTACTAGTTGGGGAGAGAAAATAAAGTTACTTGGGTGCAGGGAGACTAAGGTCTGGATTCAGGGGAGAACTTCTTTCTTTCAGCTGTGCGGCCTTAGGCGAGTCCCTCGACTTCCTGAGCCTCCGTTTCCTCCCCCGAGGGGTGGGCTACTGGGCGACTCGGTGAGGCGCCCCCCACTAAAGGCGCCGCTTGTCTGCCCAGAACCTGGACCGAATCGTTTGGAGCTGGCTGGGGTGGCCATGGGCATGCATGGGGGCAGAGACCAAGGTCATTTCCTGAGATTTGCCCCACCCCCGCGCGCCAGCTCTGGGGCCTACAGTCTCACTCAGACCGAACTTACCGAAAATTTCAGACGCACTCTCCACATTTTTAAACATGCCATTGAGGAGCGTGATATCTAAGCGGAAGGAAGAGACAACAGATTACAGAGCCTGGTTTCCCCCCTTCCCAGTCCGCCCCCCCTGGGTGGAGAGTAAGTGAAAACCTTTTCCCTTTCTCTAAGGATAGATTTGACCCGGGGCTAACTTTCTAGGAACACGGTTACCACAGAGACCCGATAAGATGTCACAACACCCGTGTCACTAGGCAACGCTGCTCAATGGTTAGGAACATAAACACGAACCAAGCCCCTGGGTGGTGAGGGGCACCTGCACCGGTGGGAACTGTAGGTGAGCCAGGCGGGGTGACTCCCGGGCAGGCCCCGGGCACCCCAGAACCTGCGGCTGTGAAGTTGTCACTAGAGACACTGGTTCCTACGGAGGATGAACCCTCTGGGCCAGGGGGGGCCCCAGGGCTGCCCCACCCGGGGCTGCTGGGCTCTGCGTGGTCACTGCCAGGCCCCTGTCACTGGAGAGGGATGGCCGCCAGGGCCGCCCGGCACGCTGCGTCCTGGCCCAGGTCTTCTGAGTGCCCAGTGTGACCCGTGAGTTTAAAGTAGGATGTCCCGGGGGCTTGGCCTTTCCCTTGGGGACCATGCCATTCGGAGAGAGGCCACCCGTCCCCTGGGCCTGGGTGGGACCCAGCACTTGGACTGCAGGAACCATATGCAAATCATTGGGCCCACTCGGCTCCCCGCCCTGAAAGGTCGGATGTGACCCTTGAATTCGGGGCTGGCGGGCAGCAAGTTCAGGGTGCGTTAAGTTCCCCAGCGATGGCCCTGTAAGGACTCACCCAAGAAGTCCTTGCAATCCGCCCCTATGAGACAGCGTCCCCTCCCCCGGGGACGTTACGACATCACCTGTCTGTCGTCACCCTGTCTTTGGGAGCTCAGAGCTCGGGTGGAAGCTAACACACCAGTCACCTCTGACCCTTGCGATCAGACCGTTCATTTCCCTTTGGTTTCCCCTTCCAGCCACCATTTCTCTCTCGATGGGAATTTTTAGTATTTTGTCTCGAAGGAGAGACCGGTGGTGGGGTCAGCCTGCTGAGGGAGAGGCTTTTGAATCCCTTCACCCACAGACGTAGCCACAGTAAGTAGTGTTCGGGCATAGTCAGAAGGGGGCGTTTTCTCTGCCACCGCCCTAGGCCACGCTCTACCCAGCTCGGTCTCCTAAGGAAAGTTCAAAGAACACTTACTGATGTTTTTTGAGAGTCCTGGCAGCAGCTCCTGCGGCCGGTGGGGCGTGTCCAGAGGGTGGCTCCCTGAGCAGGAGGAGGAGGTGGGATTGGTATGAGCGCAGCCACCACCTGCCGGCTGGGCCGAGGCCAGGGTGACAGCCAGGGTGGTGGCCGGATACCCGCCAGTTCAGTCCTACGTATATATTTCCGGCACCTGCCGTGCGCTGGGTCTCGGGGGTAGTAGCTCCTGAAGACAGCAACGCAGACTTTCCAGGCAGGAGGGGGCTGCAGTTCCATTTGGGATCTTATCCCAGGGTCCAGGGGACTGCTGGGGCGCACCTGGCCTCACTGCCCCAGTAAGCCCACTGCTCACTGTTTCATGTCACACCAGCCAACAGCGAAGAATGCTTCAGCGGCAACTGTCAACTCTTTCCCACTCCTAGATAATGACTTCCCGGGCATTCCTGGTGCCGCGGGTCATTAAGTTCCTGCTCTGGAGGTGGGAGACGGTCCTGTGGCTGAGGTGTGCTAACTGGGGACGCTGGGCCCCCACATACTCCCCCTACGGTCAGGATATCGACACCCACACACTTTCATTAGCAATGGACTAAGTCACCGTGGCTTTGAAACTGCTTGTCTCAGGGGACTGGATTAGCTCACTCGCGCAGTCCAGAGGGCAGCGGGGGTGGGGGTCAGAAGAAAAGTGAGGATAAACTTCACCAGAACAAAGCTGATTCTGACTCGGTGGGAGAGGGAGGTGACTGGCACTGGTACCATTCTTGCTTCAGGTGGCAAGCGCCCGCGCCTCTCACCCTCTGCCCGACCCCGTGAGGTGCGTGTTAGCACAGCATTTTACGGACAACGAAACTGAGACTCCCTGATGGAGCTCCGGCAGCTCCGACCAGGCACCTAGACTTTCCTTGCCCTGGTCCCCGCCTAGCTCGGCCCAACCACCTCCTACCTCGATCCTTATCTCCTGTGCTGCTGGAAAGCTTATGTTTTCTGGACTCCCAGCTGCCTCTTGTCACCCTGCCTTTGCTGTGCCCGAGGCCCGGGGGGCCTGCTCTTCTGTCCACTCTACTCTGCATCGCCGACTCCTTCCAACATTTCAGGGCTCCACTCGGAGTTCAAGGAGTCCCACCTGGCCCCCGACCTGGGCACTTTAGGAGCATTTCCCGGGCCCCCCCCCCAGTGCCAGGCTTCCTTCTTTCCTTGCGCTGATCACCCCGTGCCGCAGTGACCTGCCCATGCAGCTGTTTCCCCGCTCCACGGGGGACTCATGAGGGTAAGCACGCTGCCAGGGGACGCACGGTCGCTGTCTGCTCAGCGACTGAATGAGTGCACCGTGGCCGAACCAGCCACCGCACACGGCCAATGAGTGATGCCCACCAGGAACACAGACTCTAAGTTCCAGCAAACATTTAGCAAATTTAGGAGACGTCATCTCTAGATGGCAGAAGGCTAAGGTCTATTAGTGGGTACGAGTGGGATGTCCTAGTGTTAAGTATTGTACCCTGAAGATCCATCAGGAAGGCACTCAGCCTGCCTTTCCCTGGCCCCGCCCCCTCCCCCAGGGGTTCTGGAGGGAGAGGGACCCTCAGGGGACAACGGGGAGTGAGAGCCTGTATCTCCGTGTGCCGTGGGGCTGGTGCAACAGACTCCATCGCAAAGCTCCCTGAGGTGCGGAGCTGATGGTGCACGTTGGGAGGCCTGAGGGTGCCTCTGTCTCCTCACACAGGTCTACTGCCACCCCGCTGGCCAGCTCCTGCCTTCACAGTGAGGAGAAGAGGGAGACCGGCGCTGCCCCGCTGTGTGGAGGGGCAGACGCGCCGGCGGCACCCAGCCCTGCCCTGGGGACGGCAAACAGCCCGCAGAGAGGCCCTCTGCTCAGTGAGGCACCGAGACCCTCCCTGTGACGCCCACACCTGACGCGTGGTCTCCGATTCCGACTCGGACCGCCCGGGGGGCAGCCATGAGGGGGCACAGGAAGCTGTAGAGTACTTCCCAGTTTTGTCACCAAAAATGAGGCAGGTCAAGTTCATGGCTGGAACTTGATCCAGTCGGGTTGAAGTCTTGGTCAAGTGGGAGTGGCTGACATACAAGCCCCAGTCGCACGAACAGTCGGGTCCCGATTCATGATAAAAACGATGTCATAAGGAAAAAAGTACACTCGGAAGAAGGAATGAGTGAACAGGAGCCCAGCAACTTCTAGAGGTGGCCGGTCTGCTCAGCCCGAGAGAGAAGGCCCAGGGTGCTGTTTGGAAGCATCTGGGCCTGGCGGGAGACCCCGAGTCCTATGTGCAAAGGTTACACTGTAATTTCCACTTCCAGGCTCCTGGGTAACAAGCAGACCTCTTGTGCTGTCCACACTCACTTGGGCCATAGTCAAGATTAGTGGTCAGTAATGCTGTGGACCCATTTTGCCTCACTCTTGCTCTTGTGTTTGGAAGGGAGGCTTCGGGGGGAGGGGGAGTCCAGGGTGTTGGTCCGGAGTTCGCCTGGATGTGAGAAGGGAAGGGAAGAACACCTGGGCAGCTCCTTACTCCAGGGCCCAGCCCTCTGTGGGAAGGAGAGCGGTGAGCCGGGGAGTTGGAGAGCTACGCAAGCATACAGACGGAAGAAAAGCAGATGGTGCCAGAAGACGCAGAGTTGAAACCGAGACTCCGAGGGGACTTGAAATGACTATTCCAGGCTGCTGAGAAGTGGGCTTCGGTGACCAGGTTTGGGTGGCATGGGGCCCAAGTTTAGAATGTAGGGGTTGTGTGTTCCCCCTTTATACTGGTCTTACCTCCAAAGGGGACAAGAGCTGTCGCCTGTCAGGAAGGCCACTCCAGGGTCATCAGCAAAACAAGGGACAGTGGCCCATGAGCAAAGGGGAAGGGGGGTGCTACCAGGTGGAGAGAAGATCGTGCACCTTGCCTTGGTTCTTCCTGGCTCCCCACCTCATCCGTCATGCACTATACGGCACGCTCAAAAATATCCATTGAACTAAACTTACAGCTTATCATTAACGTTTGACTTCCATCACCCCTCAGGCAACGGGATAAAGCAGTCATGAGCAAATCAGATGACATTTGGCAATGCGTCCCAGGGCTCAGGTTAAATAATTACACACTAAGGTAGAAGCACAGCGTAGAATACCAGTACTCACCCACGCCGGGGGCCACCAGCATGCCTATGAGGAGCCACACATCCATCGCCGGAGAGCCCAGGGTGGGACTGAGGCGCCACCAGGAGCGGCCTTCTGGGAGAGAAGCCAGTGGAGTGTGACAGGTGTGCTTCCAGAAATGCCAGAGGACCCCTCGTCCCACCAGGCAGTGAGCCCAAGGACAAAGCCTGCAAGGCCTCCTGTCCCAGCTTTGCCCCTCACTAACACTGTGCCATCAAAGAGACTCAGTTTATCCATCTGTAAGATGGAAATTTTACTAGATGCTCCTTGAGGGCATGTTTCATTCACTCATTCATTCATTCATTCACTCATTCATCGGGCACATTGCAGGGATCTGGGAATGCATGGTGAGGAACACACACTCCTCACCTGTGACTTGTTCACAGACTAATGGGGAAGGGAGGCAATTGAGCCAATGACCCGCTTTGACTTTGGCCAGTTGAATTTCAAATAACCCATGCATGGTGACACAGCGCCATTCTGAACACCTATTAGCAGGCTGACTTTGAACCTTCGTACCATCACCTGACGTGAGTAAATTTGGCTGTAGCATGCCGGCTCTGCCTGCTGGCAAATTACGTTCCACCTTTCTTCCTTTCCTTGGCTTTTCAGCAATTGGAACACTTTGTGGCTGTCCCGGGGGTTAGAGAGACGTGTCTCAGAGGCAGCCAGGGGGAAGGGGCAAGGTGGGCAGCGTCCAGGAGCCCACCACATTTCAACTTAAGCTGCCCTGCACCCAGGTCAGCAGCAGGCACTTCCTGTGCTCAACCGTGTATTCCACAGGGAAGGGAAAAGCTTCAAGACCAGAGGGATTTTGGAAGGACGTTCGCTTCCCAGGAATGTCCCTCCTTAAGGAATGCTAGACGGGTGGTTGACTGTGACTCTCCTGCTTTCGAGCGTGTTTTTAGGACCAAGTGTGAGTGGTAATGCAGTGGGACCACGTCACCCCAGTGGCACACTCAGGGCTGCTGGGTAAGGTTGTGCATGTTGTGCAACGTGCGAAGCATTGCATCGAGCGAGCACGCAGGGGCTGAAATGCAGCCAGTGCTCCACCCGCGAGCTTGCCCTTTGCAGGGCTGCAGCAACCTGCGATGTGCTCCCCCCGAGGCAAAGGCTGCCCCGTGCCCTGGCGGTTGTGCATAGGTACCCGGGGCTGCCGTGGGCATGCCGCCGGTGGGCAGGGCCTGGCATTGAGGAAGGTGTTTCAGAGGAGAACACGCATGTAGGATGTGAGGTCACTACTCTATGGACCCTCCCCTAGAGGGCCTAACAGTGCCTCTGGTGGCTGTGAACTAAATGTTTGTTGAATGAATGCAAAAGAGCAGGGTGGGCGTTCTTCGGGATTCTCACTCAGCTCGAGCATTCTCTAATGTTCTGCTGATGATCTGATGTTGCTCAGGCTGAACGCTCTGCCTATAACCTTTCTGAGCCACACAAATTCTTAGAGCAGGTCCACTTTCAAGGTTAGGCAGGCTCTCTGTTCTGCAGAGGTTCAGATCTGAATGACTGCGTGTCACGGCCATGAACCCCGACTAGAAACTAGGGGCGAGGCCTGGGATGTCTCTAGATGGAAAGTGACACGCCCTGGAAAGCCTGTGCACGGGTGAGCAGCTGGTGGCCTTTCAGAAGACCCCACTGAAGTCACGCCCGCCTGCCTGAGGCTGATGTCCGTACCTGGCATTTCCCGAATCAGGCTCTTTATCGTTACCAGCACACGGTGGGAGAAGCCGGGCCGTCTGAGCTCAGAAGAGGCACTGGAATCTTGAGTCCAAACTCGCATTTCACTAATGAGATCATTGGGCTCAGAGACTGGCGATTGAGGGTGAAAATGTCCCCCTTCTCAGGTCCGGGGCTCATTGTAACGACAGTACCTGCCCTCGTAGTTCGTCGTGAGAACGGAACGAGTGGGTCTAAGCAGGACATTTGCAACAGAGCCTGACGGACAAAAACGGCTCAGGAAATGTTCGCAATGACAGCCACTGTGTCTGGCACTCGGTAAAGGTTCAATAAGTAGCAGTTCCCCCAGTTCCTCGTGGACATTGGAGCCCCTATTGGGTGACATGGTCAGTTCAGCACAGTGCCTGTGGTTTGTTCTTTCTCGTGTGACTCTCGTTTCAGGGGGACATTCCCCTGGTTTGTCCTGATGCTCAGAGAAGACAGGCTAATGACGGGGTTTATTGGAATTGCAAATGCATTTATTGGATTTTCAGGCATATATTTATTAGAATGCAAATGAGGAAAAGTGACCTTCTTACAGACATGCCCTTCCCTCAGCTCTAATACGATTTTTTAAAATAGGCTGTGGGAAGGGAGTTGGTGCTGGACGGCGCAGAGGGTCAGTTCGGGAGGACGAAAAAGGTCTGGGGTGGAGGCTGGGGCGGTGGCACAGCCACGTGAGTGTGCTCACTGCCCCTGAACAGTGCGCTTGAAAGCGGCTACGATGGTCAGTCTTATGTTTGCATGCTTTCCCACACAGAAACAAAGTAAGTCAGACCCTATTTCTTTAAACACCCTGCCCTTTCACTTATCGGGTTATTCTCTGTGCTGGGTGCTGTACCAAGCTTTCTCCGTGTGCCAGCTTGTAAAGAAACCCTAGAACTTGGACCATCTCACGCCTCACTTTCTAGGTGGGAAACTGAGGCTCGGAGAGGTCCAGTAACTGGCGAAGACTGCCTTTGTGAAGAGGCACCGTGGTAGGGGTGCCGTGGTGCCCCAGACACAGCATTGGAACTGAGGTCACCAGTCCAGGAGTGTCACCTTGCACTGCCCTGCTGACCATCAAATCCAAAATCAGCAGCCTAGCTATACTGCACTGAAGAACTAGCACCAAGCCCTGGCTGGCGTAGCTTAGTGGATTGAGCGCGGGCTGCGAACCAAAGCATCGCAGGTTCGATTCCCAGTCAGGGTACATGCCTGGGTTGCAGGCCATGACCCCCAGCAACCGCACATTGATGTTTCTCTCTCTCTCTCTTTCTCCCTCCCTTGCCTCTCTAAAATAGCACCGTTCTGGGTGATACTTGCTTGTGAGGCCCCTCAGGGTGGCCTGCCACTCTCTGGGATGTACTGTGACCCTGTGGTTGACAATCCCCAGCTAAGAGTTAAGAAAAGGGAAATGTGGGTGCAGCCCTGAGCAGTGGTGAGGGACACCCCTATTGGGGACATGCACATTAGGGTCTCGGGGAGAGACAGCCAAGGGCAGCTGCTGAAATCTAGCACCTTCTGTTGGTTGAGTCAGGGGCTCAACCCACACTTGGGTGTGGGGCTGTATCCACCTGGAGGAAGGACCCCCTTTTCCTCATTTGCTCAAGGAAGCTACTGGGCTGTCAGTGTCCTTGGGCGGGGGGGCAGTGCTGTCTTGTGGGACTGAGGGGTCCCCAAGTCCCACATACACTGGCTGCATACACTGGAGCCCTGGTTCACCAAGCTCTGCCCAATGACCGACCTCACGCAGTGCAGGCATTGTCTGAGAGCAAAGCCTTTGTGGCTGGGCAGACCTGGGGTGGGGTGGGGCTGTGGGGCTCAGGCTCTGCCTTTCCCTCGAGGGCCCTAGCCAGGCACTGAGGCTGCCTGGAACTCGCTTTACGGACAGTAATATGTCCACATGGTGGCTCTCCATCGGGGCGTCATGAGGGTTAATGGGTAATCCTTGTGCATGGGGGGTAGGGCACCGTGCTCAGTAAGGCCGGTCCTCATTAGTTATGATTCTATTTCCACACAGGCGCCCTGGGCAGAGTCACTGGCCCACACAGGTCCGCGGGAACCCGACTGGAGGGTGTTTTCCCGGGTAAACGCACCCACGGTTGTTTCCCTGGCATTGCCTCCCCTTGCACAAAAGCTCGGACGGCCTTGGGTTCCTAGATACGTCCTGGAGCCGCAGCCAGGTCTCAGAGCACCCCCTCCCTCCTTTCTCTGTCCATCCCCCCTCCCTTCCCTTCCTCTCTCTGTCCTTCCCTTTCTCCCAACTCCCTTCTTTCGTCCATGTCGACCCTTGTTATCCCTCCCTGTCCTTCCCTCCACCCCATCCTTGCCCCCTCCCTCCGCCCCACCCTCTCTTCTTGGCTCCCCACCCCATCAGAAGAAGGGGGCGCCTACCGTGCAGGTCCCACTGGAAAGCAGTTGGATGTATGATCCTCAGCTTTAAACAAGATGGGTGCTGAGTCCTTTATACCCCAAAGGAAGACCCTGGGTCACGTGACCCCCGCCCCCTCTCTCCTCGACAGGACAGCCTTTCATGAACAGCGGCAGGTGGGCTGCCTCCGTGGGGGAGGAGGCTTCCTAAAGCTTGGCTATGAGCAGGTGCGGGCTGCATTGTAAGAGGCCCCGTTCTGAGCCTCAGGGAGACCCGGGCTCTAATCAGAGAACAAGGGCTCCCCTGTTCTGTACCCCCACCGCACCTCAAAGGCTGGGAGGCCCAGGGATTTTGTCTCAGGTCGTCCGGGGCACCCTGGGGGTTGAAAGACAGCCGAAAGCCACACAGGCCTCCTGAAGGGAAAGAGGGCTGGCTTTGTCTGGCCCGGTTCATTCTTCAGCGAGATCTCGGGGTTGACCCGTCCCTGTCCTTGGCCTCAGGCCTGGGAACTTGATGCCTCTCTCCTTTAGGGATTTTCTGCCCCAGCTCTGGGGTGGGGCAACACGGGGCCTTATAATCAGACATCCTCGGTGCCGGGGCCAGGCCTATTACTCAGTACCTGCAGGACACTAAGCTCAGTCTCAGTCCCGAGTCCGTTACCTGGGGATGGTCCCACTCGGATGGCGAGGATGAGAGAGTCAGGGAAAGCGTGTGGGACGGTAGTGGGGCTGGCCACTTCTTAGTGCCTGCTCTCCTCTCCGTGGCCCCCGTGAGAACGGTGTCCTTTCACAGGAACACACGTGTTGAGTGTCTATCCCACACCACGAGTGCTCTCCCAGGATTTTGTCCGGACCATCCCTCCAGCAGCAGCAGGAGGGGACATCAGCTCCATTTACTGAGAGGACAAGTGGGGGCATCGAGGGTGAGGCGTTTGTCCCAGTGCACGTGTGATGGGACCGTTCTCGGCTCAGAGGTTAGCCTGGCTGCAAGACCTGTGAGTCGTTCAGTCCTCTCGGCTTCCTGAACAGCGGGGGCTGGTCCAGCGGTGACACCTGGGGACAGCTGAGCCTTTACAGAGGCCGCTGAAGGGCTTCCCCGAATCGTTAGTGGTCCTTGTGCACTGAAGCTTTTGTTTATGGATCATGGATTGTTGCCCAGCACCTCACGCGCATGGAGGGAGGAAGCTACGCTGCCCCAGCCTCTCTCACTAGCACAGAAGATACGCTGTCTCCTAAACTGTCAACTCCATGGGGATACACGGCCCCATGAGCAAAACCCGTCCTCCCAGCAGTTCCAGAGCGCGACTCCTGCTCCACGCTACGGCATAATAACACGCCGCATACTTACGTGGTTCCAGACATTTCACAGGGTTTGTGAAGGTCCGTTTTCTCCCGCTGGCCTCCCACGGGGTATGTCGGCCTTACCACTGTGGACAGTTTGGGCCCAGTGATTGTTTGTCGTGGGGGCCGACTGTCACTGTTGGGCGTTTAGTGGCATCCTAGACCTTTACCCACCAGATGCGGGCAGCGGCCTCCCTCCCCGGGTTGTGACAGACGAAAATGTCTCTAGAAATTGCTGCACGTCCTTTGGGGTTCCAGTAACCCCTGACGGAGAACCACGGGCCTCCAGCACCCCTGGAGCTCTGGCCTTTCTCTTCTCTGTGGGTGGAAGAGCGTGAGAGCAAAGGTTTTTGCCAGAACTCAGACATGAGAGAGAAAAGGCTGCTGCGTGCGAGTTCCGAATTACAAATGACATCACGACAGCACCTGCATTCTCACTTACACACCCACGCACAAGTGCCCCTGATCAGAAGTAGGAAGACATAGCCATGTGCACACTCAAACCCACAGGAGCTCTGGGCCACGCCAGACAAGCTAAGCTGACCATGTGACTTGTCGTAGGGACCTTTGGCCGAAGGTCACCATGTGACATCATAGGGTGTCAGCCTGACCTCCGCAGCAGCTGGAGGAGGAGCCACCAAGGTCGGCCACGTGGGCCCTGCATGCCCACAGGGCTGAGCCCAGGAAAAACCCAGCACCTGCGGCTTGGAGGAGTTTTCTGGTTGAGGCTACTCCATACACGTGGTCACACGTCACTGCAGGCCATACACGTGGTCACACGTCACTGCAGGGAGAAGACACCCCGCCCGTGACACCAACTCCGCTTGGAGAGGATAACGGGAAGCCGGAGCCTGGGCCCCGGGAGAGCCTTCCCTCTGCACCTGTTCCCTTCGTTGATCTCAGTCTGCGTCCTTTTGCCGCCGTAAGTGGAAAATGTGGATACAGCAACTGTTCTGAGTTCTGCGAGCCCTGGTAGCGCATCATTAATGCAGAGGATACTGATGGGGACCCCCAAGCACAGATGAGGAATCCAGGTGAGACAGCAACAAAAGCAGCTTTCTCCACCTCCTCCCCAGGGAAGGTTCCCGCCACCGCCCACTCCAGGGGCTTGGGAGACCGTCTGGTGCCACGGTCCTGCGGGCCTGAGGAGCGGCACATACCCAAGTCTGAACTAGTTGTGCAGAGAAATACCGCGTGACTCTCTCCAGAGTCCAGGGTCCGTTTTCCTCATTCAGCTTTCTGTTGTCTTCCGAAGGTCCCAAGTCTAACTCACTCCCGGTACTGCGTCAGCCCAGTGCCCAGACTGGTTCATTGGTGCCAGTGTGTCCCCTTCCGCTGTGTCTCCAGTCTCAGAATTGCTGCAAGCATTGTGGGAGTTTCTTGGGCACAGATACGAGGTTTCTATGACCTCGGGCAGGCAGGAGAGTTGGCATGACTCCTGCTTATGAGCCTTTTAACATGTGGCCTTTCTCCTCCGCTATCTTCCAGAGTCACAGGAGAGAGAGAAATGCTGCTTCCAAAAAGAACCTCTTTCCGTTAGCTGATAATCTAGCTGAAGCTTGGTGGATTCTGCGCAAATGCGGCCAATGTGAGCCGGGGCCAGGGTGGAGAGACGTCGCCCAGTTTATTGGTAGGTGCCCTTGGTTTCCCGAGGCCTCACACAGACTGGCAGATAGACTCAAGGCATCTTTGCTTTAAGGCTGGAAAAAGGAAGAAGAGGGAGCTCAAGTACCGAGAAGGACACACCACCCAAGCACTAACTCCGACCGCACCAGGCTCTTCCGGAGGGCGGGTGTGTGCAGCGCTCTGGACAGGGGGCTCCGGGGCTGCATTCCTTCCACTTGCACCATGAGAAAGGGCCGGGGCAGGATGCCCCTTGCGAGGTGGCAGCAGGGTCAAGTCTAAGGCAGCCTTGGTTTTCCCGTGCTCTGCTCAGTGATGTTTTCTAACACCCAGCTGTACCTGCCTCATCTCCCCAGTGTGCATAAAACTAACCTAAACCCATTACTGTGCCATCCAGTAAATGTACTAGGTTGTTTGTGTGGTGATTTTAATGTGATGAGAACAAAAGAAGAGCTACTGAATTATAAGCAGTTGGCAAGATTTCTCAGTTCTTCTGCCTACACCAGGTAAAGGGATTTCTCTCACTACTGAGCCTCATGCCCTATTCCTGAGGCTTGGCTTTTGTGCTGAAAGAAAAAAAAAAGAAGGATGAAGATAGGAAGAGAAAACAGGAGAAGTGGGAGGGTAGATTTGCATAAGAAATAAGGGGATGAGTCCCTGGCTGGGTAGCAGCTCAGCTGCTTAAATTGTCGTCCCCATACACCAAGGTTGCGGGTTCGATCCCTGGTCAGAACACATGCAAGAATCAACCAATGAATGTGCAAATTATTGGAACAAGTTGATGTCTCTCTCCCTCCCTCTCTCTCCAGTCAATTAATTACAATATTTTTAAATGAAATAAGGGAATGTGTTTCAGAGGGAAGAAGTATGAGGCAAAAGGAAATGAAAATGAACCGAGGATGCATTTGGACACCAAGGCAGGAGCCAAGAAACTTGATTTTAGGAGAGCTGTCGAGTGGTAAGTTGAGGCACACAGCTTAGATAAGAGCTTTGAGAGGGTAGCTGTGGGAAGTAAGAAATCACGGGCAGCAAAAGAATAAGAAGAGTCTCTAAGAGGTGTTGTCATGGTATTCATCCGTTGTTCCTTAAGGCCACAGGGGAGGAGCTGGTAGCTGGACTGTTTGTTTGTGTGAAACATGGCCAGGCCTGGCTGTGCGAGCACCTGGCTCACACCTGGGTCACATGGAGGGGGAGGCCTTCTCCAGAGCTCAACACGGCACCATGAGTTTTAGAAGAGCAGAGTCCCTTGACCAGAGAGGCTGGGTAGACGGCTAATGAAATGGCCACATGCTGGCTTTAGGCCCCAACAGACTACGTCAGCCCCTGTGTCTGCAGGAGAGGGAGGAAAACAAGCGGATGCCGCGTGGGCTTTGATGCCCTGGGGACAAGTGGGGAGGGACCACACATGCCCCTTCCAGCAATTCCCGCTGCCCCTGTTGCTTAAATTCCTTGTCCACACTAGCTTTGGCCAGGAATTAGAGCGTCTCTGTGGATGTTGTCTTCCCTTTGATTCTCTGTTGCTTATTTGTGCTTTTAGCTTAGGTGGGACTCAGGAAGGAGAAAGTCACACACAGGAAACAACAGCGCTTGTTCTGGCTGACTCCTACTTTTTTTTTAAATACCTTATTGCAAACATCAAACTGTTAAGTGAAGGGGACCCAGTAGTACCCTAGACTCTTTCTGTCTAGATTCATGATGACTAGACGAGAACTGGACCCTGACTCAGGCAGAAAAATTACTCAGAGTTCTAGAGCCTTTTCATAGCTGCATTTCTGGCCAAGTCACAACACAGCCCCTCTGCATACTCACTGTGGGAGCGGGGCACCCTGTTCGCCCTCTGACAGATGTACGTCGCATTCTTCAGAAACCAGGAATAGTATTCGAGACAGAACCTAAAACGTTAAATCAGAGGAGAGAGCCACCACTACTTTCTGTTGCGGTTGGAAGACAAGCAGAATTTTAAGAAGTCACAATGGACAATTCTTCCCAGCGAAGAACCCCCTCTCCATCTTTGCAGGGTGTGGGAGGAGAGGTGCGGGATGAGTGGGAAAAAGCGTACACTTCAGAGTCAGAAAGGCTTGTTTTTAGTCCTCGCATCACTACTCACGAGGATGTGTGACTTCGGGCTGATTTCTTCATTCTCTGGGCCTCAGCTTTTTTGTCGCTAAAGGAAAGGCAGTGACAGAACCTACACTTCGGAGGATTAAATGAGATGACATTTGCAAAATTCCTGAACAGCGCCGGGCTTGTGACAGGTGCTCAGTAGATGGTGATGCCCATTTATTTGTGTGTGTGTGAGATGGAATGAGCATGCAGGGCATTACAGTTAAAAATGCAGCAAAATTCTCTGCAAAATAATATCCTACTCCTGGCCGGTGCCCGCACAACCTCTTCAAAGGGCCACGGGGAAGACGGCACCAATCACATCATCAGGAGGAAGGGTTTGCAGGGCCGGCCACGGGGCCTGCTCACTGTGGACTCAGAATCCACTTCCCTTTCAACCCCTCTCCTGAAACATGAGGAGGGTGAGCCCAGCGTTCCCTAACTTCTCTTCCACCTGCATCACGCTGTGATTCTAGCACACTCCGGGGCGCGGCTAACTACTCAGGCAAGTTCGCTGTAAAGACTCCCCAGGTCTATCACCCTCAGTTTAAAACTGAGGAAACTGAGGCCCCGAGATAAGTGGATTCGCCCAAGGACACATTGCTTTCGAGGGGGCGAGCTGGATTTTAACCCAGGGGAGCTGCTCCATGCCGGAGCACAGTCCCATTCCGTAACTAGGCAGTAAGGCCCGTGTGGGTCGGGACCCAGCTAGGAAAAGCAGAGCCCAAGTGGTTCTAGAGAGGGAATTTATAAAGGGGTCAGAGGAACTCTGAAAAGGTTAGAAAAAAACTGAAATGGCAATACTGCTTCATGGAGGAGTAAAGGGGGAGAAAACCCTTGGCTTCTCCCCTCTACTGTCCTCCCACCTCCTGCCAGTGTCTTCCCCTGAACGAACTCACAGGGGCGGGCTGCTAAGGTGTCTGGGAAACGGGAAATGCACCAGTCAGCATGCCCGCCCCCCCCCACCCCCACCGCCTTGAGGAGCAGACCGGGGAAAACGCAGAGTGGATCTGAGAGTCAAGTGGGAGGACGACCATCGCCAGGGCTAGTTTTGTGGTGAGTGTGTGACCTGGGGTTCTCAGCAGGACATCTCAAAACCTTGACATGTCAGGCACAGTCCACAGCGGACGTGGCCACTGGGTGTTTGGCTACTACATTTCTAGGATGCCGGAGGTGGGGGTCAAACTTGGCTATGAGAGTGGATGAGGGAGCAAGACGCCGACAACCCCAAGTGTATCTTCGTCAATCAGCAACCGCTGAGTGCAGCCTCGCAGGCGCTGTGCAGGAGCGATGAATAGATGGTTTCACTGCAACTCACCCTCACAACCATCTGGCAATGTGGGCAAGAACGCTGCTACCCTTCTCCACCAACGGAATGCCTCCACCCTGCTTGCCAACACCCTTGGTCTAGGGATCTTGCATATTTCCCTCTTTGGGTGGAGGAAACAGCCACAGTCATTAAGGGACCCGAGACCAGGGCCAGAGAGGAGGGATGGAAAAAGGCCGCTAACCTGAGCTTGAGGCTCAGAGGCAGTGGCGAGCGGAGACTGGAAAAGCGAAAGGATAGAATGAGTAGACCTTGACAATAACATTGACGATCTGAGAGACTGGCCTCACACCAGGGGGCGGGACTCTCGATCCCTGTTGTTCTGTTCTGAGTTTGCAGCCAGGAATAAGGGTGCCCAGCAAGAGTAAGGATCCAGAAGACAGGCTAGCACACCAGCATCCCAGAGCAGGAAAGGGCCTGCACCCAGACCTTCTTAACGGAAGATCGGGGTCTGCCTTCTCATTTCCTTCTTACCAACCTTCTCCTGTGGCCTGCCAATGACTGCTAGGGGCTTATGAAAGAGCCGCCGTTTAGATGGGCACGTCCTCTGGGTGTTGCCTTCCAGCCAGTCTCACCAGGCTGGTTGAAGAGACACTCAAAGTCTTCTGTCACCATTCCAGCAGAGAGGACACAGTGACTCCACTACACGTACTGTGTCAGGCTCTGCACTTGGCTCTGGGGACCCAGAAGTGAATGAGGTTCCACCCTGGCTCTCCAGAAGGTGACAGTCTAGTGAAGAAACCAGCAGAGGGTCCATTCCCTGAGGCACCCCCGTCACCCATCTGCGGACTCGTTCAGGCCCGGTCACCTGCATCCTGCGGAGAAGCCGTGTGGAACGGGATGCATATAAACACCAGGAGAGCGACACGGAGCCCAGCTTACCTCCTGGCCTGCGCCCTGGGCTCCCTCCTCGGGCTCATGCAGAGGCATTGCTGGAAAAATCGGCACAGCTCCATCAGGCAAGGGTTGAGCTTCTGGACGGCCAGGGTGACAGGGACAGCTGTCACGGCCCCCTCTCTGAGGAGCTGCTGAGGACACCCTGGAAGACACAATCCTAGACCACTCAGATCAGCACAAATGTAACAGCCGTCTTCTCTTTGATTGATACTGTGCTACGTGAATGGAGTCCTGCCCCTGCTCTCAGGTGGCTCTGAGACAGGCAGGTAAACGTGGCATTGCTTCGAGGCTGCCCAGTAAAGCTGCAGGTCTGAGAGACAGGCGGGAGGAAAGGCGGGGATCCGGCTCCCGGAGGGAATCAGAGACAGTTTCACTGGCGAGTAAATATAAATAAGGACCTCACACACTGGATGGGCTTTGGGTTTAGAGCTGGGCTCAGAACGGAGTCACTTTTAATATGTAGGACTCACTCGAATTGCTTAATGAAGATCACATTATCTATCTTGAGATATCTATCTATCTAATCATTGCACAGAAAGTATAAAAATAGGCATAACACAGTGCCCGGCACACAGTCGGAGCCCAATAAATACTTATTGAGTGGAAGAATGAGTGAATGCTGAAAATCGTGTGGGATACTGTGTGTGTGAATGGGCAGAACATTTACTAGGAGATGCCGGAACTCCTTATTTTATACTTGTATTTCCCATTGGATGGATGGATGGATGAATGGAGCTACATAGGTAAAGATAGACATATAGATGTAGATTCAAATAAAGAATTACTCATATAGATACAGGTAGGGTTAGGGTTAGGGTTAGGGTTAGGGTTAGGGAGGCAGGGCTCTGCAGGAAAGACGGTCTTGCTGGGAAAATCGAAGGCAGCCGGGAAAGAGGACAACCGAGCAGGACCTGGCCCGACTCCGTGACAGAAGCCATCGGTGTGCCTCTGCAGGGGTGGGGCAGGCTGTGAGGGCAGGACATGAGGACATCACTCATTCACGGGGTCGCCAGGGGGTGGAGCCGACTCCGCGGCACGTAACAACAAAGACACAGACACAGAAAACTTGTTTTCTCAAGGTCAGTCTGACGACCGCCGCCATCTGCACCGAGACTGGGTTTCTCTGGAATCCCTGGGGGAAGAGAGGGCTATCATTTCCTACGGCGGCGGCATAATCGCGTCTTTGTGCCTGCAAGGCCCTCTCACCGCGGCCGAGAGCGGGCGGAGGCGATCTGCGGCGATATGAAAAGGGAGGCAGTGTGCAGGCTCCAGAGACTTAATAATGCCCCGTTGACACACGACTGGGCGGCTGGGGGGCGTTCGGGAAAGCAGGACAGAAAGGATCCGGGGCTGGGAGGGGCCTGCGGGCCGGTCAGATACGAAGGCCTCGCTTTGCATCAGTTTCTCCCTTGTGGACACAGAAGGGAGGAGAGCGAGCCATGCACAAGCTGGGGAAACGCCACACAAACGGCAGACACGGGGCGCCCTGAGCCTCTGATGACCCAGATCCAGGCTTGGGGAAGCGTTTCCTCTAGAACCTCAGAAAAGTGTGCAAGGGTGGGGAAGCCTGGGTGTCCTTCAAAACAGAAAAAAGAACTGCACCCAGAACATGAGCGTTGGGATTTGGAGTCACTCCGCACCGTCCTTGTCCTTCTGCTGCCACCGCGTTCGTGAGAAACACAACTGCCATCTGCAGAGCACGCAGCCCATTCTCAATAGGCGTTCGCTCAGTGCGAGCCGACTGAATCAAATCACACGGAGCGCTTTAGTACCAAATCACCTCCACCCACATTATCTTGTTTCAGACAAAACCCTGTGCAGGGAAAAGGACGTTGTCAGTGCCCATGCAACTGGCATTCTCGCTCTACAGCTGAAGGCACTGAATTCTGGAAGCTGAGTGAGGGGGGCCACCTCACGAGGAAACGGGAGACCTGGGATTTGAGTCCCAGCAGTCTGACTCTGAGTCGACCAAACAAACCTCTTTTTATTATCCTGTGCAACCTCGTCCAAAACAGACAAAAGCAACAGGAGTGACAGGGCGCTGGTACGTACTTGAAACTTGAACTTGGTGGAGTCCAAGGATCAGGGCTGGCTCTTCTCCAGGGGTAAATGGCCACAGGAGATCACCTACAATGAGCAAGAATGGCCTCAAAAAATCCAAATGGAACGGCCTTAGGTTATACACACAAGCAGAGAATCATAGCACCTTAAGGGTGAAGAGTTCTCGCAGCCTATAGGAAAATTGTGGCCAGGAGAGAGGAAGTGATTTGTCCAAGACCAGAGGGCGATGTAGCAGACAGCTAGGCTTGGTTCTCCTGCTAGAACCAAGAAGCACCATCACTGGCTCAGTCTGCCTTCTGGCACCCCACCGCGCTGCGCCCCTGCCCCAGAGCTGTGTTTCCTGCTGTGGTGCTGGGTTGCTCTTCCCAGCGCACGTTCTTACCTGCCTGCGGGTACCTGGGGGCCGGGGCCTTGGTCGGACTTGGAGTCTGTGTGCCAGGGGTGAAGGTTCCTGGGGGGAGGTGAGACAGAGGTGAGCCTGCACTTCTCAGGGCGCCTGATTGGGAGCAGAGGCCCCAGGCCACCAGCCCTGCCCTGTGCCTCCCATGTTGGTTATCAAGCCGGGTCCGAGGTCGGGCACTGAGGATGCAGAGTTGAGTGAGAAACAGGAGCCACAGCGGAGGCTAGTCCCAGCAGTAACTGCGACCCAGTGTGCTGGTGCCACAGGAAACCCACTAATGCTGGGCACTGCCGGGGCATGTCCTGGTGCTGCCCAGGCAGGGCCCAAGCACAGGTACTCCTGGGCAAAGGGAAGATGACATGCTTTTCATTCACCTGAGTCTTGGGTACCCATACTCCATCCCCACCCTATAGGTGGCCTGTCCTCTTTTTTTTTTTAAGATTTTATTTATTCATTTTCAGAGAGAAGGGAAGAGAAGGAGAGAAATATCCATGTGCAGTTGCCTCTCCCGTGCCCCGTACTGGAGACCTGGCCCGCAACCCAGGCATGTGCCCTGACTGGGAATCGAACTGGCAACCCTTTGATCCGAAGCCCGCACTCAATCCACTAAGCTACACTAGCCAGGGCCTAGCCTGTCCTCTTCATGGCAGAGCAAGGGCTCATCCTTTCGATCATAAAGTCCTGGTTTAACAGCCATAGGGCATGACCCTTGCTATCAAGATTCTGGCCTTTGGCAAAACCAGCAAAGCAGCCTCCTTATTAGGGAAGCAGCGCCTGAAGAAGACTCTCCTCCATTTCAAAGACAACAAAACCGGGACTCAGAGAGATCAGGAGAACTCCATCAGGACACAGAGGCACGGCCGAGTGAGGCTTTCAACGCGGCCGTGTGGGAAGTAAAGACCAGGGAGCCTGGGCTGTGCTGGCTGCCGCCGCCCCGCTGGCCAGGCCCAAGCACGTCAGTCTTTGTCCCCGTGCAGTGTGCAATGCACCGATGAAGGCGATCACGTTCATTTTTCCGGATCTGTCTGTGTACTACACTTTATTAGTGTAAAGTCCGGGCTTTATGTTTATGCCCATTAAAGTTCACCTGCTCCTTCCCCTGCATTTCTTAAGAAGTTCAAGAAATTCAAAAAGTCTTAAAGAAAGCCTGCTGTGTTTCAGGGGGACTGGAGAGGAAGGACACAGGCCCTTGAGGAGAGCATTGCGCATGGGGGAGGAAGGTCAAGTTCAGGGACATTGACAGCCCGGGAATGAGAACTGGTACTGTCCATTGAGTGGGGAGCAGTGTGGCAGGAGGCCCTCTGGCGGCAGGGTCAGAGGAAGTGGTTTTTAAAATAAAGAAACAAAAAATAAATAAAATAAAATAAATAAACATTTTTGTATAATTATAAGATTAGAAAATATGGAAAATTCCCAGCTTTGGAGTAAAGAAAAGTACAAACCTTATCTACCTCCCAGATAGAGTCCAGGTTTATATATTGTGAATTTCTTTTCAGTCTCATTTGGTTTTGTGTTCTGTTTTCTCTGTATTTTTATCACACACTCATGCACACACACATAGATACACATAATAGAGCTGGAGTCACACTTGGTAATTTTTAAGTGCCTTTAAGAGCCCAACCCTTCCCCATATTACATATTACATACTACTACTCTGATTGTATTTATGCATGCAACTGGTGTGTACGCTGCATTATGCTGCATGTACATGATGTGCATGTCATAATAGAACAACTTTACTGTATAGTAATACTATGCCACAGAGGCAGTTGAATTGTCTGGAGTGAGCCGTGCTGGCTTCTTGTGGTCTCTCAGTTCACGGACAGTGAGAAGGGGAAAGGGAGAAAAAGGGGGCCAGAGGGCACATAAAGCGGGGGGGTGAGAAAGTCCTGTGAGGAGGGAGTTTTCCTCCCTCCCTCCCTCCCTCCCTCCCTCCCTTCTTCCCTCCCTCCCTCCCTCCCTCCCTCCCTCCCTCCCTCCCTCCCTTCCTCCCTCCCTTCCTTCCTTCCTTCCTTCCTCCCTCCCTCCTTTCCTTCCTTCCTTCCTTCCTTCCTCCCTCCCTCCCTCCTTTCCTTCCTTCCTTCCTTCCTTCCTTCCAAGGTGGGAAGGAGGGAGAGATGGGGTAAAGAAAAGGAGAAGGAAGCATTTCCGCTGTGATTTTTAACTGTGTTGCTCACATGCTTTATTACATTTCTGCATGTGTATTATATTTCAAAAATTTAGAAAAGGTTTTAAAAGCAGATGCTAAATTTAGTTTAGAAGTGGGGGACTCGGGAGAGAACATCCTCTCTTACCTGAGGTCGGGCTGGCCGGGGGCGGGCTGCCCTGCGTCTGGGCAGGGGGCTCGGGGAGGCTCCGTGCAGTCCCGGGCTGCGCTGTCTGCTGGGCCTCTGCAGGCAGCAGCGCTCTGGAGGGAAGCGGCTCCCAGGGAGGGCCTCCAGGGGCTTCCTCACGGGTGGTCTGAGCCCAGGGCCCAGGCGGGCCGGAAGCCCGGGCCTGCCCGTTGGCTGTCGCCCTCCTGGTGGCTGCACAAGTGACAGTAACGGGGCATGTATATGCTTCACCACTTTGACTCGGATATAAAATTGATAAGACGCCGAAATGTAACCACAGGGTAAATGCAATGTGCATGTTTAATATAGACAATCTAGGGACTTAAATGCTACCAAGAACTGGAATAAATGGACCAAACTAAACATCATTTTCCTAACTACCAACTTAAAAAAAAATCTCCAAATCCCTGGGACACCTAAGCAATCATCTGGGGGTGTGTTTTGGGACAGTGGGCTTTTGCAATGTGATTTCTAACCGTGTGGCACAGTGGAAAGGGTGTGGGGTTTGAGTGAGGGACCTGGAGGAGTGGATTCTGCTCCTGGTTCTTCCATGCCGTAAACTTTGGTGCAAGTTACTGAACTCTTTCTACTTTGCTCATTGAAACAGAGATGATAATAATAATACCCTGCAATATTGCAGGACCGTTATTAAGACAAATCCCCCTTCCTTGGTCTCTTACAGCACCGCTAGAGTCTCCCTCCTTCATTCCCACGGTAGGAATTAAAATTCATTTTTCCAAGTTTTGCAAATCCAATTCCCTTGGAAGTTTTAAACCTCTACGTTAAGCTGAGGACAGTTGCCGTCTTCAAAATATTTGGATGTCTTTTCCAGAAAACGGTATATTGTTTCATTGATTTAAATATTCTTTTAATACTTTCATTAAAGTTTTGTAGTTGTTCTTACATAAAACCAGCACTTCTGTTAGGAATCCCGCTGGGCATTCTGTCATTTCTCTTGCCGTTAGCAATCACATCTTTGTTATACCGCAAAGCTTTCTAGTTGTGCGTGTCCGGATGCTGGCTATTGTACTAAGTACAGACATTTCTAGTTAATGAAGTTGGATCCTTTTCCCCATTCTTGCGTCCCTGCTGCCTCTTTTTCCCCCCATTGGAAACCACATTCTATTCTCCCCCTTATTAATCCAGCCCCTGTAGCTGCCTCTCGCGATAGTAGCTGTCTCTAGAGATGGCACCTGGCCAGCCAGCTCCCTCTGAGACAGGAGCTGCTTCTCACCATAGGGCCCAGCTCGGAAGCAGCCTCTGGCCATGATGGCTGCCTGTTGTGCTGTTGTCTGGCCCGGTAAGTGCCTGTCCTGTTATCATCCAGCTGCATTAGCTGCACGTCATGAGATTTAGGGGATTCTAATGTAGTGTGTGTGCGTCTGTGTGTGTGTCTGTGTGTGTGTATGTGTTTTAATTTGTTATTGAATTTATCTAGGCTACATTGGCCAATAAGATTATATAGGTTTCAGGTGTACAATTCTGTAATACATCCTCTACATGTTGACCCCCCAAGTCAAGTCCCCTTCCATCCCTATTTATCCCCCTTTGCTCTCTCCTACCTCCCCCAACCCCCCTCCCCCTGGTAGCCACCATGCTAGTCTGTGTCAATGAGGATTTTCTGTTTTATTTTCTTTTTTGCTTAATCCCTTCACCTGTTTCACCCAGCCCCTCTGGTCCTCCCCTCTGACAACTGTAAGTCTGTTTTCTATAGCTATGAGTCTGTCTGTGTTTCATTTGTTAGTTTATTCTGTTCATTAGGTTCCACAGAAAAGCGAAATCCCATGGCACCCATGTGCCTGTCTCTGACTGGCTCACCCCACCCAGAATAATACTCTATGGGTCCATCCACTCCTCCGCAAAAGATTTTTTTCTTCTTATAGCTACGTCGTATTCCCCTGTGTAAATGTGCCACAGCTATTTATCCACTCATCTACTGAGGGGCACTTGGGCTGCTTCCAGATCTTGACGACTGTAAATAATGCTGCAATGGACAGAGGGCTGCTTCTGTTATTGTGAATTAGTGTTTCGGGTTTCTTCCAATAAATTCTCAGAGGTGGAGTTGCTGGGTCCCAAGGCAGTTCTAGTTTGAATTTTTTCAGGTATCTCCATACTGTTTTCCACAGTGGCTGCACCAGTCTGCACTCCCACCAATACAGCAGAAGGGTTCCCCTTTCTCCACATCCTCACCAGCACTTGTTGTTTGTTGATTTATTAATGATGGCCGTTCTGACAGGTGTGAGATGATATCTCACTGTGGTTTTAATTTGCAATTCTCTGATGATTAATGATATTGAGCATCTTTCCACACACCTATTGGTCATTTGTATGTCCTCTTTGGAGAAGTATCTGTTCAAGTCCTTTGCTCATTTTTTAATTGGATTGTCTGTTTTGTTTTGGGTCTTTTTTGTGTGTGTTGTGTTTTATAAATTCTTTGGATATTAACCTCTTATCAGATGTATCAGTGAATATGTTCTCCCACTCACTGGGTTGTCTTTTCATTTTGTTGATGGTTTCCTTTGCTGTGCAAAAACTTTATAGTTTGATGTAGTCCCATTTGTTTACTTTTTCTTATGTTTCTCTTGCCCAAGGAGACATATCACAAAAAAATATTGCTATAAGAAATGTCCAAGATTTGACTGCTTGTGTCTTCTTCTAGCCTGCTGCCTAACTCTTATCAACTCCTACCTCCACAGGGAAGCCCCCTCCCTGGGCTGGCCAGGACAACAACTCTGTGTAGGCAGGATTGTAACTAACTACCTGTTTACCTGCCTATGTCTCTTTCCCTGGCCTCTGAGCTCAGGAAGGAAAGGGGACATCGACAGAGCTGTGCTGTTAACAGCTAGCCTGGTGCCTGATATTAAATGCGTGTCTTGATAAGTGAATGAATGAATGAATTCTGATGATTCTGGTCTGTGGCCAGGGCTCATTGAGACAGTCCTGACTCTTACTGAAAGAGCTAGTTCAGTTGTATCTTATTTCCAAGTCAGTAAGCATGCCTTTTGTGTCTTCAGTGAAAACACCACCGATCGTGTCCTCAGAGATGGTGGGGAAGGAGGAACTTCCTGGCCCGCCATCAGTGGTAGCTTTTCACGCCGGCATCGTCATGCACATCTTCTGGGCACCACTGTCCAGCCAGCTACACACCGACCTGCCCCTGCCATGAACTGTTGAGTGCAGTTCACCATTTCGTGTGAATGTCAGGAGAGACGTTGCTACATGCTTTGCTGAAATAAAAATACCTCTTTTCCACTGCAATATATTTCAAGTATGTAAGATATTTTCATTGGGAGATGCTGGGTGAAGGGCCCTAGGGAACTCTCTTTACTGTACTTGCAACTTCTTGTGAGTGCAAAACTATTTCAAAATTTAAAAAATTGTGCAAATGAACGTCAGAAAACATATGTCAATGACACTTGTCTTGGCTCGTCCTATGGAACCATACTGGTTGGTGCTGATGTCTTATTTAAGGGAAACTGATGAAGAAAGTGGTTGGGAAAGAGAGGAAAAAGGGAAGGATTTCACTTATTTAGGTGAGCCTAGAGGGAACAGGAGGGAGAAACGGGACAGGAGTGGAAAGGGTGAGAAGGCGTCTTACCCAGGCCCGGGAGGGTGGGAGAGATGCTGCCCAGCATGGCCGTGGCCTTGGCGAGAAGTTCGGGCAGCCTGTCCGTGTTCACGGTCTGCTCTCCCTCGGAAGGACGCATTGTCTCTGTCCTGGGAGAGGTTCTCAGAGCAGACCCGCTGGTGCTCCAGGCTACGCGTGGGGGGCTTGTCCGTGGCAGCATTTGCTGGTTTGTGGGTGGGAGGTTGGAAGCCACGGCTGTCCCCCTGGTAGCTGCACATTCAAGGGGACAGTCAATGACAGCTTTAGAGTATTCATCACCTTGGACATAAAGAAGTGTTGCGTCGCTGAAGGCTCATCCATCACACAGCAAACATTTAGGACACAGACATTCAGACCTTACTTGGGCCAGCACCATTTGTCACCCAAAAGAGGGTTTCTCTTTGAATGACAAATCAATCCAAAACATCTGTCTCTGAAAAAGCCATGTGAAGAAGCACAGGGAACAGAATGTAGAGTTGTCGGGCAAAAAGTGCAAGGCAATAGGGAGCAGAGAGGACTACGAAAAGACAGGAGAAAGGTGTCCCTCCTACTGGGAGGGAATCAATGGGAGCAGCAGCTACTCAACACCAGTTGCTTGTTGCCATGGGTGAGGGGAGGACCCAGGGTTGCCAGATCTTTTGCAAAAAAGGATGCATATATCTACTCAAACATCTTTTAAATGGCAGGATCCGCCGATTTTAACACAGCATTTCTAAATAAAACACTTGCGGGCAGCATCCAGCCGTCAGTTTGCTCGGAGGGCCCTGGCCTGGAGACCCGAGAGCAGGAGTGCAGGAGGTTCTCACTCACCCGGGACACCAGACAGGCTGCTGGTGAATGTGTAGTTGATAACTGGAGACTCCTCCGCCACCTCCCAGAAGTCAGACAGGTTCCTTCCTGCAAAAGCCCCACCCGCAGGTTCAGTCCTGGGTGCGTGGGATAGCGGCCATGTTTCATCTCAGCCCAGAGAGCTTGTCGGAGACGGGCTGGGGGCTCACCCGCCTTGCCCGTCATCACGCAGACGAAGATGCAGTCGGATGCATTGGTCTGACTCACTGCAAGACAAGAGCACACGGCCAGCCTCAGCAGCGGGTCTGCGGCTGGGAAGTCTTCGGTCGAAATGGAAAGTAAGCTAGAAAGCCCTAGTAGCTCAGGATGCTGTAGGAAAACAAGGCTAACTTTTTACTTGGAAGTCAAGCTTGTCTGGGGACTCTGGGGGGTGGGCTGCAGTATAGTGTACTGGCTAAGGGCACAGAGTCTGGGGTCAGCTCCCTCACTTACAGCATCGCTGTGCCACCTCCTAGCTACGTGAACAAGAGTGAACAGCCTGACTTCTCTAGGACTCAGTTGACCCATCTTTAAAATGGCGAACATTTTAATCCTGAAGTCCCTTAGTGGCACTTTCCAAATTCCCAAATCTCTGTAAGGTGGAAGGTGTTGTGTCATGTTGGTACCAAAACTCATTTGGTGGCCAAAGCTGACCTGACAGTGAAGCGAGTTGCAGTCTTGATCCCACACAGTGGAAAGGGTCAGCCCTTCGCTAAACGAATCTGGGTGTCTTTGCCGGTGGCATGCTGTCCTGGGTGCTGCCGGAGGTCAGGCGGGGTGCAGGCACCCTACTAGACCTTCCAAAGTCTGAAAGCTTCGGAACTCCTAAATGTATTTTTCCCTTTGGAACGCGGACGTATGGTCGCATGTCCCTTGTCTGAGGGCTGTAACCATCCAATGAGATGTGCGTGACACTCTGCGTTTGGTACGAGACGGGTAGAAAAGCTCAGTGAAGAGTCATAATAATTATTGTTGTTGCTAAGTTGCCACCATTATTCTATGAAGTAGCATAGTGACCAAGAGCATGAACTTCAGACCGCCCGGGTTAGAGTTCCGTCTCGGCAGAGTGATCTCGGGCAGGTCACCCAGTGTCTCTGTGCCACGGTCTCCTCGCTCGTAAAGTGAGGGTGAACTGGAGGTGGGTATGGCAGCTCCCCAGCAAGGGCGCAGTGAGGATCCAGAGAGGGAATGCGTGGTAAGCCCTTGGAGGACTCCCTGGCACCAAATGGTACCTATTATTATTATTATTTCTCTCTCTCCCTATCTCCCCTCTTCTAAAACAGGAGTTTCTTCAGTGCACAGCAAACTATCCTTCTGGCGAGTCCAAGTGTGGGCTGGCAAACAGATCTGTGCTTCGCAAAGTGGGTCCCCAGGGGAATGTGAGTTGCCCGCAGGTTATGTGAGGTCACCTTATGAATGAGGAACGTCTCTCTCAGTTGCACGTCAGACGTGGGCTTAGGCTCCACATAGGTCTAAACCTGAACTCTGAACAACCTTGGGCAAAACAGCCAACCTCTCTGAACCTCAGTTTTCTCATCTTTAAGATGGGAGCACAGCTGTCCCACAGAAGCTTTCTTCTTGAGGCTGACCCGATTTCCCCCAGCTTTGAGCCCTCTGGTTCCTTCCTCTGGTTTGAACACCAGGAACAGCTCCGATGGGAAGATGGGACCTTCGGATACTGGTGGTTGAAACTGGACACACTGACTGTCTAAAGAGAACGTACACACTCTGTTCCTGGCCGCCTGGCCTCCGGCAGGGCTGGGGCAGAACGCTGGGTCTGATTACCCTCGTGGTCAGAGAGACACGCCCTCCTCCCAACGGACACACCTGAGAGGATGGAGGTCGACTTAAACATCTCCGTCAGGTAGCTGGTCGAGTTCCCAATGAAGTCTACCAGCAGGGCCGCGAAATCTGTAACACAGATTGGGGGGGTTTCAGTTTCTGAGACTCGGCTTCACCTCCAGAGACTGGAGGGGGAGAGGCGATCGTATTTTGGTATTTCAGAGCAGTTTTACAAGTTGGATTCGATTCAGTGATTGGAGGAATATTAATAATCATAGACAGAAATACCACTAATTTTTTTTGAAGTCTTAATTTCAGGCAGGCAGAAAACTCTGGGATCCAGCATTTTAACCCCCTCTCTCCTCCATTGCCCTCTTCCCCCAAACCCTTCTCTGCCAACGCCGAAGAGCTGTGTAAGGCCCTGTTGTTGAATAGGGGCTTTTCCGCCATGTGCCCTCACCCCTCGTCATCCTGCGCACTTCTACGTGATCTGCAACACCCTTCCTGTCTCACCCCTCAATTCCGAGCTCGTTTCCCGTGACGCCCTGCGCTGGCGTGCCTGCTGCAGCACACTGGCCTCTCCGTTCTCACGCTGCTGCCTGGGCTTTTGCCTGGAACGCTCTGTCCCCAGGTGTCACAAGGCTGTCTCCCCGCTTCCCACAGGTCACGCCTGAACCATCACCTCCTCTGAGAAGACTTCCCTGACCTCATGCAGCAGCCCTCTCCCACCACCACTTCCCTGCTCACCGTGCCCCCGCTTGATTGCCCTCACAGCCACACTATCGGCCGACATGCAGTGTGTTTGCACTTCAGTCCTTGCCTTTCCGTCCCTCCTACAGAACCTAAGTTCCGTGAGAGTGGGGGTGCCCTCTTGCTCAGTGTGGCACCCCCACCCCCAGAAGGGTATCTTCGCTCAATAAAGAATTGTGGAATAATTTTTAAAAAAGAATTGTGGAATGAAGGAATTAGTGGCAAGAGAGTAGTTTTCAGTCTTATTTGTAAGGGTTGTCTAAATATAAGGACCATGTTCATGTTTAGCTTTCCATTAGAAAACTAATACATGAATAACTCACTAAAAAAATCAGATAATAGTCCTGGCTGGTGTAGCTCAGTGGATTGAGCACGGGCTGCGAACCAAAGTGCCGCAGGTTCAATTCCCAGCCAGGGCACATGCCTGGGTTGCAGGCCATGACCCCCAGGCAACCGCACATTGATGTTTCTCTCTCTCTCTCTTTCTCCCTCCCTTCCCTCTCTAAAAATAAATAAATAAAATCTTTTAAAAAAATCAGACAATAGAAGGCCCCCTTACTCAATACTTTCCCACCCCAAAACACACACACTCCCATCTTCTTCTCAGAGGTCATTGCCCACCCATCTGGTGCCCACACAGGGGTATGTATGTTTTCATCGGTGACATTGTATTCTGCATATTATTTGGTAACTTTCTTTTTCTAATTAAGAATGTCGTGGAAATTTTTCCCTATGGAGGCCAAACCTGGCCACCCCCATTCACTTGTATTGTCTCCTACTGTTTTCAGAGGTTTGTCCCGTAGACTACTGGACCATTTTCCCAAGGACAGCTATTTAGCGTGTTCTCAGATTTTGCTATTAAAATAATGCTGCACGAACATCATGTTCTGGCTGCTCTGTGCAGACGTAACTATTTCCCTAGGGGAAAAACCAAGAAGAGAACTTTCCGGGACACATTATTTAGGCATAATAGACATTTCTTCATTTCTGTATCACACTCTAAGACAAAAAAAAATGAATTCAGACTTCTCTAAAAGAGCTTCGTGGGTCGTCCCGCCCACCTGACAGGTCATTGGTCCGATTGTTCAGGCAGTAGCAGTGCCGCGTGGGGAACCTGGCCGGGTCCACCGTCCTCAGGTGGGAAACTGGGGAGGGAAGCAGCTCACACAGCAGTCCTGGCACGCAGCCTGTGCCCGGCCTCCCGCCCGCCCGCCGCCCGCCGCTGCGGCCGCCCAGCAGCGCTCACTGTTGTAGACGGCCACGGACACCTTGTGGAAGGCGAAGGAGCTGTAGGAAGTGATGCTCAGCAGGGAGAAGAATTTCTTGCTATCTGCCAACGATACCGAAATAAGGACACGGACAAATGCCTGCTCCCAGGAGCAAATAAATGAGAAACTTGTGAACGGATGACAGACAGGGATAGTATAATGCGCACATAATAAATAACTGATGAACATGATAAAAATCAAAAATAATAAAATCGAACACAAGCAAATAAAAAAAATGCAGAAACACACGTCCTTTGGCTAGGCTCCCAGGCCCGTCTGTCCGGAGGCTCCGGCAGCCCTCTGTCTCATTTCTGTGTCATACTCTAAGACGAAAAAGTTAACTTGGTGGAATTAACTAATGCCGGGGCCTGTGGCCTGCTGGAGCGCAGCTCGCTCTGCACGGGCTGGCGAGCCTCCTTCTCCGGGGCGTGTTCACTCGGGTCATGCCTGGGTCAGGCAGACAGCACCGTCTCCACCCTGAACACGGAGACGCTGGGACACGGAGGCGGGACACGCCTGGCCCAGGCCACAGAGAGTCCAGATGAGAAACTGGCCTCAGACCCGCCTGGGCCTGGACTGCGCTTCGAAGAGGAGGTTACCTTTCAAAACCCTGCTCAGCATCCCATTCACCACCTGCGTCAGGTTCAGTGCCGACAGATCCACCGACCGCGCGGGCAGCTCTGGAAGAGAACGGGTCCCATTTCCAGAGTCCAGGCCGGTGTTCCTCCGCTTTGGACACTTTCCGAACTCCCCACCCCCATGGTCCCTCATGCTGGGCTCCAGGAGCGGGAAGAGGAAAGGTGGTTCAGCAGGGGACAGTAGCGGCGTCCACAGTGACAAGTTAGAGTAGAGGGGTGAACTCTGGGTGCGGCGCAGGAACGCTGATTTGAGGGAATACTTTATCCCCACACTGGAGAGAGTGGAGATCGGGTGCGGGGGGACATGCTTCTGAGTGTATAAGGAGAAGCCCAAGGGAATGGCCTAAGGCCTCACACGCCGGATTTGGAAATCACCACCCGTTTGACGGAGGTGCTCAGACCCTGCTGGGCACTGGCGTCCCTGGAAAGACGTATATTTTTTTCATACCGCAAATCCCATGCTTGGGTTCCATCCTCAGAGATTCGTGTTTAATGCATCTGGGATGTGACCCAGATATCAGGACCAAAACCAATGGGTCAGTCAATCAATCACTCCTCACCCAGATATTGGTAGCGTGCAGCTAGGCGGAGAGAGGCTGCTGGGTTAAAATCCGCCTTCTCCCAGCTCTTCCCTGAAGCTTTGACAACAACACTTTTACTTAATGTTCACATACCACGTAGCTAAAGCAATGCGAAGGCTGGCGAGATGCTGTTGTCTCTCTGTGGGGGTGGAGTGGGGTCCAGAGACGTGGGGGATTTCCCATGGAGCCCTGGGTGAGGGCAGGAACTCATCTATGGTCTCCAGAAAGAACACCCCCCGACCTTTTCCTGCCTCCCCTCTCCTCTAAGACCAGACACTGGGAAGAGGAAAGGCTTCAGGGGAGAAATGGGAGCCCCCATTCCTCAAGCCCCGCATCACTGGAGGACCCTGGGAGTCCTCTACTGTGTGGTCCACGGGCCAGTGACCATGAGAATCATGGGGGACCGTGTGAAAAAGCAGAGTCCAAGCCCCTGCCCCAGATTCCAGTCTCCCTGGGCTGCGTGTGGCCTTGAAATGCACATCTTCACAGACAGGCAAGGTGATTCCAATCCAGGGGGCTAATGCACCCCACCCCTTTAGTAAGGCAGGAAACCGAGGCTCAGAGAGGAAAAACAACTTGCCTGAATGTGCACAACTGAGGGGTAGTGAAGGGGTCAGGCCCCACTTCCTAGAGCTGCAGAGCACCGGCCTTCCTGAAATATCAGGCCACCTGCCCACTCGGCAAAGTTCATGGTGTCAAAGAACAAAATGTCCAAGGAAATTCTGAAATGCCAAAGGCATTCTGCCATTCTTCAGTCATTCAATGAACGCCCACCGAGAGCCAAGTGGAACCCTAGGTGCTGGGTGTACAGAGGTCAAGGAAGAGGACCAGGTCTCCTCCTCCAAGGTGCTTCCTGTCTGTGGCTTGGGAGGGAGGAGGGAGGGTCCCGAGGACCTGCACCTGAGGAGCATCGAACAGGGAAGCATGGGAGGCTGTGAGCGCCTCTGCCAGGGCACCCCACCTGGTCAGAGGCCCCGTGGAAGGGATGCAAAGCCGAGACCTGAGAGACTCACTGTTTTGGATGAGAGGCTGTTGACTCCTATAGCATTTGTTACTATTGTAGTTGCAATGATTATTTTTCATGCTGCATTCCCACGGGGCAAGTGCCTTATACCCATTCCACAGGTGGAAAAGCCAAGGCCCAGAGAGGCTGATAAACGTCTTCCCTATCAAGGTTTAAGGCTGCTGGTTACCTGTTGCACCGAGGAAAGCTCCAGCTTTTTCCTTCTTAACTTCTTTATTTCCCGCTGAAATACAAGTTCTTGTGAATCAAACAGCATCATGGAAGCACAGCCTCACACAGCTTACAACGTCCTGACAAGTCACCTTCTCCACTAGCCCCTCTGAAGGGTCAGGAAATCGAGGCCCAGAAAAGGGAAGGGATGTCCCTCATCCCCGCATCTGGCCAGTGGCCTGGTTCCCCTCCCCGAGCCCCGCGCAGTCCCCTTTCCTCTTTCTGCGTCTCTGACTCTGACTATTTTAGCTCCCACATATAAGTGATATCATGCAGTATTTGTCCTTCTTGCGTCTGCCTTATTCCACTCAGCATAATGGTCTCCGGGACCACCCACGCTGTTGCACATGGCAAGGTGGTCTTTTCAGGGCTGAAGAGCGGGATAATATCCCATGGTGTGCAAATACCACACTTCCTTTCTCAGTTCAGCGGTGAGTGGTCACTTAGGTGGTGCCCTGCTTTTCAAGCACCCTGTTGAGACTCAGGAGACTCAGGTCCAGGTGATTTGGCCTTTCACAGATTACCGGGCTTTGGGGTTAAATATTGGCGTTTCGGGGTTAGAGGTAGGTGGGGGCCATGGATCCCCGCTTCTGCAATACGGCTGTGGGGGATCCTGGCTATGCTACTACAGAAGGGAGCCTGGGACACGCATTTATGAACAAGCAACTGGGTGGGACGCGGCAAGTAAGCTGTGCTCTGGTGGGGGAGCGTTGGCTCTCCCCTCTCAGGGGCTCTGAGCCGCACTCCACCTGAGCAGTCCAGGCTACAGCAGCCGCAATGAGATCCCTGGGGGCACTGAGCTCCCTTGCTAGTGCCCTGGCCAGGAGGCAGAGTCCTCTGTGCAGGTGAGGGGCTAGGGTGGTCTGGGTTTGGGACCCCCGGGCTACCGGGAGGCTAGAGGCTGCTGGGCCTGCAGCGTCGCCGCGCCCCTTGAGCCAGATGAGGGCCCTGTGCCGTCTTCCTCGCCGGGAGCTTTTCTTAAACACCACTTTTTCCCTGAAAAATAATGATTTCCACCACTCCGTTTTTATCATTACAAATCCGTGGGCGGATTTCGATAACAAAATTTGAAGTGTGACTTAAACAGCCCTGAAGCAGGGATTTCTGAACAGGATGCTATACAGAAGCATTTTCCAAATAAATTTTCAGACAGAGCACCTCGAACTATTCTCTTTTTTGGGTAAAAAGACCACCACCGTAGTGACTGTAAAATAGAAGTGTTGGCCCTTTCACACCTGTTCCTGCTTAGTATTCATGCTGCCTTTCATCCTTTGCTTACCTGTAGGGCAGACTTGTCGTTAGCATTTCAAGGGGAGAAAATTGGAGGCTCGAGCAGAGAAAATATTTATTGGAAATTACTCTCCTTAGATGCAGGGCATAGGTATAACCGGTACCCTATGGGGCCGGGAGGTGGCGGAGTGGGAGCCATTTTAACTTCGTATACTTTGTACCGTTTGCATTGCGAACCACATAAATGTATGAATTAAAAATAAATGAAATTTTCAAAATAAAGAGTAATTCCCATCTCAAGTCCCAAAAGCAAAAGCAGGCAAAAAAAAAATGATCTGCATGTTTAGCGAAAAGCTAGGAGCAGAAGCCCCGCCCCTGACTCCTCAGCGTCCTTTACATTGGCATGCATTCACCGCCTTGCTGCCCGCCCACTCCAGACCAATCAAAAAAGGGGGAAAAAAAGGCAAAGAAAGATGAAATTGTTACAAAGGTGATGATGGCATATGACAATACCTCCCATTATGAACTCTTCCGTTGCTAATAGAATGCCAAGGTCTTTGTGGATTTAATAAGATCATGAAAACCCAGGAATTCCATGAACCCTAAAGCAGTGGCCAACCCATAGGAGTGGTAACTGTGACTGTGGGAGCCTGAGATACAGATACAACCCCCTTCTACAGGTAAAGGGAGTGAGGCTTGGGAAGCCAAGGAGTTCACCTGACAGTGTGAGCACGGGAGGAGCACCTGCCCATTTAGGTAAATGGGTTGTAGGTAAGAAGGTCATCACGTTTTCCTTCCTGGCTTCTTCTTTAACAGCAGACACTAAAATACAGAAAGTTTCCATCAGAAAAATTATAACTCAGACATGACCTCAGAGAGAACTAATCCAAAATACTCTTGTTAAAGACAGAAAATGATGGAATGGTGAAGCAACTTGCTGACAATCCCATGCATAGTTTGTCCATTCATCCAATCATTCAGTCGTCTAATATTTATTGGCCACCTATAATAATACTAGTGATTGATAATGCAATTCAGCAGCTGGACTTGAATAGGCACTGTGTGTGTTAGATACCAAGGCAGGGCGATGAGAAACGGATATGGACTTTATCCTTACGGAGCTCATATTCTGCTTGGGAGGGCAGACATCAAGAAAATGAAGACTTGGGATACTATTATAAACAAGGTCAGATACTTTGAAGGGCACTTTGCAGGTGCGTAACGGGGAGCCCAATCTCACCTCAGCGATCTGAAAGCTGTCCCGGGAGGTGACACTCAGCTGAGGTCTGAGGGTTGCACAGCATCTGAGCAGGTTAACTGGCTGAGGGGTTATTCAGCGTACAGCTAGCATGCGCCAGGGTCTGAGATGGGCATGAGTGTGAACTGAAAGAAGCGTGAGAGGCCCACAGTGACGGAACCCAGAGAACGGGGAGGTGGGGGCTGTAGGAAGTGGCCTTGGCGAGGTGGGCTGCGTCATGTCAATCGTGTAAAGGGCTGAGGACACTATCTGAAAGGAAGTAGGAAGCCATTGGGTAATTTTGGGAGAGGACAGAAATGAGGGAGGCACTTGGAAGGCGACCTACTGAGATTCATGAGAAGATCAGGCAGGCTGGTGAGTAGAGAACAGATCGTGGAGAAACAAGACAAGAAGCAGGAAAGCGAAGATGGTGGTTTGGACAAGAGTGGTGACAGTGGAGGGGAAGATGGTTCTGTCGCATAAATGACACTCAGTTGCAAAAAGTTCAGGGATAAAACCAGAAATGGAGACTTGACTATTGCCATTTCGCTCGAGCTCCTTTAGGATTCTGGCTTGAAATGTTGGCTGCTGCCAGTCTTTATAAAGAACAGACACTCGTCGAGCTCCGACCGGACCCACCTGTGTTCCAAAGGGACAGGACACACGCGAGGCCCACGCACAGCCTCGCCGGAGCACCGCGTACCGGGAAGCCTGGCATGTCTGTGAGGGGCTAGACCACCTGGAAACAAGCAAGCAAGCAGCGTGAAGAAACGGGGTGGATTACCATTCACACTGACGCGAAATATTCTTGAGAACCCTGCATGGGTTGTCAGCAATCCTTTCTGAAAAGGCTCTGTATCACTAGGACAGGTCGGGTTATGGGAAAGTAACGAATTAACCCCACAGTCTCACTGGCTTAATTCAACAGCGAAAGGTGATTTCTTGTTTATAGTCCAGAGGCACTGCATCCTGGAGGGAGACTCTGCTCCACACAGGCACTCCGGGACCCCGACTAAGGGAGCCTCCTCCCCTGTCTTGCGTGTGGTCCTCTATCTGGTCCTTGCGGATTTATCGTGCAGCGGAAGGGAGAGAGCTGGAGGACCATGTATCCCCCCTTAAATGCTCTGGCAGGAAGTGACACGCTCCCCTGTATTTACGGCCCGCGCCAGAGTTACCAAGGCTGCCCCGCCGAATGGCAGATCTGGGAACAGGAGAGAGAGGGGTGCGTGCCTCCTCGGGGAGAATCGGTGTCTCTTCCATGGTGTTTCTGGCTGGTTAGATGGGGAACACCCCCCACACAGCACATCACAGCTGCTGATAAATGGGAAAAAATTAATAGCAGGGGCGTCTGCGAGCGTTCGCACTTGCTTCTCGGCAGCGCCGCGTCCCTGCAATCCCCCTGGGGATGTGCTGTGCAGAATCCGCGTGACAGTCAAAGCGGCAGAGCGCTGAGACTAATGAGAGTAATGGTGACAATTTGCTGAGTGCTTCCTGAGCGCCAGACACCACACAGAATGCTGTCTGATGTGTCTTATCACTTAGGAGCCACAAAATCTCTCCGTGTCAGTATTAACATAATTCCCGTTTCACGTACAGGCTGCACAGGCTTAGTGTGCAACAGCAGGAATCTGCCCCTGGAAGAGAACGGAATAGATCTGGAAGGTGAGAGAGGGGAGGGGAGAACAGGCGAGAGAAAGCGGCGCTGAGGAACACGTCGTGGCCCATCGTGTTTCAAGAAGTTCTGCTGCCCATTTGAGATGCACTCGCCTTTGCAATTTTACTGAAAGATCCTAGTAAACATTTAAATTGCCTTTTTAATTATTGGCAGGTTGTAAGCGGTGTCTTTTCCGGATGCCACGCTGGCCAGAGACAGGCCTTACAAGGGAGCGTGCATGTTCAATGTCAGTCGAATTTGCAGGGCCCTTGTCCTGGAACCTGAGAGTGCGGAGGAAACCCCCAGCAGTGCGCCGTAGAGCCCTCATTGTTAGACCTCACCTATTAGTTTCTTCCTTTAAAAAACATCCATCTCACGTTCACGAGCAGTGCTGGCATTTTGTGGGTCTGGTGAGCTCCGGGTCTTTCTACTTCACGCGCACTCATCAGAATTGTGTTGAACGGGTGCCCCGCAGAGCGCTCAGAGCTTTTAACTCGCCTTTACCAAAATAACTATGTAAAACAATTGTAGAAAAAAATGAAAATTCACCTTTGTTATTTTACTTTCTCAGTCACCTCGTAGAGAGAGACACGGACATTGTGATTACATGAGAGAGGGGTCCGGGACCAGAGGTGGGGCCCCCTGCTTACGGTCACATGGCTCCTGAGGGGACAGCTGGGGTTTGAACTGTGGTCCCTCAGACACTAAAGTCTGTGTCCTTTTCTGCCATGTAGTACTCCATTCCCCTGCCCGTTGAAATACCATCCAGGACTGCCACAAATGGGTCTAATGTTGAAAACAAGCAGAATCCATTATCGCAAAGCACTTCGGTGGATGGAAGGAGCCACAAATCCTGTCCCGCTCCTGGAGGAAGGGCTGCGCAATGTTGTTGTGACCGACCAGCCAAGAACCCGCCCAAGAGTCTTGTGAAATGAGTTCACAGTATGTCCATGTAATGTTGGCAGCAGCCCTGGGGCTGGGGATGCAACTGGTAAGAGCAAAGCCTCTGGAGCTTTCGTTAAACATCGTGTCACTTCCCATTAACAAGGGTCACCAGCCATGGTTAGTTTAGCTGGCTGAGTAAACCTGCCTTCCTCACCGTACTGTGCAGCCAAAGGAAAGGTGCCTGACCAAACACGGAGTAAGTACAGTGCCCAGGGGAGAGGCGAGCACTCGCCCTGAAGTCCCATCTCGTGTGGGCCAGCCGCAGGGAGAGCTACACGTGCTCAGGAGGGTCCTTCCATTCAGCAGCCTTCATCATCAGTATCGGCTCCCTCTTCCCGAGAAGAACCCTGGGGCTCAGGCATACCCGACCCCTTGCCCAAGGTCCTCAAACTGACCCCACCCCAGGCAGTGGGCTCCCAAGCTTCAGGGACGGCACGGAGAGGGGAGGCCCTGCCTTTCCAACAATAGTTAATGCAGAAAAAGAGGTGAAGAGTCTAATATTTGTGGACTGTCTGACGTGCCAGGAATTTTCCCTGTGGTCACCCACTGGTCCTCGAAACAACCCTGTTTATTTGCGATTATCCTTATTTTACAGTTTGAGGAAACTAAGGCTCAGACAAGTGACGTCTTAGCCTCAGTGCATGTAGATACTGGGTGACAGAAATGCCTGAATTCCTCCTCCTTCGGCGCCCAGGGGCCCAAAGCCTGGGAAGGCCAGCAGGTGCGCTCTTAGCTGGCCCCACGCTTCGGGGAGGAGAGGAAGCCAAAGGGTTTTAAAGTATCGACAGCATTTGACTTACCTGTCTCCCGAGCGGGATAATGACTTCAAAGGGTTTGAGCAGCCAGGAGGATTAACAGCTAAGTCTGAGCTGCGGGGTTTATATGAGTTCTTAGTGAAAGATACAGGGGGTGGGGGTGGGAAAGGCTTGATCACTCCGCTTTAAATCCTCTGGAGGGCAAAAATGGAATGATAATCCTACCCAGAACTCGGGGTGGTGAAACAGGATCGATCCATGGGAGGAGAACACCCCTGCTAGGTGCTGAATGGAATGGTGAGCGGAACGACAAAGCGGTGATTCAGCGCGGACAGGAGCTCTCTTCTGGCGGTAATTATGGGTGTTGACGGAGCAGGGAAGGACCACGGAGTGATGATTTCCCCTTCCTGTTGTACAGGCCTGGGAGCCAAGCTCCCCTGGCATGCGGGCCAGCGGTCACCCTGCTCGTTCCCCTTAGCAGGTGCCCAGAGCAGGCAAGGTGAGCCTGGCCCTCCCCACCTGTTCCCATAAGGACTCAAAGGGGTTTGTGTTGTTAGAAATCAAAAGAACAGTATGTAGTGACACGTAGAAATGATATGAAATTCAAATTTCAGTGTCTACAAATAAAGTTTTATTGGCACGTTGCACACTCGTTCATTCGCATTCTCTCCAAGGCTGCTTGTGCTGCCTCAGCAGACCTGAGTAGTTGTGACAGAGCCCCTGTGGCCCACAAAGCCAGAGACACTGACTTTCTGGCCCTTTACAGAAGTTTGCCAACTTTTGGCCCAGAAGAACCTGCATAGTCAGGTTCCTTACACTTGTGCCACCCAAGTTCAAGGTTGGTCTTTCTTGTCTGGGCTTCTGCAATGCTTGCAAACTTGCCACCTGCAACCATTCTTGGTTCCCTGAATGAATGTCCCTTATATCAGCCACAGAGGTCTTTTTTTAAACAGCTTTGTTGAGGATTCATTTATATACTCTCCAGTTCACCCATTTGAAGTGTACAGTTCAATGGCTTTTCCAATTTGACAAGTGGCATAACCATCACCACACTCTAGTTTTAGAATATTTTGACCACCCAGTAAGATTATCTGTGCCCATTACAGTTTGTCCCCCCCACCCCCCACGTCCCCCGGCCCCAGGCACCCGTCTGCTCTCCATCTCTGTAGGTTTGGCGGTGACAATGTCCCCCCGACCAATGTCCTGCTCTGCCCGTGCCCCCTTCAGCGTTCTCCATGCAGAAGCCAGAGATCCCCTTTTTGTCACAAATCCGATCTTGTCACCTCTCACCTCCAAGCCTTGCAGGGACTTCCTGTCTGACTCAGAGTGAAAGCCAAGGTCCTCACCATGGCTCAGGAGGCCCTTCCTGACCTGCCCACTGTAACGTCCCTGGTTTTATCTGCTACTCCTCTTGGCCACCTCCACTGGCCTGAGGCTGGCCCGCCCGGGGCCAGAAGACAAAGTGCCGGGCATGTTTCCCTACCTGACGTGGAGGCAGGGCACAAGGACAATCGGGCTTTTCTCAGGGGGACCTCACCTTACATGTCTTCAGTGTGGGGAAGCCATTGGGTCCCGGGTCCGCTGGATGCTCAGGCTCATTGTAGGAAAGAGACATTATTCGGAACAATAGCTGCTCCCACGAGTATCTGGGACGTGAGGCTGTGAATGGACCTGCCCCATCTATGTGAATGGAAAGGGACTTTCTCAGGGATATAAGTTTTAGGCTCTTTCTCGGACAGTCCTGCCGAGACTGGGGGTGGGGAAGTTCTGCGGGGGGAGGAATAAGTGTTTGCAGAGCGGATGCTATTCTCATCACTGCAAAGTCAGCCACAGGCCTTTGCAACGACAGATGTGGACCTCGGAGCTGGCTCATGACCTTGAATCAGAAGAGCAGCTGCCTTCTCGGGTTCCCAGAGGCTACAAGCACTGTTTTGTTTATGCAATGAATCCTGCCCACGGGCATTACGATTCACCTGCTCGGTGCTGGCCCACTTTGTCCTTTGAACTAGAGCGTGCACTGGGGCAACCCGGCTGGGGTTTTGTTTACTTTGTGTATGTAGGGATTTCAAATGGGCTCAGGTAGCAGGTGCTGGTGATGCCTGCCCCCAAATGCCCTCCACCCACCTGAGCTCACCTGCAGTTGCAATAGACAGGTCACAGCACGCCCCTCTGCCTTAGGGCTTTGTCACCTCAGAGCTTGCTGGGCTGTCTCACAGAGAAACCCGAGGGAGGGAGACATTTACAGCCTGGGGCCACCCTCAACCCCAGAGGAGCAGGGGTGAGCGGGTGAATGGCCCAGATTCCTGCCTCAAGGTGGGACAGGTGTTTGGTACAGTCACATGGGTTCTTAGAGGGTTCCTGGTGGTTTGAGCCCCGTCCCCACACAGATTAGCTCCCCCTGTACTGGCTGTCCCTCCTCCCTGACCAACTCGCTTTGCTATCTCAGCGCTTCCTGAGATCACCTTCCAAATGGACTCTCTGCACCCAACCTCTCGTCTCCATTCTTGCGGCATCCCGATTAAGGCAGCTGGGCACGTGGGTTCAGGATAGAGTCCAAAGCTGTCACTCGCTGAACCTTTGCCCTGTGCTGGGTCCCAAGTTCTCTCTGCACAGCAACCCAGATAACCTTTCAAGGTAGATAGTGTTCTCCCCACTTTACCGGCGGTGACTTAAGGCACGAAGATGTTAAGGGCCTCCCCGAGGTTCCCCACCCCGACTCCCTCTTCTTGTGGGAAAACCTCCCTTCCTGCTGTGTTGATGACAGAGAGGGATCTGGTGTGAGCTGCACTAATCTCCGCCCTGTCGACTCACAGCTCCTCTGTGAGTCTTTCTTCCTAGTTGGTTTAGGAGACGCAGCATCTCCAAAGGGAGTCCCATGAGGCTCAGGGACGGGGGTGGGCGAGGGGGGGGATGGGCTCCGGCTCTATTTGTGGCTCTTCCACTTATTAGTGTCTGATGTTGGGCAGGTCTCTTTATGTTTCCGGACCTGGATTTCCTCATCCATAAAGCAAAGGTAATAATGCCTTAAAACTGTAATACCTGTATCATGGTTTTAATAGCTGCACAACTGTAGCTGTTTCCGGGGAAACATGCGGTCTTTTGCATTCGATCCTTTTCTTCCTCTGGTCTTCACTCTGGCAACGATTTCCTCTCTTGTTTGCTGTCTCCCTCCCCACTGCTGCTTTTCCCCCATTTTACAAACACACTCGTCTCCCTTATCGCCTTCCTGCCACCGCCAACAAACTGTCCTTTCTCATCAGTCCGGGTCACCATCCAAGCAAATAACACTCTATCACAGAATCATTGAAATGTCTGTTTATTAATAAGTGGTGCAGTGTTTACTTGTTTTCAGAGAGAACATAAAAAAAAATCAAGTAAGAATTATTTGCATAATATGTGGAAATCAACCCCTTAAAGTTGTTCAAATATCGGACAGAGCCAGAATATAAAGGACACGTACGATTTAAAAATCACAGGAAATGATATTATAAAGAACACTAAAGGCCACTTGTGGAATGTTCCCATGTAAGCCGGAATGTGGAGACAGCCTGCTTGGAGCATGGAGACGAACTCAGGGAGCAAGGCACCAGAATTCTATGCCGTCAAAGGGGGCGAAAGGAATTACAATCCAAAATCAAATACAGTGGGTTTGTTTTCCATCGCTGCTACGTGAGAAAGAGAAGAAAGAAAAAGAAGAGCCATAGCCTGTCGAAAGCAGCATAAAGCAAAGTTTAGAGCACTTTTCTCATTAAACAAGGGAATGATCGACAAATCAGAGGAAGTCGGCCCAGCCTCCTACTGGCGATTTCCAAGGTGGAGAGAGCCTGCCTCGTGTCTCCAGCAGCAAAATCTTTGACGCTTGACAAAAACGGATCCACCAGTCGTGGGAGTGGGCCTCCCACCTGGGCTTGTAACCCTCGCGGGTGGAGAGTGGAGCTGCTTTCCCCTCCCTTGAAAAAGGGTTCGGGGGGAAGAAGCACCCCATTACCAGACCAGGTTGGCTTCCACTGGAAACCTCCATCTTTCACCATCAAGAAACACAGCTCTTCTGAGAGTTCGGCCTGGTGGAGTGTTTTGATGACTCACCTGTCTCCACGGCTTTTCAAAGACCTGAAATAAAGGTACGGTCTAGAGACAAAAGGCCCGAGTCAGAAGGGACATTTGAACTTGATTGGTTAGAGCAATGACAGGAGCTCTGTGGGGGCCGAGAACCAGGGGTGCTTATGGGGTTGTCTGCAGTTACACAGGACTCCAAGAGCTCATGGCTCCCACATAAACCAGGTCATTTACGTGGCGTTCTTTCCTGCCACGGACAGCTGGAGTGCAGGACCACGCAGAGGAGCACACAGGACCTGCTGCACAGCCGAGGGGGGCGGCCACCGCCGGAATCGCTCTCGTCCCCGGGGAAGCGAGGGGTCTGTGATCATCTCACTGCAAAGCTGACTGGGCGGAGGAGGGCCAGGCGTGGTGAAGGACCAGAGGGCACGATTTGGGAGCATTTCCATTTGACCTGGGAGACTTGAGTGGGGCGGGGGGAGAATGAGCTTCGGAGGTTTGCAGGCTTTGGTTAGGATCCCAGCTCTGCTCTTATAACCAGAGTGAGCTCTGGCGAATTATTTTCCCTCTCAGCTTCAGTTTCCTTACCCATAGTGTGGCGACAATGCCCCGCCCCCAGGGGGTGGCCACGAGGATTGCATGAAATCGGGAGGGAACTACTACATTGCAGACCACGCATCAAGGGGGCTTAGGGTCCGTCTCTCTCCCCTCCCCTGGCTGCCATCTTGTGGGCAGAGGAGAATGAGATACTGAAAACAGAACAGGCGCAGCTTTCGTGACTCTTAGGCAGCAAATTTTTGTTCGTTTGACAAATCTAAGAGGAATTACAAATATATTCCTAAGCGCTGGGCTAGGCTTTTGACTGCTTAATGATGTTATACTCAGGTTATTTATACAGAGAGCTCATTCTGGCTGCTTTTGCCCTGGAACTTATTTTCACCCCATGACAGTGCTCTGCGGAGGCTAAGAAGCCTTCGGTGGGCATCTGTCTTTAAAATCAGCGGGTCGACTCTCACTGTCTGAAGAGCTGACCGCTTTTCTATGTCTGAGGAGCTTCTGGTCCGGTCTGATTCAGGAGAACTGAACTTCCTGCTACTGAGGTTAACCAGGGCTGTGGAGGAGCCGGCCAGATGCCGGCAAATCTGTTCCAAGAGCAAGATAAGTGGAAAATACTATGGAAATCCACACTGGAGCCCACAGAGGCTTCCTCCTAAGGAGGCAACAGAGGTTTGCCTCCTAAAGCGATTTCCTAATTAACCCAAAGTAAAGTGTCTTACGCTGAACCCTGTTTGCTCCTTTGCAGCGTTTGGAGAAGACCTTTGAGAACCCGGTCGTGACCTGGGCAAAACGGGCCTTCTCTGGGACAACGCAGGAGGAACCCAGCTGTGTTCGGGCGAGGCCAGAGACCCCAGCACAAAAGCAGAACTGGCAACGTGGGGTTGCATGGACCCCCAAAGAAAGCACATCCCATATTCTAAATCAAACCCATCAAAATTTTTCAAAGGAAGATCCTGTTAAATTGAATTATAGAAGAAGATACCATCTGAGGCATGATTCTGCAGCTAAGGGAGCCCACGTAACAGGCCGAAGAGCTGAACAAGTCCACACTCGACGGGGCAAGGTGGGGACAAAGTGGAAGGGGTCAGGGGAGTGGAGGGAAGGGGAAGAAGGAACACTGTCATCTTGTAAGCACAGGATTATTCATTGCATTCCAGAAAAGCCCAAAAGCAGTCCCAACAAATGTGTCTGAGTTAGCAGTGTGTAGAATGAGCACGAAGGTTTCTCTCATCTCCTGGGCCCGACAGCAATACCTGGTCCTCACTGCTATTTCCGTGTCGATCTCCGACACCTGGACCAGATGTTGGGAGGCGTGGGTTCTCTGGCCACTCTGCCACCCCAGTCACACAGCCCTCACTGAGTGAGCTTCTCGGTGCTCCAGCCTCTGCTTCTTCGTGATCAAGGTCTCCTCTTGCTCCGAGCGTCTAAGAATCTATGAATTTGTATCTCCCTGCATCTACACTGACAAAGCACACTGCTAGCCACAGCTTTCCCACGGGCGTGCCGAAGTGGAGGATGTTCAAGCCCGTGAACCAAAGCCCCTGGGGACGGTTGGAAGAAGCTTGAGTACTTCTTCCGGAAGTCCTCCACCCCCCGGTAGGGCGTTGTCTGGCAGACGCCGTGGCCCAGCCGGGTTTCCTCCTTGAAGCCACCAGTTCCTTTACAGTTAATGATCTCTGTTACTTGGCTTTCCCTCCCACAAATCACCCTCCGCCAGCACGGTGCAGTACCTGGTCTTTTATGTCCAGTGGGACAGCTACTGTGACCCAGCCTCTGCGACCCAACTGGCCTTCTCTGATTCCAGCATCCCCACTCTCATTTTGATGGAAAAGTAAACATTTTTATTTGTCAAGATGTACTTAGTTGAAAAGCAATTGTGTAAGTGCCTGATTTTGTTATAATTGGGATTGTATCTCCGCCACTTTTTATGAAAACAAACAAAAAATGGTGTAAATTTAGAGTTCAAAATGCAGGGCCTTAATACCAAAGATGAAGTGGAGTCCACACTACAGTAAAGGAACGTGTTTGACAGTCCCCGGCATATGGCTGTCACTGTACTAGGTGCTTCCTATATATTGATTGTCTCATTGAAAAATAAAAAATGGTTGAAAAAGTCTGACACTTTTGTATGTCCTGAAACTCAAGTTACTTCCAGGTCACCTCTCTATCCTTCCTTCCTCTCTGACATTTCTGTTACCGGTTTCCAAAGCCACTAAAGCTATGCAGAGCGCCAGGTTTCTAACATGTTTCTAACATGTTCTAACCTCAGGTGTCAGAGTTGCTACCTGCTGCCTTGTTTAGGGGACTGTTGGCTCGGTTTTGAAGAGTGTAAATATCAGTAAGACAAGAAATTTGGATTGACTGGGATACAAAGAAAGGACTCACAGTCCTTTAAAAAGTTCCTCTTGAAATAAGCAATCCTTCAGGGACTAAGAAGGATGTGAGGGAATTCTTAAGAATACCCGGGGTTCAGAAAGCAAAGGAAGTCCTCACTTTGGTTCTAGATGCTTTGGAGGCATACTCACGGAGAACAGGGGCCAGCTACATGGCATCTTCTGGGGGAAGCCTGGTGCGTCGCTTTCCAGGGTGCAATCGACTTCCAGAGCACTGGATAAATTTCTCTCTGCCCCAGAGGAGTCAGATCTGCTCATTCCCATGGGCAGAGTCACACCTTTCTCTTGAGACAGAGGCTGTGTCTTGGCCGGCACCGTAAGCTGCTCTTGGTCAACATGATGAGATGAAAAGTAGGTCAGCTGTTTGCCCAAACTCAGTCCTGGTAGGGAGTGAGAGAGGAGGCATTTCTCCCTCCCCCAAGAACTTTCCCAGGTCTCTAGAACCTTCTTCTTTTACCACTTATCTGAAGCTATCAAGTCCAAAGCACTGAACCCAAACTCAAAGTCCCCACTCAATCCGCTCATTCTTCCCTTGGTTGCACTGTCTGGACACAGAAGTTTCGCTCTCAATCTCTTCCGTGCTCAGCCTTCCCATGATTCCAAGCGAGAAAGCATTCCTGTCTGTACAGAGTGGTCTTCCGTGATGAAGTCGGATTACTTGCCATTCTTGGCAGGCATTAGAAGGAAGCTCTGGTACCTGCCGCCCCCAAATTCCTAGCTTTCTGATGGCAGGAACCATGGTTTTCCCAGTTCTGAATTTCAAGTGCATGGCCCAGTGCCTCACAGCTTAATACATCTTATAAATGAATAAGTAAATGTTTTTATTACATTGTCCTTACAGTGGCATCGAATTATGAAAATGGTCTCGGCAAATTATGAGTGGATCCTGTTGTATTAGGATTTTCTGCAAGTAATTTTTCTTTCAGTTGACAGCGAGTGCCCAAGAACTGCCCTGCACAAAATTGGCAAGGCGTAACGCATAGCTGTCCATCAATTAGCTCATTTTGAACTGTATGTAGTATACACCTCGGGGCTTTTTGGATATGTTTTTATGAAAATCAGAGCTTCATGATGTCATTGTTATGTCTAATAAGTCTAACTCAGTTCCCAGAAAAAGCACAGTTACGAAACAGGACTTCTTCAATTTGGGGGTTTTCTCTCGCAATTTTTAAAGCCATGTGTGTGTGTGTGTGTGTGTGTGTGTGTGTTTCCTTGTGTGCTGGTGTTTGATAGTCAGAACTGGCACTTGATCTCAAGTTCTTTCTGCTCAGCCCAATGAAACCCCCTATCACCACCACTTGGAAAGCAGATTTAGCTCATTCTTCTTGATCCCGCTAAAACAGGACCTCTTAAGACTTTCGTATATCATTTGTGACACACGGACTGAATCCACAGAGGGAGATCATAGTTTCACTGAAGAAAATCACTCCTAGTTTTTAGGATGGAATTAATTTGTCACCATTTCAGGGGGTTCCGGCCAAACTGCAATTTCCTGGGCAAACGTCAGAACCACCGGCATATCTGAAGTGGTATAATCTTCACGTTATTAACCAGTTCTGCTGGATTATTGCAACAGATCGTACTGTTCTTTTGTCTGACAAAAAGATCGTTGTAGGAGCATATACTTTCTCCCCAGAACTCATGTTCAATCCTAGACCTTGAACTTCTTCATCAGTGCCAGCTGCATTGGTGATGTTGTTTAGGGGCAGGCAAAGGGAGTGGGTTTGGTCTGCTTCTCTGGGATATCTATATGTATTTTTAATTTTTACTGCATTAATATGAAATATCATCACAGGAAAATTACACACATCATATTTTTTAAGGGGATATCAAAGCAAAATATTCCAGAAGATCACTTTTCTCTTTTTTGTTTTCTTAGATGGGAAAAAATAGCTCTTAAGAGTCTTATCACTCATTCATTCATGAAAAATGTACTTGGCCTTTGTCTGCACTGACAATGACAACAAACTACATGGCGGAAACACGGTGGTAAGAAACACAAAGCCAATCCCTGCCATCCTGGCCTTAGGCTCTGCAGGGGAGCTACCTGCCACCTGTGGTTCGGGAAATAACTGCATCTCCCAACCTTTTAGGCTGTTAGAAGAACCTGAGGCAGTCCTGTAACTCTGGGTCCCTGGCAACTAGTGTTAGCCTGAGGGTGAGAGAGCCTCCCTCTTCCAGCTGAGAACACTCCACTAGGTCCTGGGGAACGCATATGTTTGTGAGATGCTACGGCGACGAGGTCCTGCAAGAATATCAGTACGTTAGGGAAAGTAATGGGTGCCTGTGGGCAGTGTTTGACTCATTCTCCGTTTTTGTTGTTTCTCTTTCAAAGAACTCATATATATAAAGAAGAACATAGTAACATAGTAGGGGAGTCCAACCTTTTGGCATTTCTGGGCCACGCTGGAAGATTTATCTTGGGCCACACACTCAATACATTGCGACACATAATCACAAAATAATCTCGTAGTGTTTTAAGTAAATTTAGGATTTTGTGTTGGGCTGCATTTATAGCCATCCTGGACTGCATGCGGCCCCATGGCTGCAGGTCGGACACCCTGGATGGTAGGTGGCTCAGCCATCTCTAGTGAAAGATTTTAGGGAGGTCAGAATCAAGAACCAAGGCCTAGGGAAGGGGCATAGGATTTCTCAGGTTAGTAACCCCCACAGCACTTTCAGGCATACTGAAGGGAGCCGTGAGGAGGACCGAGTGACCCATGCCCTTTGCCCTTCAGATGGCTGGAGGCCACCGGCAAACCACAGGCGCGGGGATTTCACGTCCGAAGTGTGTGATCATCTGGTGCACGTCCCACCTCACACTTCAAGGTCCACGCCCATCCGCTCACGGGACCCTCTGTGGGAAACGCCCTCTCTACCTCTCCTGCTGCCTGCCCTTGGCCAAGGACTCGAGGCTTTGGCTGCCAATTCCGAAGGTCAGGGACCAGCTCTTCACTATCACCGTGTTCTAAGCCTTTTGTCTGGTGCCTGTTGATGTATAGGAAGCGGTTCCTCTCCCTCTCAGAGCACACGGCCACTGCATTCGGTACTGATGGAACCGCCAACCAGGTCTGCCGCAGCTGCGATGACAAGACCCGGGATGCACGTGGGTGCACTTACGTGGAGACGTTTGTTTAGACCGCTTCGATCAGCTTGATGGTTACCATGGTGACCGCCCACGACCAGTGCTTAGAGGTGTGAAAAGGGTGAGATAATCACACTGCAGAAGAGTCATTTAGCTAATTCAGCCCCAATCTAATAGAAACCTTTCCCATCAAAGTATTTCAGAGAGTAGTGGCATCTCCTAAGGGGCCACAGCTTGTGAAGCTCATTAAACTTGTGCCTCACAGTAACCTTCACGGTGGGGCAGTGTCTTCCTGGCAGGGTGCTTATGCCTCAGCTGGTCTTACGGTTACATGTAATTTAAAGATCTTAGAAGAGTAGAAATAGATGGTTCTGGAAATTCGGCCTCTGTGCATATTAATGAATGTTGTAGCTTGCTTGTATTTTTTTTTCTGGATCCAAAATACAGTGCATTAGTAAGCACATTTTGCAGATAAAAGCTGACAACCCCCTCCCCCGGTTAAATTGTGTGGTGAGTGCTTTCTACACGACATAACGTACAGGTGTCACGGCACAATTTCTGGGACCCACCGCATAAAGGGCAGAGTGGTGCGGTCAGAGGAGACCAGGTAATGGCGTGAGTCAGGTGACTGGGCTTGGAGTTCCAGCTCTCCCGGGGACAATGGAGGGGTCCCGGGCATGTCACTTAACCTGAGCCGAAGGTCTCTGGGCTTTACAGAGAGGGATGTGGACCAGATAAGTCCTGTGCCCTCTGATGCCAGTTTCCAGTTGAGATGGATATTGTGTCTAAGTATCATGGCAGGGATGGGAGTTGGAACCTCATTTTGAAGGCACTGAACTCAGCTGCTGCGCAGAGGGGCACCCCACTTCTGATAAATTTCACAATCCTTGGCTACATGAACTGGGAATTTCTAAAACCTTTGTGTGTGTGAGTGTTTTCCCCCTGCCAATTCGTAACTCATCTGAAACGCTACACTGGGAACGCCACCACTTTTTTACAGGTGAGGAAACTGAGGCATGACAGCAGACAATGGCAGACCCGCTGAGGTCCTTTGGAGGGCTTGTGGAAGGCTTTGCCAGTTTTTGCCGTAATAAAAGAATGTTTAAGATTCTTGGTTTTGGAGACGTGAGAACACCTCACTCCTAACATTTTCGCTCAGGAGGCACCCTCATTGGTATGCAATGTGTTTCTGTGGACAGCATTATGTGCTTGCTTTGTAAAACAATTAATCAATCATTGGCACGTGTACAGAAAGACATGGTGATCCGAGAAATAACTTAAACTACTTCCCTGCTTACCTAACCAAAACCCAAACCCGCCAACCAAACAGACAGACAGAACAGCGCGTCATTAGTTTCTCCCTGTACTGGTCCAATCAGGAGCAAGAGTAAGAACGGCAGGTAAGTGTGCATCCTAGAAGAGGTTAGCGGTACCATTTATACAGTGTAAAGTCATGCAAACCATGCGTCAAAGGAAGTGGCTTCACTGTGGTGACACGGGGGACAGGCCATGACAAGCCCCTGCCTGGGGGGGTGGGGCCGTCACGCACATGCACGTGTTTGATGCAGCCACCGGTGACCTCACTGGTAGGTGACGGGTGTGAGAGCAAGTGAGCTATACAAAGTCTGTCTACATTACAAGGAGGAGTCAGCCCGTGACCCCCTTTACATGGGCTTGCTGGAAGGGGTCCATACGGAATCGGAAATCCCGTCCCCCGTGGACGACGGTGGCATGGAGCCGCTGGGGGTGAAGGGGTCTGTGTCGGTGTCTGTCTCACCCTCGGCGAGGTACCGCTTCTCCCTCATCCAGCTCGAGCCCCCGCTCGGGCCGAACACGTCGTCTCTGTCTTGGGAGATGCTGAAGCCACTTGGAGACCGTTCCAGCTCCTCGTGGTTGACCGACATCAGGGACAGCGGTGTGTCGCTGTCCCGAGTGACGCTGCGTCTCTGCCTCGGGGAGACCCAGTCTGAGCAGGGGTCGGCGGGGGACAGGCGGCCCCCCCGGGAGTCGAGAAGAGTCAAGATGGGCAGGACGGTGGGCCTTTCCACCGACGGTGCCGTCGAGGAGCGGAGGGCTGCTTGAACCTTCCCAGAGCTGGGTCCCCCCCGGGGCAGGCTCACGGGGCCGTGGGCCAGGAACCCATAGGGGCTGACTCTGTCGATGGGCACCTGGTGGAAGCTGTAGGGGGCCTCGGGGGGGCCCGCCTCGGAATAGTTGCAAATGATGGTTTTCAAGTCAGGATCCCTGCTGTCCCCTTTCTTCTCCACCTCGGCCGGCGAGGGCATCCCCTTGGTGGGGTCGCCGTCCGTGACGTGCACCTGCAGCCGCTCCATGTGCTGCATGTGCATGTCCACGAGGAAGTCCAGTTTCCTCCCCATGTCGTGAACCTGGAAAACAGGAGGAGGCGGCGGGGATCACTGCTTTCTCGGGGGCGGGAACGCTCGTGTGACCCCTGTCTTGCTGGCGAGGACACGTAGGCACTAATGGATGACGTAACTTGTCAAAAGTCACAGAGCTGGTCAACGGAAGGGCTGAGACTTTTTAAAAATATAAATTAAAATTTTTAAATGAAAAAATGATGTTCTTGATAGGCCACAAAAGAACAATCACAGAACTTTCCCCTCACCTCTCCTGCACAGATCCAATTTGGGGATGTTGCACAGATGCAATGAAGTAAAGGGGTGGACAGGCATCCTAACAGAAATTGGGGGTCCCGTTTACGCAGTGTGAAGTCTGGCACGCTAGGCTGAAGGGTCCAGGGAAGGGGCAGAAGGGAACGAACAGTTTCTAAGGGAACACCACGAGGAACAAGAGAATGGCCGTGACCGTTGGCGAAGGGCCGACTGTAGGGCAGCTACTACTCTCGGGAATTCACATATGCCAGCTCATTTAATTTCCACAGCAGCCTTAGGAAGTGTTCAAATCCCCGTTTTACAGGTGAGGATACCGAGGTGCAGGACCGTTCATTTATGGGCCTGTGATCACCCAGCCAGGAAGTGTGAAGCCGGGGACTGAACCCCCACACGCTCTTTGGAATGGGAGATACGCACGCATGTTATAGACCAATGGGGAAGGAATGCCTCTTGGACATGGATTTCATACACTGGCTCCGTAGTGCGGGAAAGGCAAGCCTTACCTGTCTTTCGACTTTCACAAACTTCCCCATCATGCTTTGGTCTTCAGCTTCTGATGCGGATGCTCTGGCCGCATACGGTTCGTTCCTAGGAAAGAGCCAACAGTCCTGTGAGATTGTCACACCTGTTTTTGCTTGGCAAGGTCATTTCAGCTGGGCAGGCCATGTTCCCTGGAGCCTGTATTCCCGCGCTCATCCTTAGGCCCCACCCCCAATTCTGGAGGCACAGGTGAGTCAGGAAAGGGAGGAAGGCCCCTAACTGTGCTGAGAGGGTCTGAATGATGCCTTGGAATGACTTTCCTTTGCCTTCGGTCTCAGACTGCTGCCTGAGAGGGTGGTGGGCCGTGGGGAGGGGCTGGTCTCATCTCTGAAATTCTACACAGTGGGGGGGGGTCGATATTTCATCGGTTCCACTTTGTTAAGAGTGGAAATCAGATGCTGAATCTAGGAAATGACGTGAAAGATGGCACTGGAGGGACTGGGGCTGGAATGAGTGCTGCGTTCGCTCTTTGGTGACACGGTGACCTCCGTCTAAGTGCCGGCGGGTCGCAGAGCTGTTAGGGTCCGTGCAGAAGAGTGCTTTCAGGGGTGGGGGCCGGGCTCCTGCTCGAAACTGCGAGTGGGAACCGCTGTCTAGGAAGCCGACTCTCTCCCCCAGGCTGCCGGCGCCCGCTCAGTCCCGGTCTCCCGCCGGGTGAGCGGTCTCGAGCCGTGCACATCCAGTGCTTTTCTGACCCCACACGGCATTCCGCAACATTAACGCCATCTCAAAAAGGGGGGATTTCACTTAAAATTGGGATCATCAGCTTTTCTTGAAAAAAATAGACTATCTGGAAACAGGATCTTCATGCCTCAAATTCCCAACAACGGAACAGAGTGACAGTTACCTCCCGTGGATGGGGGACATGCCACCTAGGTCCCCACAGTCCACCCCTTCCAATCCCGTGCCCAGGACTGATGCCGAAGGTCAGGTGCCTTTATCCTCATGGTCACACCCTTGCTCTCTTTATATTAAGAAGCCCTATTATTGCAAGGTGCCTAATATTTCTTATGTCCTACTCCTTTTGTAACAGGGTGCAGCCAAGAGGGGAGCCCCAAATAGGGATTTATAATAGGGTCCAGAAGAGCTTGGAGATGACTGGCTCCATACCACAGGGCCACACCCGCCCGGAATGCGGGCAGCTGTGGCCAATTGTGGGAGGAGCCGGAAATGGGGCTGCAGAGGAAGATTGGCGCTGGGATTTAAACGGAGGCATGGCAGCCATTGGGTGTCTCTCTTTTGGGATCACGAGTCTGTTTAGGACCACGCAGCTTTGGTGTCTTGGTTGGGACCATGAGGCTTGGGTGACAGTCAGCACCACGAGGCTTTGGAAGTGCTCCCTTTTGCCACGTGGAGGGGTGCTGGGAGGACCGTGTGCATTTGTGGGGAACTTTAGTTTGTGTTATTTCGAATGAATAATAAGTTCCTTTCCTTTTCACGAATCTCGGGCATTGAGAGATGTCTTTCCTCTGGCGGCGGACATAACGAACCTGGGGGGTTCCTTTCGGGTGATAGTATATTGCCTCGGCTGTCCTTGGCACCCCCCTTTTGTACTGTAACACTTTTACTCATTTATGTCATCTGCCCTGACGACATTTGGGAATAAAGACGTGCATATTCAATCAAACGTGGTGGCCAAGACACGGAACCAGCCAGAGTGTCCTCTGCTGGATGGTTACATAAAGATGTGGCGCGCGCACACAGTGGGACACTGCTCAGCCACAAGCAGAGATGAAACACCGCGCCATCTGCGACAGCGCGGGCCTGGAGAGTATCGTGCTAACTGAAATAAGTCAGACGGAAAAGGACAAAAACTATGTGATTTCAATCACATGTGGGATATAAAACAGAAAGCAATGAATGAACAAAACAAATGAACAAACTCAGACACAAATGACAGTACAGAGGTTCCCAGAAGGGAAGGGGGTGGGGAGGAGGGAGAGGGCGAAGAAGGTCACATTTATGATGCTGGAGGGAGCCTGGACTCTGGGCGGTGAGCGCGCAGTGCAACGCACAGATGATGTATCATAGAATTGTCCACTTGAAACAGATAATGTTATCAACCAGTGTCACCCCAATAAATGTAATAAACAAAAGAAGCGTGCACTCGGATGGTGGGCTTCCTGAAAGAGGCTCCTAGTTCGTCGGGACCTATAAAAGGAAACTCTTCAGGCTGGACGGAGCACAGCCGCTCTGCTGGGGGACCGAGTGCTGAGCCCTGCCTGGCACAGCGGTGGGTGTGGGGCCCCGGCGGCCGACTTCCTCCTGCAGCCACGTTCGGGGATGAGAGTCCGTGCCCCACGGTGGCTGTGCAGGAACAGCCGAAACAGCTGACCAGGAATGCCTCTGTGTCCTCCTAATAGGAAGTGTTCTTTTGGCTCCAATAAAACCCATACATGTCCTCTCATTTTATAAAAGAGAAACCATTATTGTCACATTCAATAACCGTAAAAAATGCGTCCCCCACATGGTCTGGGTAGAGGTGCGGGAAGTCTCTTGCACAGAGAATGGCCACAAATCAGAACAGCCTTCAGATTCTTTCTCTCTGTTTTATCTGGGGGACTGGCAACCTCACCCAACCACACAGGAAGCACTGAGACTCAGGGACACTTGGGGACACTCCAGGGGCTGTGGCCCCGCACAGCCTGTCTGTCAGTATCCACGGACCCCACCTGGGAGACTGCTGGGATGGGTAGGTGAACGCTGTCCCCTTCTGAGACTTCTTGTGTTTTGGAGTAGATGGCGGCCCAGGGGTGAAAATCATATCTATTCTGGAAGAGAGAACACAATGAGGGGGATTCAATGACAAAGAGGTTCACACCGCAGAGAGGAAGGCCACTCATTCTGGTCCCTCTCCAGTCAGGTACGGATTTGGAATATGGAATTAAAGAGACAAAGGAGGGCAGGGACAGCGAGAGAAACAGAGAGGGAAAGAAAAAAAGAATTCACCATCTCAGTACATTACCTTTATTTCTGGCCCGGTGGTGCGGAGGAGACAGAGGGACAGCTAAACCACTGAGACAGGGGGAGGGCGCACCTCCTTATTTCTTACAGGATATGTCACATGCAGGGCGAGCCCACCTGGTCTCCCCGCTTGCTACGCCTCCCCAGAACACCCAGCTAGGCAGTTTTTCCCACGAAACCTGGGCTCTGTCCTCAGCCCTGCAGATCTCTGCTGCTCAGCAGGCTTCTTGGCCACTGGGGCCTTGCCTCTGACCCTGGTGCCACACCCTGCTTCCTCTGCCGCGTGGGGCACCGGCTCCCTATGTGCAGCTCTGAACGCAACAAGAGACAGATGTCCCCGCGGGTTGCGGCGCTGAGAAGGGCCAGGACGTGGGAGCAGCCCTGAAGGCTGCCACAGGCCCGGGACCACGAAGACTATGCACCCAGAAGCAGCCACGGCTCACTTGGTGTCCACAGACCCAGCTGTCCCTCTCCTGACACCGCCGGGGACTGGACGGCCTTCCCTTTCTCTCAGGCCTCCTCCACTATCAGTGCCGCTGGGGCCATGCAATTCATCACCCAGGCAGGCAGCCATCAGCCATGACTCACGGGAACACATTTGCCAGAGAGAGATCTGAAGGTGTAAAGGGCCACTGGGCACTCAGACGGGCCAATACTCTGCAGTGGGTGCACCCTGGACATCACGCTCTTCTGGTGTCTCAGAGAGCCATCTTTGCATGCGTAACCGTGTGTTAGGCTGAGATTGTTCGCACGCCCACTTGTTAAGAAGGCACTGAGTCCCGACTGTGTGCCCGCCACTGCTCCAGGTGGTCACAGCTTGGAGATAAAGCAAGGTCGCAAACAAGCACTCCTCCAACCCGATGGCATTGTTAGCTTCCGACCCGTTGGATGTGATGGCCCTAGTCACTCTATGGGACTCCCCAGTGGGGGAACACTATGCGGATGAAGAGACCGAGGTCCAGAGAGGACCTGGCTCATGTCCCTTGGAAACGGCAGAGAAGGAGCTTCAGGTAGGACTTTGTTTTCCTCACTTCAGTGCTAACACTCCTGGCAGCAGAGTTTCCTTTATTCTTAAAATGGTTTTCCTTTCTAAAAAACATGTTACAATTCATTAAAGATCCAATAAATCTAAGAAGCAAGAAAAAAATCACACATGGACTCATCCTGTACTGTATCACCACGGGACTCCATCGGGGGCAATACTGCTCCTTCTCTCTAGGCCCCTGATGGGGACGTGGGCGTCCTGTGTGTTTCTGAGTAAGTGTACGTGTGTGTGTGTGTGTGATCATACTGTATGGATACATTCGTTAATATTCTCGCAAGGTCTAGTAGGTAGAGTATGTGTGTGTATATATATATATATAATAGTATACAAATATAATTTATATATGTATATACTCATATATATACATGTATAAATATATATATCTATGTCTGAGTGTATTGTTAGTTTGTTATCATGAACAGAGTCACAGATCATACAATTTTTTCACCAGTCTATTTTTCGTAAAGGTCCTTTGATGGCTACATAACTTTAATGAGAGCAGGCACTGGTCTTTCCCTCACCATTATTTTATAACTAAGGAGGCACGGTCGTTAGAAAGAATAGAAGCTTTGTAACAAGTCGAACCAGGTTTGAACATTCCATCCCTGCCACCTGCCAGCTGGGTAGTTAATTTGGGGTGAGTCCTTTGCCCTCCGAGCTTTGGTTTCCCCTTGGTAAAAGGGTACCTATCATGCACTGCCTTACAGGTCATGAGGGATTGGACGCACACAGGCGGAGCACCCAGGGGGTCAAGAAAAATGGTGGCAACTAGATGGGTATCGATGCTGTTTCCACGTTTTTGCTATGAGAAGTAACACCTGATGCCCATTTTTTCAGTGCGTTGAAAAATGTATATTTAGAATTAGCCAGCTGGACTCTGTTTAGGTGATTCCAATTTTGCCGACAACATCCAGAGCATCCTAGTCAGGGGCCAGTGGGACATATGCTTTCTCGCCATGGGGCCTCATTGGGGTGTTGACCTTGGCCGTGCCAATGTCACAGAGCTTCCTCCCAGCCTGTGTGATCTGGAGCTGGCTGGCTCTGGCATGCACAAGGTCGGATGGACACACTTGTTCTTAAAATTTCTCCCCTGCACTTTGGATTCTTTCTGAGTGCCTTTGGCCCTCTGTTCTCAGGGTCGGCGGGCGGGTTCCTTAGCAGTCCGGGGCACAGTCCTCCTGGATGCCACTGTCTTACCTCGTCTGCAGGTACTTTATCCTGGACAGCATGTCGAGGTGTCCTGCAGAGTACTGTTCAATCACATCTTTTACGTCGTAAGGCCTCAAGGTCTCCTTGAATTTTTTTTTGTAGAGACGGAATTGTAAAATTCTGTAAGGTGAGACAGAGACACTTGAGTATAGTGCAGAGAGACTGGCAGAAACTACAGTCAAAGACTAGCAAACTCGGGGGCGGTGGGAGAGAAAAGAACCAAAGGGAAAAGGACTCCAAGTTCCAGTTCTTGGTCCTGCTCTAGCCTGCCAAGCCACACAGAAGAGGCTAGTTGGAACCTCTCCTCCAGGACCACCTCCCTTCAGCCATCTGCATAAGAAACAAAATCACAGTAACCCTAAGAGTGAACGTTCACTGAGGATTCATTACAGACACTGAGCTAAGCATCTCACGAACAATCTGCTGATAGACCCATCTGTGGATGGGGAGACCGTGGCCCCGAGAGCTTCAGCGTCTGCCCAGGGCCGCGCGCTCATCACGTCAGGGCCGTCCTCACACTCCGCGCTGCATCTGACAAGGTCGTGCCCTGAATCACGGCGTCACGCTGCCTGTTGTCCATTTGAGGACAGATGATATCTCTCTTCCTGAATAGCCTCTTCAATGCTTTGGCTTATGAGCTCCTAATAAAAAAGAGAAACTAGCTTCTGTCCCCCAAGTTCTCTTGGGGGACACCCAGAACTCACAGATGGCAAACCCTTGCCTCCATCTTCCCAGGAACCAATCACATCACCCCAGATGGCCAATGCTCCTGGATAACCGCATCCTGAGCTCAACTCCCACTGCGACGGCATCGGCTAAGACCCTTGACCCCGGGTCAGCGCCAGGAACCACCACCGACCCAGGTCTCCCCCCAGCCCCCATCTAGTGCATTCAAAGTGTGTTTTGTTTGCTGTCGCCCATGACTCCAGCCTCTAAACACTATTTGACACATTGATCAAACCATCTGGTTAACTTGCCATCCTTTCCAACCTCGTGCCATTTAATGAGCCTGCCCTTTGCATAACTCCATCTAACTTAGGTGTCAGAGCTACAGCTCGACCGCCAGACCTGGCCCACTGCCTGTGTTTGCAAGTTAAGTTACACTGAAACATAGCCCTGCCCATCACTTACACACTGTCTACGGCGCTACACGGTCAGAGTTGAATACGTGCCACACAGACCTGTGGACCACAAAGCCAAAAATATTGATTGTCTGGCTCCTTACAAAAAGAGTTTGCCTGCCCCGGACTAAGACATCAATAAAAATGCTAAAAAGGACAGAGCAGAAGCCAGACCATGGAGCATCCCGGGAGAGGGAGAGACCCCGTCCAGGGTGTCACACACTGATCCACGGGTCTCTCGGAACAAGGTCATTCCACCGGCTGCCGGCAGCGATGTGCCGTCCAGCCGTATCTCTGTCACAGTGTACGTGCTGGTGTCATGAGAAAGCAGGGCAACGGCTTTGCTGAGGTCACGCGTTATACCGCTCCTGCGTTTCCCTCGCCAGTTGGACTGGGAACCTTGCTGGAGACATCATGGCTGGTTCCTGGAGAACCAGCGCAGTTTCCAGAGCTCACTGCCACCGTTGTGGGGTTCCTATAAGCCCATATCCTGATCCAAGTTTTCTTTCGGGAGTAGCGTATTTTTATTTTCTTACAGGATTCTAAAGCAAAATAGACACAGTCACAGGGGATTATAGTCTCGTCTGATATAGACAAAGAAATCCTATAATTGATTATCTTGTTAGAAATTCTATATCAAAAGAAGTAGATGGATGAAGAGAGATGAAAAGCCATTTAGAAGAAGAGGCCTACCCAGGAAGAGACCTCTGTGTCATGACAACCCCCTTTAAAATACATGGTGGCCAGAGCCACACAGAAGCACGACAGGTGGAAATACTGTGGGGAGCCCGTGGGGGTGACCAGTCACGCACGATGGCCTCCTGACACACAAATCACTTTTCCTGGGGCAGCGTCCTCCTCGGGGTGCTGACGTCCTCTTACAGCTGCCACAGGGGCTTCCCGGCCCCCTTCCCAAAGCCAAGAGCCTTTACAACTGTCCTGTGGCCCGGGGCTGGGGCCATGGTGGTGGGGGGGAGGGTGGCCTCACCTGACGGCTCGGATGACAACCTTCAGCGTGGGGATCATGTCTTCGACAAGGAAGTCACTCCCGTAGTCCCTGTCTTCTGCCGAGGGATCGCCCGTCCCGGCATCTGGGAGGGGGACACACGTATCAGGGCGGGCCACGGCGCTTGGGAAGGCACAGGGGCCTCCCATGCTCTGCCTCTGGGGTCTTCGCTCCCACCTCCAGGGACCCTGCAGCTTCCCCAGTGGTGGCATCACTCAGTTTTCCTCAGCACCCCTCTTCTATGACCCGGGGGCCCCAGTCCGAGGGGCCAGCAGTTCAGGACCGTGGGTTGGGGGAGAAACCTTGGAGGGAGGTCACGTGAGCTCCGGGGCTCCAGAGGGGCCCCCTGGAGGCAGCCAAGGGCACACAGGCGGGGCTGGTTCAGATGCTGCTCTTTCACGTCGTTAGCCTTGTGACCTCGGGGAGGCCACTTTCTGAGCCCTGCTTACCCCCCACAGCCCTCGAAGGGTTCTCTTCCAACACACATTCCTACCCGCTGGGGGTGCTGAGGCACCCCCCCACCCCCGTCTCCAGATCACTCTACACCCGGCCCCGCCCCGTCCTTCAGGTGGCCCTCCATGCCAGCGCACTCATCACTGCCACCCTAGGGACCTGGGTGAGAGGTCCCTGCGCTCCCTGCGGGTCTGCACAGAGGCGCGGGGTGACTCTGGCCAGGAGAATGGCCACCCGGGAGCCGCCTGCCCTGCGGGTTGTGGGGACGAGTCACAGATGCCTCCAGCCCAGGGACATAAATGAGATGAAATGAGCTGGTTCAGGGAGGGGAGGGCATGGGCTACTTTGCAGACTGGAGAGTCCTTTGGTGGGGGACGGAGGGAAGGAGGGGGCCGGGGAGAGGCAGCGTGGAGGTCTCGGGGTGGGGGGTGGGGGGTTGGGGGGAGGAGGGCCTTACCTTCGGAACTCTGCCAGAAAGCGTAGGCTTTCATGCGGAAGGCGGTGCGGAAACGTTCTTTATTGTTTAAGCCAACAGGCTTTGGTTCTTTAGAAGGACTTTCTTCTATGGCATCTACATTCAGAGGGGTAAATAGCTTTCCTTTAGTATTGCTACCACGAGGATTAGAAAGGCGAACCCGATCCAAGAGACCCAGCTTTTGGCTACAAAATAAGCAAAAGTGAACAATTTTCCTCCTTGAGTGCAGGCTTTCGGAACTCCCCATCCCTCTCCATAAAGACTCACACACTCTCCTCCACGCATGAGTGGGACGGGCGCCCTACGTGCCACACCTGACGGAGAGGCTTGGGTGGGGCCGGGCTGGGTTCGCGCCCCAGCTGGACCACGTGCTAGCTGTTACCCCTGGGGCAGGTTTTGTAACTCCTCTGCCCTCCCGTCCCTCCTCTGCTCAAGTGGGGCTTCACTGGAAAATGCGAGCTCGTCGTCATACGCAGCAAAGCCTCCTCCTTTCTCCATTCCCATCCCCTCGGCCTCAGTAACTTCCTTTGGACCACTCCACGCTGCCCAGACAGCGGCTTGTGCAGGAAAAGCCTGATCAGATGTCTCTTGAGCAGAATTAAGTAACATAGATTGCATGAGGCTGGTACCCTAACCTGGAGTCCACAGACACCCCTCCATGTACAGAATTTAGGGGTGTCCATGAGCTTGGATGGGGAAAACATGGCTTCTTCAATGTGCTAACGTCTAGCTGAAATTTAGCACGTCTTTCTGTATTACGATTGTAGGTAGGGAGCCCCACGCAGACCCTGAATGCCCCTGTCACATGCCGTGACTTCCCACCACAGAAAGTACGGGTCATGTTATACCCTGTTATCTCCCGGGGTTGCTGTGCTTGTCACAGTTCCAAAGCTGTGGTAGCGTTCACCTGCCACCAGGTCCTGTCACCAGATTTGTCACAGAGAAACATGTACACGACCCATCTCCGATGTTTAAAGATGTGGATGGTTATGTTTCAATATAGTGTTGACCCTTAAACAACTTTGGGCTTAACTGTGCGGGTTCACGCGGAGTGGATCTTAAAGAATAAATATAAGCCCTGGCTGGCATAGCTCAGTGGATTGAGCTCGGGCTGCGAACCAAAGTGTTGCAGGTTCGACTCCCAGTCAGGGCACATGCCTGGGTTGCAGGCTATAACCCCCAGCAACCGCACATTGATGTTTCTCTCTCTCTCTATCTCCCCCCCTTCCCACTCTAAAAATAAATAAATAAAATCTTTTAAAAAAGAATAAATATACAGTTGGCCCTCTCTATTCCCCTGGTCTCACACCTAGACACTCAACTAACTGAGGATCAAAACAGTATTTTGGATCTGCACGTGGGAACCCACAGATCCAGCGGGCCAACCATAGGCATTACTGGCCTTTGCCATTCCATAAGGAACTTGACTGAGGATTATGGTGTCCGCAGGGGCCCAGGAACCAATCCCCATGGATGCCAGGGGTGGCTGTAGGTATGTTTCGGGGGAGTCAAAAGTCATGCGTGGGTTTTTGACCGTGAGGGTCAGTACTCAAACTCCTGTGCGATAGCACAGGGTCCACAGTGACCAGTTTCTTCTGTAACTGCATGCATTTTATTTATGGATTCAGAATCATTATTCTGAGAAAGGGTCCCTGGATATCATCCTACTGCCCAAAGTATTTTTGGCACAAAAAAAAAAAAAAAACCAAACCAGTGAATAAGTCCAGCACAAAGTCATCCTGGTGCAAAACCAGCTGCACCCTGACTTGAAGTCCAGCTCTGCCCGTCAGCATCTGGATGACCCCGGGCGCATCTGTGACCTGGGCACATCCGTGAGCCTCAGCTACCTCATCTTGAAAACAGGGAGAAGCATTCCTGCTCCACCTGATCGCTAGGTGATGTTGGTCAGGATGTGGCGTGGAGCAGGCACGTAGTAGGTACTCAATAAACATGAATTTCTTCCTTCTATTTCTCAGCCCTTTCTGTGCAGTTGCACACAGCGGAGACAAACCAAGCTGCGTGTTTTCACACACCAACACACTCAGCTCAGTGGCTTCCTCCCTGTCTCCCACCCAGGGCCTGTCACACAGTAGGTGCGCCATGCACTTGCGGAATAATCGCACGAGCGAATGAATGTGGGCTGTCGAACCAGACCTGCGCTGAACCGAGATAATTCAGTATTTCTAAAGAGGGTGTCTGGTTATCACAGCCGTGTGCTCGGTGCCAGCAGCGGCTGATGCCTTTGTGCTGCGGTGAGGTGAGGAGGTCACGGGTGTCGGAGCCGCAGAGGAGGCCGGGACACCCCCAACCCAGCAGGGGCCCGACGCTGACTGAGCACCAGGTTCCTGAGGGTTCGGTGAGTCTAACGACATCTGCTCCCTGGAGGCCTGGGGCGCGTTACACATAATAACATCTGCCGCGCTTCTGCCTCCAGCCTGGCCCCGAGAACGCACACACAAGTGAGTGAGCACACGCCTGAGCCTTTGTGGTCCCTCACTCCCCCTGCACCGTCCTCTCTCGCCCCGCGCTGCTGCCTGAATGACCTGCCCTGGGTAACTCTGAGAACCTCCGACACGCAGACGGCCCACTTCCCTGACTCGAAGTCTCTGTTTTCTAACCTGCATCCCCCGCCGGAGCCGGATGCACGACGAATGGGACAAGAATAATGTATCAGGGTCCGCGGGCTGAAAAGACTGGACCCGGCGGGAAAGCGACTCAACATGCACGGAAGGCCTTCCCACCCACGAGTGAGTCAAGGGGCCTGTAGGCCGGCCACTTCTCAGGCCCCCTCTTCCTGGCCCCTGCGTACACGTCTTGAGGGTCTGTCCTTCTCTGGTCACTAAGCCCCTGCTGGCCCCCGAGTCCTCCTGCATGGCTGGGTACACACAGGTCCTACAGCTTGTCATGTCCTTTCTTGCCTTTTCAGCGACCCCATTCCCATCTGCCCTTTAAAACTGCCTGAGCGCCCCCCTTGGAAATTACATAGGAGCCTCTGCTCCACAGACACGCGGTGCTTTTCTCTGTCTCAGAGTGTCACCTAGTGTGAGGAGACGGTGCATTCCCACGTCTGCCCACCCCCCTGGCTTGTGCAGTCCAAGCAAAGCAAGGACCCTGCCTGGTTGTCTCCGAGCCCAGCACACGCCCCTGCTGGGCACATCCCACCATGCAGGGTCACGGCGAGAACCATGGGCTTCGGGGCGACAGCAGCCTGGGTGGAAAGGTCCTGAGCAGGACGTGCCGCAGGACACCAGACTCGTCCTCTCGGGTCCCCGGCCTGCTCTCCAGCAGGAGGGTGGCAAGCAGCCCTCCCTGCAGACGGCTGATCAAGGGTTAAGTGAGGAGTGCCCAGAGACTGCTGAGCCACTGTCTGGGGTGAGAGGAGCCTTCCAGAGACGGTGGCTGTCATCATTATCTCCGGAAAGAATCCTCTTCCCACCTCGGTGGGGGAGGGGCTAATGACGTGTAAAAAGGGTGGATACAATTTCCTCCAGCTACAAAAAAAAAAAAGTCGTCTTTTATAAATAAACTGAAATGAGTTCTTTTTAATTTCTTGTTATCTTTCTATTAGAGTTGATATTCCATGTATTACTTTATAGCAGTTCTCCACTTTAGTCTCAAACATCCTCCGTCGTCACTGAACTTGACCTTCCAGACAAACTAAGCAAAAGCAACAGCAGCCACTCTGTCCTGACATGGAACCTCAGCGGAAGTGCTGACTTCTGGAAAGAGAATGAGAGGGTTCTCTGGGTTCTATCCGGGCCGAATTTAGGTTTTGCTTGTTGGGCATTTAAACGGCTCATTGCAACCGCTAACAGTCGGAATGGCTGTGGCTACGCTCACTGAATACCCCACTGGTCACAGAGGAGGGTTTTTGTAACAGATGGATTCCGTCAGCACCAGGAATCTGGATGCACCGGGCACCAGTCAGAAACCTCTGCTCTGAATTGCTCAGAGCCATTGCATCTGAGAGGCTTACGGAATTCTCCCTCCAGCAAAGGGGGTCATCAGTTTACTTCTTAAATGTGTTGCCTGAGCTCTAACACGCCACAGGATAATCAAGTGCTAGGCACGGCGCAGCCCTGAAATTCAAAACCCATCTCTACCTTTCCCCTTATGGATTTGCAGCCCCCGATTCAGGCCTGGGGCTTGGAGGGACCACGGGCCTGGCGTGAAAAACTCTCCCTGGAGCTGATGTCAGGTTTCCTGGGAAAGCCAGGGTCCCGCCCTGGCTGGTGTAGCTCAGTGGATTGAGGGTGGGCTGTGAACCAAAGTGTCGCAAGTTCGATTCCCAGTCAGGGCACATGCCTGGGTTGCGGGCCACAGCCCCCAGCAACCACACATTGATGTTTCTCTCTCTTTCTCTCTCTCTCTTTCTCCTTCCTTTCCCTCTCTAAAAATAAATAAATAAAATCTTTAAAAAAAGATGACTAAAAAAAAATCAGTAAGAGGGATAGTTCCCAAGCTCATTTAAGAAAAAAAAAAAAAGAAAGCCGGGGTCCCTGATGCGTCAGGCACAGACAGACTATTTTGAAACGTGAATTGGAAAAGCTGGAACTAAATGGATTGGGGACGGAAAAGTAAAATCAAGGTGTTCTGCCCAGGCAGCGGTGGCCCGTGTCCTGGGCTCCTGGCTCCGATCTCAGCCCCAGGGAAGTCCAGCCGCGGCTCCGGGCAGGTCCCTGGCTTCACCCCCTGCCCCCCGTGGCCTTTGCACAGGTTGTGACCCGCACCTACACCCTAAAGGAATCTGGCTTTTTATCTGAAACGTGGCCAGACTTAGCAGAAAGCGTTACGAAGCTCATTGTCTCCCAGAGCCAACCTGCTTCACCCAACACACACAGCCTATATTCTGATCCTTCTCAGAAAACTCCTGAGTCTATTTTTCAATGGGTTCACGATTCAGAGGGAATGGGGTGCTACAAATGGGCACCCCCCATGTCCCAGAGGGAAGCACTGAGACTCAGCCCCAGGACGTGCCGGGAATGACTCTGAGGTTAAACAAAACCGGCCCACGCCCGGTCTCCGCATGTCAGGTACTCCCAGCCAGCCTGGCACCAGTGTCACGGGGGCTGGGCGGCGGGAAATACTAAGAGCGATGGGATCGGGTCCAAGGTTCCTACTTTGCCCTGGGGAACAATTTTCTCATCAGTAAAACGAGGCACTTGGCTTGACTGAACCTTCCATCCCTGCACACCTTTAGCGGTCGTTGATTCCAGGGCACAGAGGAGATGGACGGCCAGCCTCACCCATCACCGGGCGAGATGCACTTCACGGAGCTGACAGATGTCACAGGGGGAGGGCAAGTGTGAATTACAGCGTCCAACCGTGTGCCCTTTCACTCTGCAGCACGCCCTGGCTCCAAGCCTTTCCCTGCCTGCACGGCCCCCTCGCGTGGCAGGGCCTCCAGCTCCGAGAGCCAAGAAAAGGCAGGAGGAACCAACACAACAGACCAGGTTAACTGTTCCCAGCAGCCGTGAGGACCAGCATGGCGGCTGGAGTCGGGAACTACAGAGATCTGCGTCCTGTTCTCACTATGTTCTTGGTCACATGACTTTGTGCAAGTCACTTGCCTCTTTGCACCTCAGCTTTCTCCTGCAAAATGAGGATTAAAAGTAGTGTCTACTCAGGGGCTGGCTGTGGGGGCTGGGTGTGTTTAGAACGACGCCCGGCAAACAGTAGGCGTTCTTTCTAAATGATGGCTGTGATGCCTGAATTCTCTGACCCGAAGAATGATCCCCTACTACACTCGACAGCTTTGCACTGGGAAGGACATGATACAGACGGGAGATAAGGAAGCCGCCTGAACGCACTTCCGTCTCCAAAGACGGCTGCAGAGCAGAGTCCCAGAGGCTGCTGCTCAGATTGGATTGCGTGAAAATGCAAAGTGCACCACTGGGCTCAAGCAAACCGTTACTGTCAACAGTTACCTGTTTTAAAAATTCAAAAATGCTAGTTTCCATCAGACCAGTGCCCCTAATCATCAGCAGTGCTGCACAGGCAATGGATAGTATGGCTGAGGTTGAAAATGATGCCCCTAACACAAAATAGCAGTCCTTCCTGGTGTAACCTATAGAATACATGGGGCTTGGTGTGGTTTATTGTTGATGCTCCGTAACGCAATACTATTTGGAGGGATCCGAGAACTCATGGGTAGAGTCGATGCCTGTCACGGGCAACTGCCGTTTTCGTCCGCTCTGTGTCGCATCCCTATGCTTCAGGGAAAAGGACCGTCTTCTATTTGGGAGCTGATTCCTCCAACTTCCACCCGGTGACTGTAACGGGGGCTGCCAATCACAGCATCGCGAACTCACACCCGTTCACGCCAACAGGCGAACACGTGGCCCAGAGTTGGGCTGCCGGTAGCCTCCCCCCGAGCCACAGAGATTGTTCAACGTGTGCACCTATGACACACAGTGGGCCGGTCTAAGCACCTCCCCGGGGATGTTCGGACTGGGGCTGGGGGGACACAGAGGGGAAAATGTACGATTCCGCGGCTGCCCGCACCCACGTGTCATCGGGAAGGCGGAAGTCGGCCGAAAGAGTGAGGCCAAAAAGGGAAGCAGAGAGAGGAGGAGAGAGAAATCCCAGAAGGCCCCATTGCTTATTTCCCAGGGGTTCCCCTCGTGTCTGACGGGGGACCCTCGAGCCACTACATATTCCTCCTAGTCCAAGCCACATTCAGTCGGGCTTATGACACTGGTAGAACAGTTTGTCCGTGCATGCATGCATCCATCTGTCCATCCATCCATCCGTCTATCCATCTACCCACTTTCTCAGTAAGCCCCACAAGGCACCTATCTGGGGCTTAATGAACCCAGGCACAGTGATACTTTGCATGCATGCTCCAGGTTGGCTGGCTTCTGTCCCCATCTGTATGGAAAAGGCTCGAAAGGCAGATTGTGTAATTGGCAGCACCCACACCCATGTGGTTTAAAGCCCTGCTGGTCACGAGAGAAGGAGGGGAAAGAGCACCCACTGGGAGTCCTGAGACCTGGGCTGTGCAACCCTTGGAGCTGGGGGGCTCTGTAACTTAGGGTGAGCCTGCCTTCCTGGGGGGTGGCGGGGGGTTCGGTTTCTGTAAGGACACCTGGAGGAGGGTCTCTGAGGGATCCCCCCGCTCTGCCTCAGGAAGCCATGGGCTGCTGCAGGTTCTCTGGTTGATGTCCCCAGACACGGCCATGGTCAGCCCTCCAGTCCCCTCTCCAGTCCCCCCCCCCCCATGCTCCCACGTCCAAACAGGATCTAGGAGAGAAACGCTCATCCATTTGAAACAGGCGCGAAGAAGGCAGAACTGTTTCTGCGCACGAGTCAACCAGCACTGCCTGCAACTTCCCTCAGGTGGGATTGCGGAGGGGATGGGGCACCAACCACGGGCCCCATTCGAAAGGACCTGACCCAGTTTCCCAAAGGCCACTGTCCTCAAGCGGTTCCCTTCTAGGTTGGTCCAGGGTCCTGCTACCTCCTCTGCCCAGACCCTGTCAGATGCAGAAGGACAGCAGTTGAGCTCCATGTCTAGGAGACTCACTGCACGGTCCCTGAGTAGTGTGTCCACAATAATAGAACATGAATATATATTCCAAATGGAGGTTTGCAAGAGATGGTCTTTCTTTACAACCTCGAGCAGGGCCCCCAGTCTCCCTGATATGGTGGCATCTCCGTGAGGACAGGGAGGGAGGGACAGCGAAGCGCTCAGACCCCAGGAGCTCCACCCGCAGCGAGCATGCTTGACGGAGAAACTCCTGCCGCAGTGCAGATCGTCAAGTACAGCCTTGACTCACTCTCTGAAGAGCCATCTGTGACCCCAGGGAGCAAAGGAAGCGACATGCAATGGAAGAGCATGGCCTTGATATTCAGACCTGAGTTTGAATGCTGGTCTCGCCACCCAGTGAGCTGGCTCACCCAGAGGGAGTAACTCAACCTCTCTGAGCCCTGACCTCTCCAATCCAAAAATGAGGACAGGAGGGTACATTGCGGTGGGGAGGACCCAATGAGGTAACGTGCACGGGACTCCGGGCACAGAATCCCGCCCCAAGGGGACACTCAGGGGGCGGCTGTTGCTATGGTCACCACTACGGTGGCTTTGAGTGGATTAGCATGAGGAGGACACAGGGAAGAGTGGTCCCAAAACTCTGCGTGTGACTGGCATGGCCGCCCGGGGCCCCGAACCGCACAGAACTGGACCCTCGCTCCCAACACAGTGGTGGGACAAAGCAATTCGTAATCAGAAACGTACCTGGCTGCGGACTCCAGCTGTTCTTTCCTACAAGGAGAGGAGGAGAGAGAAAATAAAGCGCTGATGACACAGAACCCTCCCCTCGAGGCTGCCCCGAAGCGTCCCTTTGGCGAAGATAAAGGAAGAGAGTGGAACTCAAGGACGGGCTGGAGAGTCTGGGGGGGGCCACCGAGTGAGAGGGGCTTCCCCTCCGGGACCCCAGGCTCCCACCGCTCTGACCTCCGAGGCGCCCAACCCTCCATTCACTAACTCATCCAGAAAACAGTGGCTGAGCACCTCCTCCGCCCTAGGCCTGGTGCTGGGCTCGGGGCATTTGTTTAGCAGCGGGCACAGAGCAGGGAGCCAGGAATTTCGTCACTGAGCAGCCACACACCCATCACTGTCACCACCATCATCGCCACATCATCATTGCAAGTGTTACTGAGCAGTCATTAACAGGCAGGTACTGTTTCAAGTGCTTTCATGGGTCAACTCATTTAGTCCTCACAACAACCCTGTGGAGTAAGTATTATTATCATCCCCGCTTTCCCGAGGAGAAAACCAAGGCACAGAGAGGTTAAGGACATTGCTCAAGGTCTCACGGTTAGGAAGCAGCGGAGTCAGGACTTGAACCCAGGTGACCCGGCTCCTGAGCCCACGCTGCAACCACGAGGCCGCACGTGCAATGCCCAGAATTCCCTGCCTGGGATAGCTGTGCTCGTCCTTCGCGCTCCAGCTGAAAGGGCCCCGTTGTAGCGTTTCTTATCTCACTCCCCAGGGTCCACACTGAGCTAATCTCTTCATGTGTGGGGCTGTACACTGATCGCATTGCGTTATGTGTTAGTCCATGAACTGCTTTGTGGGCAGATCCTCTGGTTTTGGGGTTTTTTTTTTTTGGCCCTAAAGGCTAAGCATCCCATTCCCTGGCACGTGGTAAGTGCACACTGAAAACTGAACGAGTCCCTGAGATCCGGGTGGTGGGGGACAGGGGACATGGGGAGAAGAGAGGCATCACGGGAGCGGAGTAAAGGGACCTGTGGAGAGTTAGGAACTTCTAGCTCAAGGGTCAGCTCAACGCCCAGTTCCAGTGGGGCCTTGGGCAGGCCACACAGCCTCTGGCCCACTTCCCCCGCTGAGGCCCGTGGACAGAAAGTGCTCTGACGTCCTAGAGTTTACTCCCGGGGGCTCTGACTCCAGGAGCAGCAGAGGAGGAAAGGGTGAGCGGGCAGGCTGGGGGAAGGCGGGAGCAGGACGAGGGAGCCGTGTTAGAGAATCGGGGGCGTCACTCCCCATGCCCCCCCGCCCCACTTCATTCCAACACTGAATGATTCCAGAGCTACGTTTTTCAGGACGGCAGGCACGAGTCACTAACGGCTACTGAGATCAAAATGCAGTAACGTTAAACATCCAGTTCCTCAGTTGCACCAGGGACAGTCAGATGCTCAACAGCCACACGTGGCTGAGTGGTCACTACCCTGGGCAGCGCAGCCGCAGGGAGTTCTCCTTCCCCTTTTGGGGAACCGGCCAGTGCACACGCTTTTCTGCCGATGGAAAGCAGTATCTGGCTTTTCACATCCGCACTCATCTCTGCCTGCGTACAGGAAGGGTCAGTCTATCCTCCCCCACCCCCAGCGTCTTCCTGTGCCTTCCCAGACTCCCACCGCCTAACTGCACCGAGGCCACCCGGCCTCCACTGGCCAGCAGGTCAGAAGACCCGGGTTTGGTCTCAGCGGTGCCCAACGCCATGGGTGGCCTTGGACAAGTTCATGAACTTCTGGGGTCCTCAGGTTCTTCTCATATAAAATTGGATTTGGACTTGAAACTTTCTGAGGTTCTTTGCAATTCAGAAACAATGAGTTTGTTCCTTTAAATGGTAAGAAAAGAAAAATAAAAAGGGACGCCCGTCATCCATCACCTCCAGTCCCAGCCACGTAGACACTCGCAAACTGACAAAGGGCGACCCTGCGCTGGAAACTTCGATGAGGCGCCACTCCTGGAAACAGGTTGATACACCTCCACCCTTCGAAATCCTGGGGGGGAGTGTGAAATGGGGCGGCCCCCGTGGAAAAGAATCTGGCAGTTGTGCAGAAAGTTACGCACAGAGAAACTGACTCAGCTCCCAGGTGCCCGCCCCAGAGCACTGCAAACACAAGTCCACACCACAGGCTCCCAAGTGCTCAAGGCAGAGTCACCGCCAGGGGGCGCCTGTGACCCAAATGTCCCTCCACGGGTACACGGTAAACAATGGGGGGCAGACAGTGGAATGTCCCTCAGCCACAGACAGGAATAAAGGTCTGATACACAGGACAACAGGGGTGAAACCTGAAAACCTCACACTCCGTGAAATACGTCACACAGAAAAGGACATGCATTGTGTGGCTCCATCTTTGTACGGAGTACCCAGAACGGGCAGAAGACACAGAAAATTGCTCGGTGGCTGCAGGGGCGGGAGGAGGGGGACCCAGGGGTAACCGCTGTAGGTGCATGTGCTTACACTGACCACCACTGAATGGTCCGCTTTGTGAGGTACCTTTTATAGTCTGCGAAATATATCTCCAAAAAGTCGTTATTTAAAAAAAACAACACGAAATAAAAACAAACAAAAAAACAGCAAGGCAGCAAGACACGTCATTGTATCATCAACTACCTCTTTGCCATTAAACACGGGGGTGCACTGGAAGTTAGGGGCACTCTTTTCAAAGGGCCTGCCTGGTTTCGGAGTGGTTGCTAAGTGAATTTCTCTAGTGGCTCTACCCTTTTGTCCTTGAAAAGCAAACGGAGCAAGAAATGTTCTCTATTCGTCTCCCAGACGTGACCAGATCACGGCAGCTGTCCGCCGTGCGCCGCACCCCCCCCCCCCCCCGCCGCGTCTCTGACAGCTGGGACAATGCCGTGTTTACAGTAAGTCGACCCAAAAGAACGGGCCCGTTGCCAAGAGCTGGGGATGCACAGCAAATGGAAATCTTCTCGGTTCGGTGTTCAGTGTGGTTGCACATGTTGTTTCTGAGGTCAAGGTCGCTCCGTTCTCTTCAGGGGAAGCCACCTGCCATCCTAAGAAGACCATTGCTACCCAGAAGGAGACTGATTCTATATACCAGACCTGAAACAGTTATAGCAACGACGGGATTTCAGAATGAAAAGGAACCACAGAGATTATGTTCCTGAACAAGCAAGTCTAATCACAAGTAAGGAGACACAGTCAGTCGACTCAGACGCTGTCGCTTATTCACCAAAGCCTCGTGTCTCCTCGTCTCCTTAACTCTTACAAGTCATCGCTCCTTGAGTTGTCTTCCCCCTTGGTTGGTCCCGTCCAGGTCCTCTCCCTGCCCCCTTCCTACTGCTTGCCCTTCGGTCCGAGTGCTTATTCCCTCCTGCTCCGAACCCTGCGCTCCTCTGCGGCGGGCCTCCTTGCCTGGAACCTTGAGCCTGTCCGACCTAGCCCCACACTCCTTCCTGTCGTCTCCCCGAAACTCGGATCGGATCACGTCAGCCTGTGGTCTTGCAGCTTCCTCGGCCTTCAGGATCAAGGCTGGGTTCCCTCACATGTGCCCTGGGACCTTCCGGGGTCCGGCCCAGTGCTTAGCATACCCCAGGGGCTCAAACGTGTCGGCCGACTGGATGCTCGCATACAGAGAGTCCCGTGTCACCGGAACTTCTGGGGAGTGACGGAATGATGGGAGGGCAGGTGGGAGATGTCAGCTTGGGCCCGACCTTTCAGGCCATGGAGGCCACAGCCAGGACTGGAATCTTTTTCTCTTTGTCGTGGTCGTCCCAAGGAAGGCTTTACGCAGGGAAATGAGTCAACAGAATCCAGATCTCGTGGGTTCCCTTAAATCTCGACCCCAACCTGGTGATGGGGGTAAAGGGGTGACTAAGGTCAAGTTCAGCCACTGCTCTTGGGTTCCGTCATGAGTAAGTGGGAGGGCAGGAGGAGACTGGAGGGAGCCGCCTGCCCCTGCCAGGCCACACGATGGTCCCGGACACAAAAGACACACGGCCGAGACGCGCTTCAGAGCAGGCCCCAGCTCCGCTGTGTCCCAGCTGAGGGTCCCCCTGCCTTCCCTCCAGACTCCAGAGTCCGAGCAGCCCAGTGCTCCATCCCCATGGCACACGCCTGGCCCCAGGACCACGGCGTCTAAGACCCAGAAAGGACGGTCTGTTTTGGGGGCCCACACGGTGAAAAACCGTGGGCTCGGGGGCCTCAGGGTGTGGCTGACCTTGGCCGAGATGTCCAAAGTCTCTGATCCCCAGTCCCCTCATCTGTGCCAGGTGCCAGGTGACACCGACCACGCAGCCTGGGTCCATGTGCGCGCACTGGGCCACCGTGTCGGGACCCCCTGGGGACTCGGAAACCCCTGGGGACTCGTACCCCGCCGACACTGTCCGAGTTCACACGACCTCCCACGCAAAGGTCAGCGCACGTGACATCTGAGACCCTCTCACTGACTCTGTGGGTGCCCGTGAGGATCAGGTGGCACGTGAACTGGGGAGGCCTGGAACGTACTGGACACCTAATAAGTGTCCGTTTCTCTCGTCCTTTCATAGGTGCTGGCCATGCAAAGAGGTCTTTATTTTTCCTTTCCTCTCTCATCTCCCCCTTCTGGGGACACACAACGACCTCCCCGGGTCACCACAGGGTCCCCTCCTGTGGCTTATCCCGCCTGGCCATTCCCAGCATGCCGTGCGGCAGCGGGTGCAGACCCTGACAGGGGGTGGGGGCGTTCAGAATCGTGAGGGCAGCCCCCCACACGGGCTCCCCACCTCCTCAGCCACTGATCCTGCTCCAACACTGACCAGACCTTCCCTCATCCGCCACCCCGTGTCGTCTAGCTGGTGACCCCAAGTGGCACCCTGCGTCATCCAGGTTTTTAAAAAATACACTGATGCAAAGTCCCCTCCCTGGGGTTCTGATGAATCGCCCCGGAGTGTGGCCTGGGCACTGGGACGTGTGAAGCTCCCCGGTGATTCTACCAACACAGACCCTCAGGAGGGTGGTGGGTCTCCCCCGAGCGCCCGATGTCGGGGGGCGGGGGGGTCACCACTTGCCTGAAGAATGGAAAAGAGACGACAGACTCGTAGAACCTCCACGTCGCCACGAGGTCGATCCTGTTGGGGTTGGTAGCATAGTACCTCCAGGCAGCCTGCGGGGGAGAGGGAGGGCGCTGGTGCCACCCGACGCTTTCCCAGAGAGCCCCACCGCCGCGGGACCCTCTCTGTGTCCGCCCCGGACTCCTGGGCGTTTACATGAGCGCTGGGGCCACCCCCGGAGGAGCCGGGGTCGGCCTTTCCGTAGCTCCTCCAGGAAGACACAGGTCCTGGGCCCCGTCCTCTCAGGGCTGCCCCTGGGGCTGCGGGGGTGCAGGGCGGGGGTGAGCTGCAGGGCGGGGCGGGGGTAGGGAGGTGGGTGGAGTGGAATGCTGGGTAGAGACCCCTGAGAGGGTGGGGACTCCTCTGGTCACAGGTTCCCTGAGAGACTCAAACCGGTAGGAAGACAAGTATTGTCTGTTGTGCCGTGTCTGGGTGCGAGAGACAGGCAGAGATGGATGGGGCTTTGATTCTAACACATCGGAGCCACTGGGATGCTGGGGTGGTCTGGGGTTTGGGGGAGAAGGGGGCAGACTCTGGGCGACTGGGACTGGTCCGGAAAGGACAGTGTGTAGGGTCACACCACGTCCCACCCAGGATCGGACCCACAGAGACACTCACTGCAGTGGGCACGAGTTCACGCGGGGGTGGCCATGCAGGCACTCGGTCCCGTGTGGCTGTACCCAGGACACTCTACTCTCCTGTGCTCTGTGCTCTCAATGGCCCATAAGGCCTTGAAGCAGAAGGTCCCTCTGAAGAGGGACTACTGCGGCCTTTGTCACCACCTCTCACTGCCGTCCCCGACCCCTGGCCCGCGGTGGGGGGTGACAGAGAGCTGGCAGGCACCCAGCAGGACGGAGGGGTGCGGTGTTCGGGACTGCGCACGTGTGAGGCCGCCCTTCCTGTCTGGCCTACGGGCTCTCCGACCCTGGCAGATGTGAGGGGCCCCGGCTCCTCGGAGGCGGCTGGCTAGGCTCCTGGACTCGACTAGGCTGACTCTTCCCTGCAGGTCCCTAGGCCAAGACTGGGGCGGGGAGTAGAGAGACCTACGTTCTCCACTGCGAACGAAAATGTAAAACAGCAGCTGGGCTGGTGTCTGTGAGAGTTCTGTGTCTACTTCCTGACTGGCTGAGAACACGGTGGAAGTGTAATAGGACTGTCACTAAGTAAGCCCCAGAGAGAGGCCACATCGACCACCACAGAAATACCCATAATTCCCCACAAGCACGCATGGTCCTGGGTCCCATCCTAGTTCACGGGCATTCCCCCTCCTGTGCACACAGACGCACATGCAAACACACATGCACACATCCATGTACATGCACACATGAACCCCCACACGCACGCACACACATACACCACAGACCTCAACCCCTCCGGTGCGCCCCAGGCCCACAGACACAGACCTGAATCAGCTCGGCGGCTGGCTTCCTCCTTTTCTCAAAGTGCTTCTGCCGGTGCTGCTCCTGCACCTTGAGGGCCAGCCCGGAGCCCAGGATGCCCTGGAGGGAGAGTGCCCCCCCTCCGAGTCAGCCCCAGGGGACTGTCCAAGCCCCACGCCCAGGCCCACAGCGGCAACACTGAGTGATGGGGGAGAGGGAGTGGGCGGCTGCGTGACGTGGAGCCGTGAGGTCAGGAAGTCCTGACGCTGACACTCCGGTGGCCCTTTGCTCGGCCACGTCTGCCCACACTGCCACGGGAGACCCTGGGCAAGTCTCCTCTGTGCTGCAGCCCTGCTTCCTGCACGGGGAAGGGGGTGGCAGGGCCTCCCTCAGGACTGCGCGGCGGGACACGCGGGAGGATGCACAGGAGCTGTGTGGGGAGGGCCTGGCCCAGAAGCCGTGTCTGGTAGATGCGAGTGGAATTTAAAAACACTTCAACCGCTGGAATCATCACCTGAGGCTTGCTTTTGTGAGAGCTGGAGGCTCCCAGAAGTGTGATGTTCTGATTTCCAGGGCAGACCCGAGAAATCAGAGTGGGTTAAATGGGCAAGAGCGCATCCTCTTCGACTTGAGAGAGAACGGAGTCTCAGTCCCACAGCCCCTCTCCTCCGGGACAGGTGGGGAAAAGGATTTGGAAAGGTCACGTGCCCGAGGTCAAGCAGCTCAACGGAGGGCTGCACGAGAGAAAGAGCACCCCCAACCTCAGGACGGGGAGGGGGTGAAGGGGGAGGAAGCGGACTGTTAGATGGGAAGGGTCTTCTCAACCTTCGTGATGAGGAGCCGGGCCATCGAACCCTCCGGCCGGGCAGGCCTGGCCCACGACCCAGGGGCTCCCCAACGGCGGAAGCCCAACTGCTGACCCAAGGGAACCCCGGGCTCCCCCCCTGGAAGGGGGAGGCAAGCATAGCGCCGAACTCCTGCTGTTGTCACGGAGACTAGAGGAGATGGCACACGGGCAAGCACCGGGCATGATTCCCGCACACAGGGGGTTCAACAAGGGCTGTCGTTGTCTATGATCATGTTACTATTACACGGATAGCCACTGGGCTTGGGGAAATTATCGGGCCAGGAGTCAAGACTCGCTTTTGAAGGAAACGCATTTCTTTAACCTAAACAAGCCGAGGACGGGCCAGGGAAGGAGCTCCTGTATCGAAGAACCTGCAATGCGCAAGGAAGACAAACCAACAACTACGTGAGCTGCCCCAGGGGCCCTAGACTAGCCGGGCGACCACTTAAATGTCTAATCACTATGTTGTCCACCTGCAGCGAATGTAGTCATGTAGGGTGACTGTAGTTGAAAAATTAAAAGAAAATTTGAAAAGAAATAGGTAGGCGAAAGGCATCATATTTCAGCCCCCGAGTTGCCCACGGTGTCCCCGGGAGGCGAGTGTGGGACCTAGCACTCCCAGCGCGCGGTCAGGGACGCCGCGCCAGGGTCACGCCCGGAGGAAGGAGCGAGGAACCAGCCTACAGAAGGCAGCGCTGACACTGGGCCTTGGAGGAGATGGTTGGCGGGGTCACTCGCGGCAGAGGGACCGGCACAGCCCAGGGCAGAAAGGCGGGACACCGTGCACCGGGGGCGGCTAGTGAGTGGACAGAGCTGGCATTCGGGTCATGACAGGACGGAAGATGGAGCCGGGAGGGGGACCTGGGGCCGGGCGGGGAGGGGGCCCGCGTGTCGCACCGGGGTGAACGTCGGAGGCACTCACCGCGGGAAGGGCAAAGAAGGAGACGCCGATCAAGGAGAAGGTGGCCGCAATCAGACGGCCCTCCCACGTCTTGGGTGTCTTGTCGCCGTAGCCGATGGTGGCCAGTGTGATCTGAAGCGAGAAGGGCTCGGATGTGGGGCTCCCCAGGCAGAGGGGAACGGGGAGGGGGGGGCCCTGAGTCCACCCACTGGCCTCTGCACTGCGCCGGGCTGGGCGGGCGCTGGTGCCACTGAGAACAAGGTCCCCGCCGTGGGGGGGGGGGGGGGGTTCCAAGGAGCAGGGAGCTTCTATGCGGACCCCGAGGCCCGTGTCTGAGTTCGGGCTCCCCACCTACACTCAGTCACTCGGCACACACTTCAGTGACCGCAAACGTGTGTGCATGTGCCCACGTGTGCACTCGTGTGTGTGTGATTCGGTGCGTAGCCGTGTGTGCGGGTGAGCGCATTTACATGTATTGTGGCCTGTCTAATGTCTGCTGCGTGCTGTGTATTCCGCCGGGTTTTAAACTTCCGAGCACAGAAGGCAGGCCATCAGAGCAGGTAGCAGTGTGTAGCCCGACGGCCCGAGTTCAAATCCCAGGTCAGCGACGAACGGGCTCAGTTGTCTTCCTCGGATTAATCACTTAACTGCGTCACGCCTCAGTTTCCCCCACTTTTAAAAAGGGCCTAGTGATAGTTGTTTGAGTTTAAATACATTAATAAAGGTAAAGGGCGTAGAGCCAGGCTCTGGAGCCCAGTGAGCCTTCAGGGGGTGCTACCCTTGGTACCCCGTGTCCCTGCGGCTGTGGGGTCGGGTGTCTCTAGGTGTGTTTGAAGGTCGGTGTCCCGTGTGCATCTGTCCCTGCGTCTGTAGGTGTGTGGCTGCTAACAGCCTACAGCTAACAAGGTGAGGGCCCCAGTGCCCGTGGGTCCAGACTACTCCGAGCCCCAACCTCTTACAAACACCGCGGAGAGCCTGTGCGCTCAGTGTGCACAGCCAGCAGGGGGCGTCTCCCACAGGCAGGTCGGGAAACGCAGGAGGTCCAGCTCTCCCCTGTGGCTGCAGCATGCAGCTGCCCAGGCCCACGCCCACCTCTCTCGGCTGGAACAGTCCACCCCCACGGCAGGGACAGGGGGCTTTGACTCACCAGGCCCCACCAGAGGGCGTCTGCATAGGTCTCAAACTCCTCCTTCATCTCTTCTCCTTGGGCATCCACCTCCGGCACGTCTTTCTCCACCAGGTAGACAAGAAATGAAGAAAGGATGAGCGTCAGGAACCCGATGTACCAGGCGGTGATGAGCTCCTGGGGGAGCAAGCAGAGGACAGGGAAGGGCTCACGGGAGGCCGTGGGGTGGACGCGGGAGGCAGACACACTGGAGCTGGGCGGAGCCCACCGGATCCGTGGCCATGGGCAAGTGACTCCCTTCTCGGGCCCTCACCTCCCATCCTGTACAATGGGCTCAGGCACAGGGCCCTCTTTGCACCAGGCACACCACACGCACAGGGCTGCAGGAGGAGAGGAAGGTCTCCTCCTGGGGGGAGCTGGCTGCCACAGCTCACGAGGCTTCCCCGGGAGGCGAGAGGGCCTGGCTGCTGCCTCGGAGGCAAGGCTCGGGACCCAGGAGCCCTTCGTGGGTGCAGGGCTGGGCGGGATAGCGCTCGGTTCTCCTGGGAAGCCAACAGCAAGGGGGCGCCAGTGTGGCCCAGGGGAGAGAGCCGTGGACAGGGCCCCAGCCTGCCACCCAGTGACTGCGTGACCCTGGGCCAACGACCCCTCCTCCCCAGCCTCAATGTCCTCAATTTTTTAAAATGAAGGCTTGGACCGCAGACTTCCAGGAAGTGACGTGTATCGCTGGTGGAAGGCACAGTTTTTATGTTAGTCGCCTACTGATTGAAGCCATGTGAACAACAAGCATAAAAACACACAAAACCTATTATGTCCTTCATGTTACCACCTGATAGACCAGGATACGTGAGTAAGGAAACGGGAAATCTGGCCGCCAAAAAAACCAGCGGACGGGGATCCTGGGGAGAACATAACAGGACAACTGCAGTAGCATAATCAGTAAGATACAGTCTGAAAAACGTCCGGGCGTAGCAAGGAGGCGCAGAGGGATGGCAAAGACGGCATCGCTGGGGCTTCCGACACCCGCCCACGACACTTTTTAACGCTGTTTCTCTCATTCTGTCCAGGGTCAAGGCTTAGCATGGCAGCTTGCTATGGGCGGGAAGAAGGTCAAGGCCATTGGCACACACCACGTAGGGATTAAGCCCGTCATTCCCGCGCAGCCGCCAGAGAACAAAGTTGCCCATGTCAACACACGCCATCCACCTGACCGACCGTCTGCGGCCCGCCGGCTGGCCTTCGGGTCCCTGAGATCTTGCTGGCGGGTCGCTTCCCGCCTCCCGTTGTGCCTTTGCTGACATTGAACTGCCGCTGCCTGAACTGCCCTTCTCCCAGCAACCGCCCAGAGCACCCTCGCGCTCTCGTCACCGCCCTTATGACCCTTCCTCGGATGCTGGCCCCCCCCAGCTAAAGAGAGGGTTTACCCCTAGCTCCTTCATGCCTTTGCTCTCTTCTGAGCAGTCTTCTCTCAATGTCTCACACTTCATCACGCTCAGGGGCCGTTTGCTCTGGCTTCCCCCAGGGCCTCCCACGCCCAGTGCACGCGTGGGAGCTCCGCCCGCGGCACAAACAAGTCGGTGTAGATGGTGTGTGCAGACCGGCCAGCCATTCTCCTCTTCCGGCGCCTGCCCCGCAGAGGGTTCCAGAAGGCAGGCAGGAATTGGGTCACCCCTCCCCGTGCTCACGTGCGGGCACGCGCCGCCAGCCTCGCTGCATGTGGTTCTCGAGTTCCTACGTGTTGTCATGCCTTCTGACCCCGAATGTGAGTCAGAAGCTTCATCGGGTGCTTAACGTGCAAGGAAACACCGCGTGTGCAGAAAAACCGGCTGCGCTGGATTATTAAGGGGTGGCATAATAGCACTGATGAGGAGCGAAAATGGGTCTCAATTCTGTGCTTCGCAGTCTTTAAAAGGCTGTTCGGGGTAATTCTGCCTTTACGTGATTTTCGCAAGCAGCTCTGCGGCTGCATCTGCAGCCGGTGCCCGGCGTCTGGCGTGTGCCCGAGCCCCCGCAGTCAGGTTGGGGCTGGAGGACTGCGGTCCAGCCACAGAGTCCATCCTGCAGGATGCTCCAGGCCCCTCTTCCCTGGCCTCAGTGACGCTCGTGTTCAAGACAGACGGGGGGCCGCCCAGCCCTCATCAGACCCTGCACGTGCAAGGAGATGACAACCCTGCTGAGCTGCGTCACGGAGACGCCAGGGCTTCTTCGTTCTGGGCCTCTCCTGTCCTTAAAACTCTCGCTCCGTGTCACACGGGCCCTGTGCACTTGCCATCTCTGAGCTCCCCGGACAACACCGCCCTCCCACCTGAGGTCCTTTGCCCTGAGGTCTCCTGCACTGGCCTGCGGAGGGCTTCCCTGCCCGAGTGGGGGCACGGGGCTCTCCTGCCCTCTCCGGGGCCCAGCCGAGGCAGGGGTGTGTTCAACCCAAGTGGTCCCTGAGGTTTGGGCTATCGGGGGGCACCACAGCTCCAGGACTCTGCCTGCCTCAGTGTCCGCACCTGCTCGAGTACATGGGACTCTGGGAGGGATAAGACTGAGTCCCAATGTCCTAGCTTCTGATGTCCCTTGGAGAGCTGAGCTCCAGGAGGACTGGCAACAAACCACTGAATGCGGGCTCTGGAGCCGGACTGCCTGGAGTGTGTCCCACCGCATGACCTTGGGCAGGTCGCTTCCCCTTCTGCCTCTGCTTCCTTGTTGGTGCAATGAGGGGACAACCGCGCCCGACTCTTGGGGCGGGCTAACCCGTGTTCTGGGCACTGACCAATAGCAATGGCGCCGTCCCCATGAGCTGGGTGTGGTCTGAGTGCTCTTCACGGGAGGTGAGTGTGTTATTCTTCTCATTTCCCAAACATGGGTGGGAACCAAGCCCTGGGGAGGTCACACCAGTGGGGTTCGGATTCCCACCCGTCTGCATGACGTGGGAGCCTTCTCCTCCCATCCCACGTCACGTTGCATTAGCCCATTGCACCCCAGAGGCAGAGGCATTTGTGATCCCTGTTTCAGAAACGAGGGGACTGCAGGTCAAACGGGGCCGAGGGGCTGGTCCTTCGTATCTGCTGGAGCTGAGACCAGAGCCCAGGCCCACCTGCTTCTGCTCACCCCTGCAAACTGATTACGCCCCTCCCCCTTCCTGCTCCTCACTGTCATCATCATCATCATCATCAGTGTGGCCGAGCGGCCCCCGCTCTGGGAAAACCGCACTGAGGAGACGCCGTGGAAGGGCGCAGCGGGGAGAAGGCCGCGTGGTCTCGTGGCCTCCCCGTGGCACCTACTTTGCTGTGGGCGCAGATGGCCGAGCCCAGGAGCTTCCAGGTGCCGCCCCGCCGGTCCATCCGCAGCATGCGCAGGATCTGCAGGAAGCGCAGGCTCCGCAGGGATGTGGCCAGGACATTGCCCTGGTTGCCCACGGCGACCACGGGCACAGAGGCAATCAGCACGAAGATGTCTGGGAAAGAGGACAAAGGGCCAGTGACCAGAGCCGTCCGGGGCTACAGCAGGGCCAGCACAGCGGGTCCGCCAGCACATGCGCAGGTGGCGAGCACGGCTGTGTTAAACCGTGACATCCACCACGCACGGTCAGCAGGATGACTCTCCTGGGACGGAGGAGGGCACGTAGGGTGGAAGGTGCGGCTGGAGCCACTCGGCACGTTCTCCTGATACAAGGAGAATCTGCTGGAATGGAGAGGAGGGCCAGAGTGGCTGAACTGAAATACTTGGAGGGAGTCAGAGGAGTTAAGATGATGCAGATACCTTGAAAGGTAGTGAGCACCCCGTGATTAGAGGTATGAGAGCAGTCTGCGTGACCAGCTGCAGGCTGCTGTGAAGGGGACTGGGGCGTCAGACGGGAGGGCTTGTCGGACCAAAGGCCTGTGGAGGGTCCGTCCAGCCCTGACGTTCTGTGGTCCTGCACCTTCAGCCACCTCTGGGACTCGACGCGCTAAGTCCCCTGAGCATCTCTGCAGCAGACGCCGTCAAGTCACTCTGTGATTTCATCAGGAAGTTCACGCGGGCCCACACAGCACCAACAGGGTGAGTGGGCTACCCAAGTGCCTGCACACGCACCCGGGGCTCAATAATACCTCCGGGAAGCACCTTTTGGGTGCAGACACAGCAGCATGGTGGCATGGGAGGGCACAGGGACCAGGTTCGTCCAGACCTGGGTGTCAGGAGGGAATACACTACTTTCTACCTGTGTGCCCATTGCATGACTCAGCTCTGGGTGCCTCAGTTTCCACTTCTGGAAAATGGGCATAACGTGGTCCTACAAGGGCGATTCTCAACCCGCAATGGTGTCGCACCTGCTGCCCCCACTACAGCCAGTCTGGAGATGCACGGGCAATGGGGCTGTCACCGTGATGGGGTGCTGCTCCTCTAGGGACCGTGCTGCTCAGCATCCTGCAACAGGCTGGCTTTTGCACAGCCCAAGTGCACCCCCCGCCCCATGAAGGACCCCTGCTCCGTGCGGTCATTGGGAAGAGCAGGCACAGCAAGGGGACTCCAGCTCACAGTGATGGGGGGGACAGGGGACGGGTTGGCCTGGCCCTCGCAGAGCCCCGTGAATTCCCAGAAGTAACAGTGTCTGCTGAAAGTGTCCCCAGAGAAAAAAGGCACCAACAGAAGGGGACTCGGACTCGGCCCCGGCGGGCTCCGGAACGGGACTTACCCAACATGCACAGCGGCTTCCTGGCGAACTTCAGCCGCCCCCGCCAGCCTTTGTATCGGCAGCAGCACCCGGCGGCCCAGACCCTCAAGGCAAACTCGGCTCCGAAGACGAAAATCGCGAACGTTTCCTGTGTGGAAGACGAAGGAAGAGACTCGGGTTAACCGCGGTGTAATCCGCTGGGGTCGCTGCTCTGCTGGTGGCAGGGGGAGAGCGGGTGCCCTCCAGCCGGGAGGCAGCTCCGGTCTTCACGCTGATGGGCTAACAGTCCGAACAGTCAGGCTTGCAAAGTGGTTGCTTGCTCGCTCTTCTTCCTCTGTGTGCCAATGGATCATTAAAAAAGTCCCTCTATTGTATTAAAAGTCCCTAAGAAGTGCAGTTGGGTTGAAAAGAGGGTTCAGTGAAACTGGCTATTAATCCCCGGCAGCACCTGGCCCCACGGCCGAGGGGACTGCGCGGATCCTGGGCCGGGCGCCACCGGATAGAGTGTTTCATCAGGTTACCCTCATTTCATGTTTTGAGAAACCGAGGCAAGGAGTGGCTCAACAAGGTTCTCAGGGCTACGGAGTGGCAAAGAAAGAACCCCAGGCCGGGGCCGGAGCTCACGGCCCACTGCGTGAGCGCCACGCTGCTTCCCGGCCGCTGGGTCGGCCCCGCCTCCCCCTCTCTCCTTGGTGGTCTCCCTGGGACCCTGGGGGGCCACTGCTCTGCAGCAATCCCAGAACCTAGTTCCTGGGAAGCAGACTCACGTGCTCAGGTCTCAGCTCGGGGCATGAGGATCAGACAGTGAACACCCGCCCTCAAGAGGAACCTGCCGATTCTGGAGCCAAGGATGGTATGTCCGTGTGACCACAGGTTCTGCTGTTTTCGTGGACCCTAACTGAGGGACGGGGCTGGCACCTCTTCCCCGAGGAGGCTAGCCGACCCCTCATTCAGCGAGGGCGGGGTCCGTCAAAGGGCCAGGGGCCGTGCGGGGCTGCAGGAGGAGCCAGCCCTTCCTGGGGCCTCTGCCTGGTGCAGAGGAGGCTGCATCCAGCCCGTCCGCGGGTGCTGCTCACCTGGTACTCCCACATACTTCAGGCGGGGATGTGAGGAGGGGAGAGGCAAGGGTGTCGGGTGGCTGCTGAGGATGTGGCCCCCCTCTGTCTCCACCCCCACCCCCGGGGGGAAGAACGGAAAGTACAAACAGGCAGAGGCCCCCGGGGGGGGGGGGGCGGAGGACTGAAAGTTTTATGTCACAATGAAATTTTCACTTGGCCTTGTATGGAGGAAGAGACCCTTGGGGTTTAGGAAGGAAAAGCAGAGGCAGGGGTTCAGACGGAACACCCCTCAGTGCCGGCTTTCCGAGGACCGGGAAGCTGTGCTTTGGAATTTAACGGAGGTGCACTGGTTTTTGCTCTGACCGTCTCTCTGATCTGGAATAAGAAACGGCACCCCCCTCTCCACCTGTGGCCCCGCCCGCAGACCTGACCGTCTGACCCCGGCGTTGCTTCCTCCTGGGCCTGCCCTGGGTCAGAGACTCCAGGGAGCCAGCTCCAACCTGGCAGAGCCGCGCCCAGGAGCAGCCTCCTTGCCTGCGCCGGGGAGGACCAACCAGAAGCGTCTACCCCAGAAACGCCGCAGCACCACGGAGGGCCCGCGGTCTCACCAGTAGCAGAAGCCAGTCTCCCGAAACGGTCTCGTACTCCTTGAACGTGGTCAGGACGGCCAGAATCAAGCACCCCAGGACGATCAGGAACCTGGAAGGGAAAGAAGAAGGGGACTAAGGCAGCGTCGAGTCCGCTCCCCGGCTGGGCAGGAGGAGGGGACAGACGGCGGAGTGAGGCCAGAACCTGCATCCGACACAGGCATGTGCGGTGGGGTTCCCTTTCGCCTCCCAGCAAACGGCATTGCAGGCAGGCGAATGCTCCAGCTGGAGACAGCAAGGCTGGGAGAGGCGAGACAGCGAGCACGCTCCCACTTTACCAGCAGGTAGAAGCCATCCGTTAGTCGGAATTTGGACTAGATCGCCTGGTCCCAACCCCAGGGGCTGCAGAGCTGCCCTGCCCAGGCCAAAAGTAATCACACACTTCCGTAAGTCATCAGCAATGGGAATTAATTAATGACATACCCTGCACATATAGGACTATGATTCTCAAACATATAAAAAAAAGTTCTTCGTGGAAAGAAAACAAAAACTCATTCTAAAAATTGATCAATTCGGTGAAGACCTCTATTACCTGAGTATGTTTGGGGCTTTTTTGTTTTGTTTTTTTACAGCCAACAGGTACTCAAGGAAATAACCTCTTTTAAGCGGGGAATCTTCAGGATTGTCTGTAAAACTGCAAAGCGTTCTCCAAGCTGTGAGGAACAGGAGCCACCACATTGCATGGCCCAGTCCTTGGAGAGTCTCAGAGGGGTCGGCTGGCTCACACGCCTGCCCCGGGCAGGAGCAAACTGCAAACAATCCTTTTTTTTTAAGATTTCACTTATTTATTTTTAGAGAGGGAAGGGAGGGAGAAAGAGAGAGAGAGAGAGAAACATCCATGTGCGGTTGCTGGGGGTCATGGCCTGCAACCCAGGCATGTGCCCTGACTGGGAATCGAACCTGCGATGCCTGGTTTGCAGCCCGCGCTCAATCCACTGAGCTACGCCAGCCAGGGCCACAATCCTTTGAGACCTCTCTCTGTAGACTCTGCGTGCGGGGTGGCGGGGTGGCGCCCGTGTGCCCAGGACTCATTGTTTCCACAAAGAAAAGCGGCTCTTCTCCCCCCTTGGTGGAGAGTCTTTGGCTCAGTGGTCATCGCCAGGTTCCCTGGGTGTCAGAGAGGGAATTTACGAGCCAGGGCCCGTGAGTGGGGCTTGCTACCGCACACTCAAGCTCCCCTGCTCCACAGAATCTGGCTCTCCCCCTACTGGGCCCCAATCCGCGCTGTTTTGGCTTGCTTGTGTACCCACGTCCTCATTCATTCAGTACTTACATGGCACACAGTGGGGACACGGAGCTGTATTTCAGCGATGGATGAGCTGCGCCTGTCCTCATGAGCTCACAGTCCCGACAAGCGGGCAGCTCTCTCGTGGGTATTGGGAAGGACCACGAGGTAAGGAGGTTTGGATGTGTCCGCTCCCGGCCTCGGCTGGGGGCCTGAGTCCCCGGCTCTGAGCCTTGGCGGTCCTGACCACACTTTCCCATCAGCGCAGCTGCCGATCTGCAGACCCGAAGTTCAGTGTTTGCAGCCCCGCCTCAGAACCCGAGCAAGATTTTCAACTCCCTCCTGCGTTTGGTTCTTTTACTTTAAATTCATGACTCTGACCCCTGCCTGGAACCTGCTGACCCTGAACCCCTAGGTCGCTTTGCAGGCGATGAGGATGAGGATGGGGTGACAGAGACCAGGACGGTAACCACACCCACCATGAACTACTCTTTGGTGATCACTGACCACCCACCACTTCACAACGGCCTCCCACTGTCGAGACGACCACACCCCCCTTAGAGACCAAGAAACTCTTCCGGAGGGATTACTAACACCGTGGTAATTGTGCTGTCAGTAACAACGCCACAGAGTCTGCGGTCCAAGGTCACGGGCGCGCAGGGGGCTCTGGCGCTCCCCGTGGTGCTCGGCAGTAGCTCGGTGACTTTGGGAACCCCGCTGGGCCCGCAGGAATGACACGTCTCCCCGGAGGTCACAGCTGTTGTAAGGACCAGGGGAACAATGGGTGGGACATAGACGGCTTCTCCCGGACACGGGCCCATCACCCATCTGCCAGGCCCCGGGGGCCCTGCAGGGAGCTGAATCCGTCCCTCCAGATGCTGCCGGTGCAAACCCTCGTTCCCTCGAGGTTTTATTCGCTTCGTCCGCAGGCTCTGGAGATAAGACCTAGATGCGAATCCCCTTCTTCCCGTTCCACTGTGGCACCTTCGGCAACGTATGCGACCCTTCTGCCTCTTGAGTTCCTCATCCGTGAAATGAATCCGACAGAAATGCCCGTCCCCTCAACTGCTCCGTGACGAAATCCAGGCCAGGCGCCCAGAAGCACGCCTGGCCGAGAGCCAGCCTTCAGCGCGTGTGAGCTGCCATTCTGTTGCGACCTACTGTCTGCACACCCAGTGCCCCTGGGCCCCGGGCACAGTCCTGGCTCTGGGGATGCAAACAGGAATAAAACGTAGCCTCACTTTCAAGGATCTCTTTGTCCAGTGGAGGAAACAGGACAGTCACAGGAGAGTGTAGTTGAGGTCATGGTCCCAGGGTCCACCACGTGCTTTGGGGGCACAGGATAGGAGGCATCCAAGGGGCTGTGGCCGAGGGAGGGACTGGAAGGATACTGGAGGCTTAGTTAGGGCTGGCCGTATGTCCCACTGTACCCTGGACATTCCCCATGCTATGCGTGTTGACCTGGGCCGTGGCACCCAGGGTATTGTGCACAAGTTCACGGGCACAGAAGTTGGTTTGATCTCCTCCTTTAGCCAGGGGTGTAGACCTTCCATGAGCTGGCCTTGCCCTCCTCACAGCCTCGTCCGCTGCTGCCACATCCCAGGCCAACCACACCGAACCATGGCATTTCCACAAACTCTTTGAGCCCATGGGCCATTTTGGTGCTCCCCTTCCCTGCCCACCGCCCCCATGATTCCCTTCCTCCGCTCGCTAATGCCTCTGCCCACAGTGCCAGCTGCTCTGCGCACACGCCCCTGGGGGGTCCCTCCCTTGGGGTCAGAGAAGCCCTAAGGCATTTCCATCCCATTCCTGAGCATTACAGAGGCCATTTTATAACCGTTTGCTCACACGGTGCAGTAGACAAAGCATCCCCTCCAACGCCTGGCACTACCACCCCCCTCAGGGTGAGACGGCCTTTGTCTAGTGAAACGGTCTGTAGCTCCAGGTGAGGCTGATAAACTTCTCGGCAGTAACAATTAAGAAATCAGAGACGGGAGCTGACCTTGAGGGCTGGGAATGATAAGGAGATATGGCCTAGTCAGATGCTGAAGGGTTTTTAAGAACAAGAGTGTCTGAAATTTCAAGTCTGTGGCCCTGGGTGCAAGCCACCAACCACAGCCCTGGGGGCGTGGCTTCGTCGTGAGCTGGCTTCCGACTCGGAGCTGAAGCCCGTGGCCGGGAAGAGGGAACAGCTCGGGGGCCCGCAGCTGACTCATTCAGAGAGACCTGAAGCCAGACTCTGAGGCGCCACCGACACCCCCTATCTGGAATGTATGTGAATCCCGGAAGATTCTCCGAGGAGTGCGTATGGTGGGCACACCCTAAGGTGCCTCCCCGTGAGTCACACCCTGAGTGCGGGTGGCACTTTTGACTTGCTTCTAGCAACAGAAGGCAAAGATGATGGGCTGTCACTCCTCAGTCAGGTTCTGTGATGCAGCGAAGGCAAGGAGGTAACACGCCCGTGACTGCGTTCCTTTATGTAAGACTCAGTCTTAGCAGAATGCAGCCAGAGACTCTCCTGCTGGCCTTGGAATGAGCCGCTGTGTTGTGAAGGGGCCACGACACAAGACACCGTGGTGGCTTCTAGGACCCAGAGAAGCCCCCAGCCGATGGCCAGCGTGTAAGTGGGACCTCAGTCCTACAGCCACAAGGACCGACCAATCAGGTGAGCCTGGAAGAGAACGCCCAAGCTCCAGAAAGGAGCACAGCGCAGGCCGAAACTGCTCTGTGAGACCCCCAGCTGAGGATTCAGGGAGGCTGTGCCCAGGTGCCCAACCCACAGACACTGGGAGACAGTAAACACGTTTTGGTATCAGCCACGGATGCGTCCGGTTTTGTAGAGCAGGGGAACCCCCGCGTCACCCCCCATCTCATCCGTCAGACCGCATCCGGGCTGCACTCGCATGTCTGGTCTACGAGACTCCACTCCCTGAGGGCAGAGACTGTCCTGTTTCTCTCCGTACCCCAGCGCCGATCTCAAAGTCTGGCACTTATTAAGAACCCCTGTCTGTTTAGAGGATGGACAAGGACAGTTTCAGAGATGAGCCATTGCCTTTTCGTTGGAATAAAATGCCAAGGATATCAGGTGGTTTTGGAGAGACAAGGCAGAGGGGATGCAGAAAAGCTTTGCTGGGCAGATGAAGGGTTTGGGCTTTATTTTCCAGACGATTTAAAATATATATATATACACACACACACGGGTATATACATGTATGGGTATATATACCTCCACACCCACACCCATATCATCTTACCGGTACTCACACCCATCTCCACATCCACTGCTACATCGTGTCCACCTGTGCCCTTGCATCCATCACCATCGTCATCGCCGTCCCCAGGTCTCATCATCTACATCTATGTGCGCACCTACACCTGCACGGCCCGCCTCTGTGTCTTGTACCCACAGCAGGGTCTTCGTTGCCTGCGCCTCGATGGACTAAGGCTGCCCTGTGACAGGACAGAGGTCAGGAGGCCGTGGTCACGGGCTGATGAGAGAGGCTGTTTTGGAGAGAGGACGAGAGTCCCCTGAGCATGGACAAGGGCCCCGGTGGGCTCTCGGCAGGATGTGTGACTCATGGGGTGTGGAAGCCCAGCAAGAGGGGACTCTGCAGAGTCCCGGGGTTAGGGGGGACAGGGTGGACACGGGCCGGTCACCGACACCAGGACTGACAAACTGGGCAGGGGACCTGCTGAGCTTGAGGTCCACGTGGAAAGGGCCAGCAGGATGACTGAAATTCAAGTCTCAAGCTTAGGGCAGAGGAAGGGATTGGGGTCCTCCCTCTCTTTCAGCGGCAATAGTCTCCCACCAAAACACAGTTGCAGCC